AGTGGAAAAGATCATAAAAGAGACAGGTACATATTAATTATATTTACTCTGTAATGCCTGAGAGTGACAAGCATGTAAATTATCTGTACAGTATCACCCCTGAATGGTCACAAGAATAAAAGAAATGATCACAGACTAAAGGAGCTCTACATTTTTAAACAAATTCTCCATGTCAGCATCCAAGGGAATGTATTGGGAGTAGTAAGGAGAATATACACTTAGTGACCCAGTTTGGGTTTAAATCCAGACCTTTCAAGCAGTACTGCAATGAAATAATTGATAAGCCACTCCATGACCCCCATTAGAACTATGTTTATCCCAAATAGTACATATGACTGTGAATTACTACTAATATGTTTTTTAAACTAGGAAAGACAGACATACAAAGATTGCCAAAACTGAGAACAGTGACAGTCCTAAAGATGGAAAGCCAGGATCAGCTGCTGCCGCTGCTCTGGAGAGGATTGGCAGTGCACGAAATAGTCCTTTGACAATTGCCTTGTACAGTAGTATGTACAAGTAAGTTCATGCTGTTGTCTTTACCATGAAATGGAATACATGTAGCATGTGGTGTCTACAAATGATCGGAACTGTAACAAGGTCCTTCCAGACTGTTGATGCTGATGCTAAAATTTACATGTATTAATTTTTGTATGATATCAAAAATGTTTGCAGTGATGCCTCAAGTGAACCTATTGCACTGGAGTCACACATAACTGAACTTACAGAACTAAAAGAACAGGTATTGTGTAAAGTTAGTTATTCACTAAGATTAATGTTTAATAATTTTGTAATAAAAACAAATGTATGAGTAAGGATAATTGTGTAAAATAATTTGCAATAAATTAAAGCAGGATGCTCAGATATACTCAGACATCAAAATTACATTTTTACCAATACCTTCAAATTTACATTGCATTGCCAGCCTTTCTCCCATGAACAGAGAACCCAATTTTTTGGTTACAAGTAAATTAGAGTTTTATAAATATAGTTTGTTTTTATTGCATTATTTTCCCTATGGTTAGAACACTATTTTAATTTCCTATTCTGCAAGGGATGTAGCAAACTTTAGGGGCAAAAGAAAGATTATATTTGTATCAAGTGTCCACTAGAATTGGCAGAGAAATATGAATTATTACTAACAATTCAGCCAGGTGCTTTTACTTGCTTCTCTGTGCAATGAATTTCATTTGCTTTTCTCCTTGGTCAAATTAAGATGTTTATATCCTGTTTTTCTTGTCAACAAGGTGGTGAATCTCAAAAAGCAGTTGCAACAGAAGGAACAGGCATTGATTGAGAAGGAAAAAAAGGTGATCAATGTATATGTGTCTGTGCTCCCATCCTAAAGGCATATTTTGTCATTGGACACATAATCAGTTAATATGTAACTGTTTACATCTACAAGAGTTAACTAGAGGCCTTTCAGGGTGAGAATGGACTTTACAATGTATTTGTCTTTGAATTCTTCCTTACCAGTTTGGAGAGCAGGAGAGGACAGGGGGTTAAGGATTTAGGACTCCTCTGTAAAAAACCTCTATAAAAAACTATGTGGGAGGCTAATTACAGATGGCTTTTCTTTGTGATTTAGTTAACTGAACTGAAGGCTGATCATTGGGAAAAAGAAAAGGAATTGAGGCAGAAGATGGTTCAAATGCAGAAACAGCAAGCAGAGAGGATGGAAGGCCTGCAGGTTGGTACTTTTGAAATGTCTTTCGTTTACAGTATGATTCTAAATATTTTATCTTCAACAAAGTTTGGGTTACTCATTTATACTTTTTTGACTCATTTTCATGGTTGAAATTTGAAAATAATTGAATACAACATGAATTTACCAGATTTAATTATTAATAGACAAGTGCACTTTAACATGATGATGAATGTGCCGTACACAACAGAATGACGTATTTGTTTATTTATTAGAATTTTCATTTCTCAGTGAGTAATAAAAATGTAGTTCTAATGTTTAAACTGATTAATTCACTTACAGACAGAAAACAGAAATCTCAAAAAGCAGATTGCAACACTGTCAAAAGGAAAAGACAAGCAAATTACAACCTCAGGATGAATGCTGTCCATGTCCAGCTTTTTAGATTAATTGCCCTAAATTTTTAACAGAATATTTACTGCTGCAAGAATGAGTAAGACTTGCCCAGGAATGCAACCATAAGATTTTAATTTTCTATAATTTATTTTTAAAATCTCATATTATTATAGATTGTACCAATTATGTGGAATAAGATCACATGTAGACTTAGTTTAGATAACCTGAGAATGGTAATTCCTTGCCACATAAATGATAGCTAGTAAGCATCTCTTAACCCACAAGAAAATAGGAGACCAACTAGTAAGCTGTAAGTGAAGAGAGACAAATCAAAACAGGTTATTGGTATCTTTTCAATTTTTTAACCTGGTTGACATACTTCAGAACCTTTTTTTGTGAAAAAAACAAACAAGAGTGGTACATGTGTAATACATCTGAAGAAACAGGCTTAAATGTGTCCCTTGAGAGTTCAAGTGTGAGGAGTTGCCCTCTTGTGTGTGGGTATGCTGTTGGACATTTCAGGCAATAGAAGACTAATTTCTCTCACCAAATGATTCAATGATGTTGCTCCTCACCACATATAATTATGCTGTCTTCGTTATTGTTGACATTTCCCAAAGGGTGTTTCAATATCATTGTGTACCTCTATCCCTCTTCATGTAATATTAAGTGAACCTGAAGAAAATACCTCATAATAAGGGTTTTCCTTCCCAAAACAGATGTAAATTACTTAGACTGAATTTACCTTTTTAAGGATGAATCCAATGGTTTGTTTTTGAGTGATAAATACTGTTGTTGTGGCTCTTTCTCAATTTTTCAAAAAAAATGTGTCTTTGAAAGTTCAAAACTTGCAGTGATTTTAACTGACTGTTTTACCTGAAAAAACATTTAATTTCTTCCTCAGATACTTAAATACTCAAAATTTTATTATATTTGAAAGAACAATTTTTATTTCAAAGCATCATGTGTGATGATTGAGCTGAAATTTTAGCAAACCAAACAGACTTTTCTGTAAAATTCTAAGTAAATCATATTTATTTTCAAATTCATTAGATTAGGATGTGCTATATTTCAACAGTGTGTTGAAAATTATTTTAAGAAAACTTCTCAACAGTGGCTATGATTTGTAATAGAATTGTTATTCAAATCAATCATGCAAATATAATTTTTTGCATTTAGAGGCTATTGTAATTTTCTTACATTTTTTGGGAGAAATTGCTCTTTTTTGATCCAAAAATTAGAACTGAATAAGACTTCTTGAGGTATTTTTATTATTCTTATCATTGTCAACTGAATCTTGTATTAAATCTGCAAACTAAGCAAATCCCCACACAAACTTGTTTAGTGTAAAACTTCTTGCAGTCTTTTTTCATCTCCTTGGTTAACAGACTTAAAATGTCAATTCAGTTGTAGTTTAATATTAAATATTAAATATGTTCACAAAATTTTTTTTGATCATGAAGATCTGCGATAAAACAAGAAACATAACTTGAACTCTGGTGGAACACTTTCATTTACTTGAATAGAGTGAAAATTTAATAGAAGCTTTTTGTAGGAAATAAATGGGAAATAGTGTATTAAAAAGCCCATGTCAGGGCTTCACATTCAACCTTTTACAAAGTTTCCATCAATTATATACTAGATATAAAATTTTTGCAACCACAAGAAAAATTGCAGGAAACCCCACCAGTCTTAGGTATCGGAAGTTTAGTTGAGGTCTGTCTTTTGATATTCAAGGGACATCTCAAGGTGTAATATTCGGCAAACTAAGTGTAAAGAAGAAAAGGTTAAATATGAAAAAAGACAGAATATGAGTGAGTTACATTTTATGAAAATGTCTACCCCAATTTGGAATTTTAGACAACTAAAACTATGTTTTAATAATGTCACTTCAAACATAGATGCCAAATTGGCAACTTAAACGGCAAACTTGGTTTTTTTCAAAGTGGCCATGGTATCCAAAACCATAAGGATTGCAGCTTGGGGTACTGCATAAAAATAATCTCTCTCTTTGTCGCACTGATGAGTAACATCTAAAGCTGGCAGTTGTTTAGTTGCTTTCCAGCCTCATTTGATAGACTCTATAGACAAGTGCATCTTATGATAATGAACTTCATTATCACAGCTTGATGAATGGAAAAATAATCCAAAGTTGGAAGATGAATCTCTCAATACATAGTGAATTGAGGGAAATCAAAGTTTGGACTTGTTTTCTATTGCTTAACAAGGTAACTAGGAGTGAAAAGAAATAATGAACGTCATGTTCCAAAGTCCCACAACATGATTGGTGGCAGCATGAAACAATATTTCTAAATCTGCCAATCCACAGTTACACAGTGATTAACAGTGTGGTCCCCACTGATGGTAAAGTAACATCATGATGCAGTGGGCAGTGAAGTTATTAAGAAGTCTGTTAATGGCTCACATCAGTCTGTTCCACACCTCGAGAGATCCTTCTTTCTACGAGACCATTTAGCTTGCTAAGACAATAAAACCTCTGTCAATTACATAAGTGTTGAAAGTCAGCAATTCCAGTGAGATTTGTCAATCCCCTGACAAAACTGCATATGCAATTAACACCAATCAACTCATCAGCTAGGGTTTAGTGGTATGCTGATATTCCTCTTGATATCCACTCACTGTGCATGGGATTGTGCCAAAAGTTTTCTGCTTCTCACTTCCTTGTCCTGTAATGCTTTGATTTGAGCATCCTTTCGAGTTATCTCCTCTCGTGCGGTGAGATACAGGCTTGAGATGTTTTTCTTAAGCACAAAGTTTTCATCTTTCAGTTTTTTGTTCTGAAAATAAGGGCAAGGTTAGGTTAGGTTAGTTCTTGTAGGCCATCCTGCCCATTGCTAACAGAGCATTCATATTCCTGTTTCTGGAGCTTGAAGTGATAAGAGATAATACCCATTCCTGAATGGGTATACCCCCCGGACATTTTCCTTACAGTCTGCTGGCATCTGTCAAGTAAAGTGTCCAAAAAGTAGACAACACAATTGATGATTGCAGAACCAGCCACAAGTTAGCCCCTTGTTAATATTGCCTGATTGCCAACAGTTGGCACACAAATCTTAATAACAGTAGTTTCCAGGACCATCTCTCCCTATCAATGGTAAGCATACAGGGGTGCACATGTACCAAGGGATGACAACTGTTCAATTAACCCTTTGCACCCTAACATCAGTATGGTTATTCTCCATACAGTTCTCTATAACTTTCCTGTGATACTGACAAGGAGAATTTGTTCAACAAGCAAGAGCTTCTCTATTTGGTGATCATTTCCTTACTTGTAACCTTAATGTTTGATTTGGGCAAGATATTGTGTAGGAGCCAAAGGGTTAAAATCTTTAAGTGCTAACCTCAGCTTCAAACTTCTTAATTGTTTGCTGACTTTCTTCAAATAATTTCTTCAACTGAAAATAAAGCAGATTCATTATCAAAACAAATTATTTTCTTAAAGTTAAACTTAAGTATAAACCTTTAAAACAATGAATAGGGCAAATGATCAATGCATCACAGAGCCATAACTCGATTAGCATTAACCCTCTATACCCCAACATCAGTATGCATATTCTCCATACTGTTCTTTATGTTTCCTAAGGTGCTGACAAGGAGAATCTGTTTAAAAATCAAGAGCTTCCTTAGTTGGTGATCATGTCCTTTATTCTCATGACCCTAATGTGTGATTCAGGGCTGATACTGTAAGGTGAAATTAGATGCTGGTCACTAAATAAATTAATAAACTTTCTCAACAGAATATCAATTAAAAAAATACCTCGGGATATGTCATTTCTTGGTTGAGGTCCACAGAAAGATCCCCATACAAATCAAAATCCAGAGAATCTAAACAAGACAAAAGAAGAAAATAATTAAACATAAATTTTAATGTTTACTGCAATACGTGATAACATTCACGGCTTTAATCTGTGGATGATTTTTCTTGAAAACAAAGTTCTTTTACCTTCATTTTGACTACGAAAAGGTGAATTTGCCTTGTCTTGACCACATTCTGTATCTCTTTTATCCATACAATCTTCACTCTCCGCCATATGCGCCGGGAGCGACTTTATAAACCTGATCATAGACGATCTTTCAGGAGATATCCTTCGTGTAAGATACCTTTAAATCTCCCATGAACGAAACCTCCCAGCGAGTATTTTTCAGAAATTAGCAAACATTTCTGATAGCAATCTAAAAATAGCCATGAAATTTTTTTTTTTCAGGAAACGACGATAAGTTGGCTACAACGCCGGCTAAACTAAGAATTTAAATGTAGATGGTCACATGAATTATTCACCACCGCTTTCGAACCCGCTTAGAGCACAAGTAGCACAATCACACGTGATTAATTAAAACAACCCAAACTTCTGACAACTCACACAGATATGGGGCTAAGGTAAAGAATTCTACTGATTTTTCAAATGGCTTTGTTGACTTATCGTTAAGAGTTTCGTCACGTTGGAACGGATCCTTGCACTTGTACTTGGGTAGCCTGTGGGAGAGTTAAGCCGGTAACGACAGGCGCGTGCCAAGGAATTCCTTTGCGTGTCACCTCTGTGCCTGACAGATTTCGCCTTAGAACTCAATAGCTCAAAATGTTTCCATCGATAGATGTGCAAGATAACTGCTGCAGGAATGCAACTTGAAGGACACTCTGCATCTTCTGAAATCAACACCGAGTCCGTTAAGCGCGCCTCAAATGACAATTCTGAATGTTATCACTTCCTCCTCTTCTGATAAACAAAGCTTGTTTATGAATCTCGCAGACATATAATGCACGGTGCATATGAAAGAACGTGGAGTGGTGATACCCAAGGTGTAATGTCAGGAATGGCAAGGGGGTTGAATCTGGATAAGATTGCATTTAATTTTCGCTACTCAAGCGACAACGTTGCACGTTCGAACCCTTGGGCAAGAACACTTCTGAGCGGAGATTTCATTTTGATTGCTGAGTTTGCCGAGAATGAGGGACCAAAGCCAGTAGTAAGTTTGACAGACTACATAAACGCCTTCAATAGCCTCGAGTACTTCCGGGTTATTCAACGAACTGCTCAGTGTCATAAATTTTAAATGTAACAAGAACATACAGATTTATTTATTGTAGCGTGACTTGATCAGAATTTAAATCTCTAATTCTGTATGTAGTTATGTTTGAATGATCGAGTAATTTGAACTAATTATTAATGAAACGAGTTTGTATCAGATTTTCGGTGAGCAAAGTCACCTCTACATTTGATTGGAGGCCGATACCAAAAGGAGAAATTAGAAGCCAGTTACTAATCACGAGTAAAAGTAATTCAGTTGTTTAGTACCAAGATACAATCGATGTACATGTCTGTATGTTGGACAGCTCACCTTGGCCTGGATTTTTATTGGAAACAGGGTTGCTTGATTAAACCCTGAAGTTTGTAGACAGAAATCTATAGTATGATTATCATATTCCTAATTAATTATTAATATTATTCATTACTGTTATTATTATTATTTTTATTATGAACAATCAACAATTACACCATGTAAATCTAAAGCTATCTTTTTAATTCTCACACTTTCATGCTTTACCTCTTTTCTTATTTTCACTATTCATCTTAATCAGCATTGTTCTACTTGCTATAGAATTCAACTGTCAACGCTTTGTACAGTAATTAACTGAAGATGACAGAAGTTTCTGTCAAAACATGTTTTACAGACTCAAAAGTTTTGTCGCTTTCTTTAAATTCTTGACTTGCCTGCTAATATCAAGAACCTATTATTAAATTATTACAACAAGAACTTGTTTGTCTTTTGTTTTCTTATTTCTTTCTGTGTATCTCTTTAGATGACAATTCCCAAGAATGCTGGAGAAAATTTTGACGTGAATGCCTTTGCTGTTCATGTAATGTCAGTAGATTATACTCAATCCAGGTATGGTGAGATGACACTTTTCATCAATTAAAAGTAAAAGTGTTCAACTTTGTGAGTTTCAGATGATTGACCATGTGGCTTTAATTATTCACCTATTTTTTCTCATTATTTTAGTTGTGTAAATTCATTTTGTTCAATTTCTTTTTTGTGAAGATTTATGTGGTCAAATCTTACACTTCTTCCTTAGATGACACTTGCTGGATTCATTAAATTATATACATATATATTTGATACTGAATTTGAAATATTGAAATATTACTTTTACTTATAAATCTCTGTTTCAGGGGCAGCAACTTTTCCATTGTTGAAGACACTCAGCTGTTTTTAACAGAGAGAAAAGATGGAATTTATGCCTATGTAAGCTTTACAGCAAAGTTTTGTTCCCTTGATTTCTTCTTGAGTCTCATTATTTTGTTGTGGGGTAAACATTTTACCAGGTTGTGTTATATTTCATAGGTTCACCATTTTACTCTTTATGATATTCATGCTCGTGGTTTTGTAAGGCCCTACTGCATGTGCTACATTTCACATTGCAAAAGGTATTTATTATCATTGTTGTTAATGAGTTGAAAGTAGAAGGCAGAGGAAGAAATTGTATTTTGGCAGGTTAGCACCAATCGAAACTGGGAAATGGTTACAGCACAAATTTCTTTGACTGTGTTTCAATCATTGTACAATTTTACATCAGTAATTATGGAAAAATCATTGAGGTATATATAGCTGGCAGTTTAAGATGAATGAAAAGCTGGGGGTTTTGGCAGGCTATCTGTCCTAATTGACGGCTCTGATTATTAAGTAACAAGTAGTTTATAAAATTATTGATGAAGTTCCTAGATTTAGTACTTTCAAATGTATATGTATTACAAAGTGATATCAGCCAATAATCCAGCTCAAATCTGAAGTCTGGGTCACCTGCTTGAGTCTGTGAACCTATGCACTTAATGGGTTGAAAACAAATATCCAGAGTTACAATCATTATGACTGTCTATCATTATTGAAATGGGTGTATGGAGAAGAACCTCAAATAACTTCTGACTGGTAGACTGCAAAAAGTCTCTTCAAATCTCCAGTTTTTTCAGAGCATTTGATGTTACATTCCAGAGGTTATATAAGAAGGGTTTCTTTTCCATCCATACTTTCTTTTTTTTAGCTTTCATGGTGAACATTTATGCTCATGTTTACTTACTTAATCACTGGTTTGTTTTTCCTTTTTTGCAGAAAAATGTTTTCTTTTCTTGACAGTTTCATGGATGAATTTACCAAGGTGAAGTCTCGGTCCATTTTGAGTTGAACTAATGCCAAACATATTTCTTTTTTAATATAATGAATCTCTTCTACCAGATTTCTTGATTTAATGATTGAAGAATTTAATTAATATTTACAATTTTTTTAAGGTGTCCAAGTTATTTAGGCATGGTAACAGAATAACATTCCTAAGAGACCTAGAAGAACGATTGTGTGATGTTTTAGAGTTAAAGGAAAAAAGTATCTGTAAGTTTCAATTGTGTAGTAATGATCCAATTTAGTGTAGCTGTACTGTGGAGGTTTAATTTTTTTTCCTTTGGTTTGACCGCTGAATTATCAGAAATACCATTAAAGAAATTTGTACAGCAAGTATTTCCCAATTTTTGAGTGGAATTGCAAACCTAATTATTGCCTGAATCAATTCCATGTTCAAGATTTTCCCAAAAGGTTCCAGGGAACTTCCTGGAGCACCAGGGGTATTTTAACTGACCAGTACCCAGTCTTCTGTGTAATCTGACAAAATAATGTAGGCTGCATGATAACAAGGCTCCCTATCTGGTATCTTTATTTGCCTTTTAGGTTCAAGCTCATTGATAGCTTTACCTATGTACAGTGTAAGAGGAAGAGTGTTCACTTAGACTGGGGTCTTGATTAGTACCTTCTCACTTAATTTGGATCACTTAAGCTGGATTGACAGGCTAACACATTTCCACAAAAACTAAAGAAATTAAAAATTTGTAGTAAATCATTGCAGCAAGCTTTGAGACACCTTTAAGAACAACACTATCATTTACCTGGGCAGTGTGTATTAAGCAAGTGTAGTTAATTTCAAATCTTCTCTTGTTTTAGTGGAAAATTCCTTCTCCAGTTGTCTTCTTGGTCAGAAATGGAAGGTAATGTGTCAGAGAATTAAAATCTTATTGAATTAGTTATTTTTGGTTAGTGGCCACACATATAACATTGCGAGCCATTCTGCTCCAATTCAATTCATTATCTTTTTTGAAGATAAGATTTCTTAAAATTTTTGGACCACAGGTTACCCAAATGACTGGAAAATCAGAGAAGAAGGTGAATGCTGAATATGAGTTGATATTGACTGAGACCAAAAAGTTGATAGAAGTCCTAAGACCACATATAGTGGTAAGTGGATTTCAAGCCTAAGATGGACTCTATTTTTTTATTCTTATAAGTGTTAGAGCTTAATTTTTCATTTTGTATACATACTTTCAAACCTTTATTACATGGTCACCCATGGGGAATGGCGGGGTGACTGCCTGACTCAGGTTTACTGGTTGATACACATCCCACACAATAGGGGTAAATAAATATAAAAAAGATTTAAAAATGCCACTTTATGCCACAATTGGCCATTTAATTAACAAAACTGTGCTCAAAAATACTACTAACTCTGATTGCAAGAGAGTTGAACATCGATTTCATTTTACTTGAAAGATTAATGTTAGTTTTATTTGAGTGGTCCTACTTTAAGAGACTGTTCAATGCAGGTGGAACACAATACAAACAGGTCATGTTTGGTACTAGCTCAGATGTAGATACAACTGCTCAAAACTGAGGTGACTGCTTAATAGGGGTGAAAATTACAGTGATTACAGGGAAACAAATTAAGACTTTGACAACCAACCACTTAATACAGGGTGACTGCTTAATTGATATGGTGCTGCTTAATACAGGTTTGACTGTATTTAACATAATTGGATAAGGAAGAGTGCATTTTTTTTTAAGGCAGGTAATTTAGTGTTAACAAGTGAGTTGAGAATATAAATTTGTCATTGTAAAGGGTAAAAAAGCTGGCATTTCAAGTGTTAGCCCTTCGTCAGAGCGATAGGGCTAATGCTTGAAACGTCAGCTCTTTTACCCTTTGCAGTAGCTAATTTATGTTCTCAACTCAGTTGTTAACACTAAATTACCTGCTATACTCTCCCACCAACGCAGCACCACAGTTTCTTTAGAAACTTACCCCTTATTCATTTTTTTTATAGTTGCTTAAATTGTCTTTAAAAATACAGAATGACCCCAGGGTTGAACATCAATTTAAAAGGCTTGAAGACTTGGTCCAAGGAAGGACTCGTAGTTTCACTGTTGCTGATGGTTGTCTTGAAGTAAGACATGAATTTAGTGATCACAAATTGCCAACCCACAAGCCTACATTACGAAAAGGTACTTTTAAAGAAGATTTGTTTATTTAAAAGAGTGCTATATACCAGTCCTGTTTGTTCAGTAAATGCAAAAAACACCATTCACATGTGTGGTACATGAATATACTAAGGCTACAGACAGGTTCCCTGACTGACATGATATTATTTTTGGCAATTAGGCATTACAAGTTAGAGTAAATTAATTGTAATCATGGGTCAAGTGTACCTTGATAACATCCTGGTTACAAAAATAAAATGATATTAGTTATAGTAATTTTCATTATTTTGGTTATCAGCATCATCAGAGCTACCTTGTTTATTGATCAAGTGTGTGTGACCTTTGTTTCTTACAAGCTGATTGCATTTACTTGACACATTTTACAGCTGTCTCACTCCCAGATATCAAATATCTACTGAAAGGATACAAAGAACTGAACGTGAGTGCAGTTTATGATATTGATGGTAAAAAAGAATAATAGCAAATACCTTCACCACCTCTTTAGGCAGTGAATGATAAAAAAAGACATTATTGTGAGCAGAAATAAAAATACTAAATATGTTTATTTTAAATTTTAAAATGTGCTCTCATGGAATTAGACAGGTTGGTTTTAATGGGGGGGGGGGGGGAAGGGAGGTTTAATATGGATTGCAAAAAATGAGGTCCTTTAATTAATCATGCAGGATCAAGGTTTTGTCAAATAAATGAAAATAATAAATCCAAAGTTAAGCAGACTCATTATTTTCACCAGTCATAATAGGACCCTGTTAACTGGTTAGGGTCCACAGGTGAATGTATTTGTACACGATGGCTCCATGATGTATATGTCTTCATTATTCATTAAGAGTCATCCAAATTTTTTCTGTTTCATATGGTGATCACAGATTTCATGATTTTATTTTACAGCTAAAGCCTAAGTCCTGTTTGCCCACTTATCTTAATAGTATGAAACAGTTACGGTAAGCTAGTGAGGGAAATTTAGTATTACATTTGTGTAGTTTCCAATTAACTGTCAAAAATTCAAAACCAATGTAATCACTTCAGCCGATTATAACAAAGGATAACACCATCATTGGTCAATGAGAACTCAAAGTAAAAACAGGAAAGCTACCAAAAGCATGGGAAAATGCTCTTTTTCTTGTCATTTGCTTTCATTGCCATCAAATTGATACATTGTCTTCTTTTCGTGCATAATTGAAATCATGGTGATTTTTCTCCCGAGACTGAATGGGGAGCATGGTTATAGAACTTTTAATCATTGTTTTGACCAAAGCGAAACGTGATCAGTTTATGCAAACCATCGGTACACCTCGATACTGTTGGTTCTTGTGACTTGTCCCGGTGTTCTTGCACAATGAGGGGGGGGGGGGGGGGGGGGGGGGGGGTTGGGGCGGGGTAACTTCAGGTGGGGTGAAGTCACCCAGACTGGGGGGCAAAGTGTTTTGGGGCAACATGACGATGGGGCTACCATTTTTTCTTGATTAAAGTATATTTGTTTACATAAACATTTTTAGAGAAAAACACGCTGGAGTAGAATAGCTAATTTCTCGTAAGTTAAAGCCTTACACAATTCCCTTGTCATATCATTTACACTGGCAACTTTCGTTAGTGACAAGTTTTACCTGGACAAATTTCCTTATATGGTATGTCAGTTCTCCATTTTGGGTTTTTTTTTTATCACTTCCGATTGAAACCTCTCAAGGTGAATTTTCTAGTACTTTTTAGGCGCGTGAGTGTTTGCAAGTTGTTGGGGGTACTACGTGAATTTTTATGTGTTATGACTTTCAGACATTTACATGACCTGTGTGAGTGGGGAGCAAAAGAAGGACTCAGCAGACTTCGGCGTGTTTTTAAGGTAACTGAAGATCAACCAAAGAACGATCCTCGCAGGAAGACTGTAATTTAAGCAATTACAGGAGAGAAACCAGAGAGAACTTTAGGCTTCGACAGCATTCGAATCCAGGACTCCCAGATACTAAGTAGGCGCTGCTACCAAATGGGTTACCAAGCTAGAAGTTGGGAGAGAGGCAAATTTTAGGGGTTCTTCTTTCCTTTAAATCCGGGAATCTGAATTCTCTGAACTTCATCATGATCATCATCATGATCACCATGATCATCATCATCATCATCATCATCATCATCATCATCATCATCATCATCATCATCATCATCATCATCATCATCATCATCATCATCATCATCATCATCATCATCATCATCATCATCATCATCATCATCATCATCATCATCATATCTTTATTTGATAAGTAAGTTAAAAAATGGCAACTTTACAGCTGATGTGGAACTACTATATTATAAAATAAGAGATAAATAAACGTACAATAAGATAAATAAACCTGGAGTTAAGTCTTAAGTAAGAAACAGAATGAATATAAGTATAAATGTGTCATAATATATCAGAAATAGTAGAAATTTGAATTCTTTTTTTCTTCGTGGTTGTGCACTCTAGATCATCTTTCTGGACATTCTTGTGAGCCACTCGCTATACAGTTCCAGGGCTTTTCATGCACCAAAACTTCTGTCAACTATATTCCTTTCAAATGTTTGATTCACTTCTCGTATTTTTGCGTTCATACATTCCTAGCATTACAACAGAGAAACTGCCGCACTGTTAATTGAAAAGACGGAAACAAGCCATCTAGGTGAGCATTTAATTGGTATTTAAACAAAATTAATAACCCTTCGAAAGGATTCTTTGTACATTTTAGTAGCGCATTTTCAACTGAAAAAACCGAGGTACTACTAACTGCATTTGTTTTGCCTTCTTTCGCTCTGTAAAAGCGCGTTTTGATTGAGTGTCGTAACATCAGAACCAAAGTAATCGCTAAGACCAATCAGAGGAAAGGAAAATATTACATAGAGCCAATGAAAATACAAAGTGAGAAGGATGGTTCAAGATTTGTAGACCAATCAAATGGCGAAGTAAAGCAAATCCAAAACCATCTCGGATTATTAAGGACGCTCAATTTAATATTACTTTATTAGTGTAAGAAACTATCACCACCCTCTCAACCAATCAGATTCAAAACTTAAACCATTTGCGACCTCTTCACTCTTCAAGTCTGTCTATGCGCGTTTACTTTGAGTTTTAACTGGTTCCTTGTGATATGTACCTTCGCTTTGAATGCCGCTGACCGCCAATCAAAATGCAATGGGTTTAGTTTAAAAACTCAGTCGTCTAACCTCAGCAACTTAATATTATGAGAACACTTAACTTGTCACATCATCTTGCATTCATACCTTGAAAAGTTTTAAAACCACAACCACTACGAGCAAATCTTGCTCCATTTATAGTGTCAAATGATGAACACTGGTATTATCTGCTTTGGGTCTCCTGTCATTATAGATCGCTTTCCCGCTCTTCTGACCATTGGCCGCAGTGTAGTGTCTAACGTTCTTCGAAACATCGACATGTAAGTTTGTAACGTACAGTAATTTAGTCCCTCCATCGTAATTTGACCTTTCAATAGTTAAACAAGGGAACGCGAAGCGAGCGCGAGAGCGCACGAGTAACTGTTGAGTGTGAAAAGGAAAACAATAATTATTCTTTCTTCGCCTTCTTCTATCGTGCGTTGACGTTTGTTAACCCTTTACATCTTAATATCAGTATGCATATTCTCCATACTGTTCATCATACATTTCTTAAGGTGCTGACGAGGAGAATTTGTTTAACAATCAAGAGCTTCTTTAGTTGGTGATCATTTCCTTTATTCTTGTGACCTCTATGTGTGATTCAGGGGTGATATGTAAGGAGAAAGTAGATGTTAGTCACTCTTAGGTGTGAAGGGGTTGAATATCCTACGGCTCAATTTCAATATATACATTACTTTCATTATAATTAATTTGTTAGAAAAAACCTTAGCTGACTTTTAGCTACTGTTAAACCAGAGATAGAAGTAAAACTCGATAATAACCTGTCGTTCAGTCTAATATCCATTTTATCTCGCCTTTGTGTATAAACTGTAGGAAGTGTGTGGACAGCTGCACGACCAGTCGCTCCCCCATAGATACTCCAAGTCAAGAGTGTCTTACAAGAAAGTCGTCGGTATGAATTGTTTTTCTTTGTTTATAATATAATTTAACAGCTACAAAGCAACATCTTCTTGCCTCAAGACGTGTGTTAAGCCTTTATCTCATACTAACGATGAACAACTAACTTCGCTTCGCAATTTATTAAATTTTCCAGAAAAAGGTGACGAGAAAAAGTAGTTTCATCAGCTAAGAGATGGTGTTTCATAATGAGATAACAACAATTTCTCTCCACTAATTTGCAACTTGAAAATGGATAGCATTGAGAGAGGAGAATTACTTCTTTGATCATGGGAGTTACTATCAATGTTTATAACTACAATTAATATAGCCGCTTTGGACTACTCGTGCGCAGATAACTTAGCTTAATCGTTTTAAACGAACTTAAATTTGTGTTCCGATTTTTTGATCACTCAAATGCTCTAATCACTCCTTAAAGATACAGAACGACGTATTTTGCTTTTTACTAGGGGAAGCACTTTTGAATTTGGTTCTTTTTACTAAACCCATTCTAAGTTTCCACAATAGAAGGTTCCTACCCAGTCTCTTGTGACCAGCGGTCATCTTTTTCTCCCACGGACTCGGGGGACGTAACGGAGACGTGAACACACGAAAATTGAAATAAACTATGGAAGAAATTCAGAGTGGCACTCAGAATCAAATATCTCTTTCAAACCCTCCCTTTTACAATTGTTAAATGCTGTTTGCCTCGTGCGTTCTTTTCCATATCGAGGATTGACTTTACCTCTTCACTTCATTTTTATTTCAGTGTGGTAGCTTAGAAAGTATGCACAGCCTGGATTCTTTTCAGTCCTGTGTCGAGGACGAGTTCGAAGGATCCTCCAAGTCAAGTGATGGAATCCTTTCGCCATTTACACCATCGTGAGTCCAAATGATTTCATTCTTGTTTCAGGTCATATCTTTTTGATCCATTATTTTGGCACACAGCGGAGGCGAGCGAAGACGGTTGGGACGGCATGAAACCGTTAGCGCCCTGCATCACGATTTGCAAAGTCGTGATCGCTAAATTTCAATCTGTATTTGTATTTGCGATATTTAGACAGGCTGGCCCAGTTTAGCTCAGGACAGGTTTAAATAGGGGCCTTTGTAAACAGTAACAAGGTCAGACAACAACACCGGGAGCAACGTTCCCTACTCCTTGAAAGAAGTGTGTGGATTCTTTAACATCCCTGCTAACCAGTACAGAGAAGAGACAGGAGAAAAGGCCTGCGGCTTACTTAAAATTTCAAATTTTGGTGGTTTTTTTTCCTAATGATCTTACTGTAAGCTGGTTTAATGCCTGTGCGACGTGTTGCGCCAGAAGAAAACCTTATGTTCCGAAGACAAATATTTTCGCATAAATCTTCGAAGTATCAAGATGCCAGTTGTCGCCTGGTTGCTGCTACTTGCCTTTACAATCTACGTACACGAAAAGTAACAGCTCATTAATTTCAAGCACTTATGAAATCTATTTCAATTTTGTCTCATGCTCTTTTCAGCTCTTCATTCCATGCTGATTTGCAAGGAGGAGAAAGAAATGAAATTTTCAGTAACAGTACCTCTGAATCTCTTCTTGCGGATGACAGTGACGTGATGTCCACTCATTCGGATACAACTCTCACGAGAGCGACCGTTGAGACTGTGTCTCTGGCGGATTACGCTTTAATGGGGGAAGAGTTTCCGTCAAATCTGAGTGGGTCTCCTCTCAGTAGACCAGCAAGTGCTACCACTGAAACAAACGTTGGGATGCATTTCAGTCAACTCAGAGGAAAGAGTTTAAGTTTAGAGAGTTTGGCGACGTCGCCGGATTCAAAGGGTGGCCACCAGAGAAAAAGGAAAAAACTGGATTTGCCGGTTTTGCAGATTCAAAATTCACCATCGCCGCCGAAAACTGAGAGGGTTCCGATTGTCAACACCTCGAATGTTCCCTTCAGAAATGCAAATGTGAAAAGTAACTTGTTTGGAAAGAATTCGGTTAGGAGAGTTAAAAGCTTGGATACCCCACGAACGTCCGTGTGCAGTGGAGAAGAAAAAGTGCTTCAAAAAAGATCGCGTTATAACACAAGGTTAGAATGCCATTATTATCTTCTGGTTGTCCTTCATCAATTAATTGTTTGCATTATATCTGAGCAATAGTCTTAGCAATCAAACTTGTCGTTTCGAACGCTCAATGTCATTATCGTCGAACGTAAGAAAGACCAAAGTGAGAGACCAAATATTCAAACTCAACTGAACGGACCACAGTATATGCGTGCGGGACTCTTTTTTTTCTATATATGTATCTGCGTTCTCAGCCTTTATTTACCTTTATGAATAATTCACTCTTCCATCCTTGTATATACCCAGATCCACAAGGTTAATTTCTTTTACATTCGAAAATGTTACATGAAATCGTCTGATTCACCTGTAACTTTTTTATTGGTTAGTTTGCTATTGAAAAGCTTTAATCCTTATTGTGACGAAAATTGTGGTAGAAAACTCTTAACCAGCAATTTTTCTCCTTAACCCTTAACTCCCGTGGGTGACCAAGACAAAATTTCTCTTCACAATATCAAGCAGACAAGTGATGAGAATAAAGAAAAATATTAATTAGGGGATTATGAGTTAATCCAATACCAAATTCTCTAAACCAACATTACAAGAACTATATGGCAGACAGTAAGGAGAATTACTAATGAGATCTTGAGAGTTAAAGGGTTAACATTTACCCTTCTCAGTTCTTCTTCTCCATGCCAATTTTTGAATAAGACTTGTTCACAAAATGGCTTGTCAGGTGTTTATAGCGACCTCAGTAGACTTCAAACGTATTTCGATTGGCTTTTTGTATTTGCCAAAACCAAAACCGGAACACAAACAATCTCATAGCAGCCAGTGAGAACTCAAACTAACAACAAGCAGACAGTCTTAAGCGCGGGAAAACGCGGGTGACCAAGTCGCGATTGGTTTTAGTTTTGCATCTGATTGGTTGAGAGGATGACGTCAGTTTTCTTGTTCAATCACAGAGCTGGGTAAAGGAAAACTAAAGCAATCGTAAACTGCCTTCGAATTTCAATTGAAAATTGATCCAATTGTGACTTAAGTGTGATCTGATTTGTTATTTGTAAAGATTGTTAAATAATATAAATTGATGTGTTTTCTTCCAGACCCGAAATGATTCGACTCAGGTGTTTTGCAGAAGAAGTTTCCCAGCCGCTAGCATCGTACACAGGTAATGTTACACGATTTTATTTGTACGTACGACGACACTGAGCAGTTTGTAATCAGTAAATTTTTCTTGGTTGTCAAAAAGGTTTTGTTTGAGTCCTTGAAAAGCATGGGATCGCTGCACATTTTAACAGGGCATGCTAATTTCCACATTGAGCTCAGACCAGGCGGTAGTATTTGACTGACTTGCTTCCTACAATCCTTTTGAAGAATGTGCCATTAACTCACGTCTTTCACCCTTCTCTATCTCAGCATTGACAGCCGTTGATTAGGTGGCGAACCCATCTACTATGCTCTTTATCATCAGCCCTCCTCTATCTTTCCTCTGGCTGCCCCCTGTTTCTCTTACGCTGTGATACCTATGTTCGAGTAATGCGCAAGTTTGGTTGGTTGAATTCGCAGTACCTGCCCTTTCCATCGGAAATTTTACTCAGTTTTGTGTAACACACAGCCTGTATACACTTTGCTGGTGTCAAACACCATATTTTGAGAGGGAGAAAGAAATAAGTTTTTGGAACCGACTGTAGGGCGTCTAAAGGCCTATTTACACGGCACGACTTTGTCGCATGCGACAAGCTTACGACAGGCCTACGACATGACTTAAGAGTCGTAAGCGAGTTGTAGGTTTGATTTACACGAAACAATTCGTGTCGTAAGTCTGTCGTAAGCTTGTCGCATGCGACAAAGTCGTACCGTGTGAATAGGCCCTAAGTGGCACAAGATATCTCCAGCCATTCTCAGGCTCAATGCCGCACGCTCACACAATGGTCACCGCTGTATAATAAATTCAATGAATTTTTGAACCAGACACAATTTGTAATGTATTGGTGCTAGGTTTGAAACCCATCACTGCAAAATATGTGGCACAAACTTTGACTGGTAATCTGTCATGTTACAATCTTGTTTTGTCAGGTTCTAACTTATTATCCTTGCGAAACAACTTGAGTTTTTGTATTCACTTGCTGTACGCTCTTCTCTGTGGACGACCAGTGGTGGTCTTTGCCGAACCAAAGAATGAAAGGTTTGTTTATTCCACACTAACTTTGATTGAAGGGGGTAAGTTTCTAAAGAAACTGTTGTGCTGCGTCGGTAGGAGAGTATAACAGGGTAATTTAGTGTTATCAACTGAGGTGATAATGTAAATTGGCTGCCGTAAAGAGTTTAAAAGCTGACGTGTCGAGCGTTAGCCCTTTGGAGGGGCAATTGATTGACATTGTCTAAAGTGCTTGACTCTTTGCCGTCAGCCTTCAATTTATCTCATGAATTCAAAGGTGATAGTATGTGAAAAATCGTCTGAATTTCTGCCAGTTATTCACTAAGTATTCTAGTAGAAATAAGATAAGATTAGTTTTCAACAGAGTTTCGAAAAACCAGAACCAAAGTGATTACCACGGGATTTCAGAACAAAGGTTAACATCATCAGTAGCCAATAAGAGCTCAAAGTAAAGACAGTAAAACTGACTGAAGCGCGGGGAAGTATGGGTGACAAAGTCGCGATTGATTTTAATTTTGTATCTGATTGGTTAAGAGAGAGGTGCGAGTTTTCTCAACTAGTCGTAGAGCGTAGTAAAGCAAAAACAGAGAAAACTGGATTATTTGCGTCGCTTATCTTGAAATTTCTCCTTGGGAAATTTAAGCGATTGGTCATTGAACTATAACCCTTAAGATCTGGCCAACAACTCTTCCTTTTACGTGTCGCTCATTTCATTGTATAGGTTAATACGGAGAATCGTGACTGAGAACCAAAGACAACACCTCCAGCTGATGAATGTTTATATTCTCATCGACTGTTTGTAGACTAATATGTTGATTTTTTGAGGAGAAAGTAAATGTTGATTACCGCGGGGAGTTGAACGGTTAAATGGCACTAATAACTTTTCCCGTGGCTTTCGCGACATATCAACCATTCACCTTACCTGATGCATGCAAACATTCCTAACGTGATCAGATGTCAAAACAACTGCATAAGAAGCACACAATGCATAACGAGTTTCTGTGTAAACTTGAACGAACAGGCTTAGTATCTGCAGCAATGGCCAAAAGATTCCTAGGTTTTAGTTTGAACTGCACGACAGAGTTGCGTCATACTATAAAATCCTGTATTTAGCGTATTATGAAAGTCTATTTTATTTAGTGACAGGTGCTTAATGTACTTCTCTGTGTTTTCTTTCTTAGGGAAGCGCGAATTGTCATCTCTGCTTTGTGGATGTTTGTACCAGAAAATATGAGGTCGGTCTTCATCTTTGATGACCCAGTGATAACCCTCTAGAGTCATTGGGGAGCTTAAGCACAAAAGTTTTGAGACACAGACGGCAGCTGCAAATAAAAAGTTTTGATTACTGGTGCCATTAAACCATTTCGATCAGCACAATTCTATTTAAAATGCTAAAACGTTGACCTTACGTTCGATACGTTGGCGTCAAAGCGCGCAAGAATTAGTTTTATTCTTCAACCGGTTGCCTCCCGCTTCTCAAAAACGTTTCTGCTTAAGTTCTAGGATAAGAAAGCATGAAAATCACCAAAACCGATTTGAAATGTGGGAGTCAATTTTTTTTTATTTCTAGTCATGGAAAGGTCGTGGATCCCTGGCGAACCAAACCTTTACAGATTGCTGACCTTGCATGGCAAGTAACAAGTGCTTCATTTGGTGCAATTACATGTTTGTTGAACAGCACTAGGGAAATATGTAGGCTATTTTATGAAATCATGATAGATAAACAGACTCTGACGAGATCAGATATTTTGTGTTCTTTTCTGAGCGATATGTATATTACCCCGTCCCCAGATAATAACACAATTTGGGTTAATTCATTTAGTTTTGATTTATTTCTAAAATATTTATTTTTTCTGGGTCACGAACAGGTTAAAACTTGTTGGCCTCGCAAAGAGTAAGCATTTCAACATGATTCCCAAATCTGTGAAGGTAAAGATTGCCAATAAGATAACATTTATTTCGAGTTATCGTTTACCTTATCGTCAACCTCGCGCGTTTTAATTGTTACAGCACGCATTACACGCGCAAAAAGGATAAAAGCCTAAGAGGATTTATCTCTGCCTTTTTAAAATACTTTTCCCCCTCCTTGAGAAGAATTCAATTCGCGATCATTCAACTCTAAATGCGTTTTTCTTTTGATCTCGTTTAGACCTCTAAATGTCGCTTTCGACTTACAGGAAGGTTAGGCGCTGACCTCAAATTTTCAGCTCTTTGTGTACTTAGGGAGATAGCGCAAATCAACTGTAGATAAGTCGAGTTTGTGATTCCTCAATAGCAATATTTGCTTTTCAGAGGTTTGTTTCTGTTCTCGACCTTGAAACAGATCGTATTGTTACGCCGCAGTATAAGGTAAGTATGATTGATTCCAAGAAAATAATCCGTTGGCTGAAATAAAATTAAAAAATTATACTGATATAAGGCCGGAACTGACTTAGATCTAACGACCAGTGACGTTACTCCGAGTGTGAGATGTAAAAATTGTCTCGTTCCTTGATGAACGCTATTCAAATCTTAGAGAGTTTTTCTTCTACGATCATCACCTCCCTGAATGCGGTCCTTGTGGTTAAAATTCCTCAGCCATTTTCGGTTTGTTCATCGTCATTAGTGAATCACTAAGAGACTGGTTACATCTTTATTATTAACAATAAATAAAGCCATCTGTGTTATATTTACAGGGATGTTATATTCGTCCAATGTGCAATATTAACAACATGTGGCCAGTAAGTAATACTCAGATTTGCCTTCATATTAGGGTAGTAATGTATATGACGGGGGGTCTATCTTAACAGAGCTATTTTCAATTCAGTTGAGTTCTCATGGGATTGGTCTGCTTCACCTTGCTTTGTGATTGGTCACGCCAACCTCTCAACCCATAAGATACAAAATTAAAACCAATCGCGTCTTGGTTACTTGTATTTTTCCCGCGCTTCAGGTAGTTTGCCCGTTTTATTTACTTTGAGTCATCATTGGCTACTTGAGATGTTTCCTTCAGTTTTGATTGACTGTTGTGATTACATTGTTCTGAGTTTCACGACACTCGATCAAAATGCGCCCTTATGGGTGATCTAATCCGTTCTATACAGCTCGTAATGACATCCACCTTTGTTGTGAGTGATGGTGTTTGCTTTGTGCACAAAATGCAGAGTGATCTCTCTAGAGTGTCCCTCCCTACCCCCCTCTCTCTCCTTGCTCAACATAAAGTGGAGCACACAGAATTAACTTTCCTTCTTTGTTTACTTTTCAGTCAAATGCAGCGTTAGTGGCATTTGTCCATAGGTAACTATATTTGTTTATAACTGAAGATTTCTTGTTGGTGTCACCTTTACTTTTGTTTGATCTTCGCTGAAGCGATAAATCATTTTATTTGAGTAACGCACAGTTTTATTAGAACTATAATTAATCAGAGATTAAGAGATGCGTTCGAAACACTAGTCAAACAACTTCGAGCTAACGATCGAACAACAAAACTACCCACGATTCCAAGTTCTCTCCTAAAACTTAATTTGGAAATGATGTCATTTGGTGTTCGCCCCTGCTGGGGGCGGCCGAATTGGTGTCCCAAGACTGGTCCTTGTCCCAAAAATTCTCGCTTAAGTTTGTATTAGGAATGCGTTCTCTTTCGTCGAGCGCAATTACAGTCAGACGTGCAGTAAACAAAAATCGTTTCACTACTAAAGAAATTCTGCTTTTATAGTAATTTTCCTTTTTGAGAGTGGTCCGTCTAAGGACTGCTGGCAGTAGCAGTTTTAGTGAATTCATCATTTGAATCGCGACAGGAATCATTGTTTATAAGTCGAAGTTCAGAAGTCTGGTTCGTGGAAACTGAATTGTCAGTGTCACTATCATACAAGTAATTGGCTATAAGAGTCTGAAATTGTGATTGGCCAGTTTTCACAACGACTGACTCGTTAGTCACTGCCTTTGATAAAATCCTTTTTCAGGGCTACGTACACTCGAACGATCACATTGCACAATCGAATGTTACTTCTGGGTTATAATCATTTGATTTAGCATCACACTATTGTAGTTGGTGCAGCTTAAACTGACTCGTGCACTGGTTTCGAACGTTGCTCTTTCAGCGTCTTCTTAGAGTTAGCGAACAAGGCTTACGTATATTACTTTGCCTATTGCCTCGGAGGACTCCAGTGGTGTTGCTGTAAGAGGTATATATTTACATGTGAAACGTTTACACCTAAGTCATGTCTTTAATTTATATTGCCAACTGTGCCTACTCTTCAGTGTACCTTGCTTCTTCTTTGCCACTTTATCCTCACACTCCTACTCTATTTTACTCATTGTACAGCAATCAGCAGTCACAGTCTGGACAGGCGATCGCTGATGTGGTGAGGAGTAGTTGTTACAAAGTGACGATTAAATTTATTCATTAGAAAGATAGACAGCCTTGCACATGTCTACGTTATAAGTTTCTTCTCTCCCATGTTTGTTTTTTTTTTTTTGCTAAAAAGACGTTGGGTTTTATTTATGTTCCGTAGTTGAATGCAGGATTCTTAAAGTTTATGCGAATTCTGTCGTCATTTCCTATTCAGGAATTTTTAGTCAGTCCTAAGCTATAAAGTGCGCATGCCGTGCATTGTATTGGGAAGCCTGTTTTTACACATCGGTTAAGTATGACTTTATTCCATTTTATCTTATCTTTTCATAGGATGGTCCTGGAGTGTTGAGCAGACTTAGAGTACATTTTTCAGACGCCAAAATAGTTCAGGTGAACTAACAAAAGATTAGATTTTGGGATGCATTTGTACCATGTTCAAGGAAGGAGGGAGTTGGAGAGTTCGTTTCACAGAACAAACGATCAAGCAAATGAACGGAAAAACAGACAAACGCATTAACCCTTTAACCCCCGGAAGTGATTAACATGTAACTTCTCCCTTCAGTATCCATACATTATCCAGCAGAAAAGTAAGGAAAATATTCAAACTTATCAGGTAGAAGTTGCTATCTTGATCTAACAACAAATTCTTATTACTAATTTACAAGGAAATGTGTAGTGGCCAGAGGGGGGAAATAAACAATCAGATCTTGGGAGTTAAAGGGTTAAAACGAACAAATAGACATAAAATAACTACGATCAAATTTACAATACTTGCGATGAACGGTTTCATATCTAGTTTCTGTCATTGCTTATTCAAAGTAGAACAACAACCAGTCAGACATCACAATTTTATTATTATATGTTTCTAGTCAGCATTTTAGATTTAAGCGTTATATCAGTACATTATTAAAGCAGTTTTGAACCTTCTGTTATATCCATTCGAATTTTATTCTAATCGGCGCCCGTTGCTGTTTTTCAGTATTTCACTGAACTCATCAAGCAACAACAGATTGATTACTTTAATAATCTTTCAGCGGATCAAGGTAAATCTTAACACTAAATTAGCCGTCGGGCAGAATAATGACACTTACCATATGGGTGTAGACTTATTCATGGAAAGGGGTTATCCACCTTTCACAATTGGGGGGGGGGGAGGGAGGGGAAGGAAGAAAAAGGCAAGATAAAGGCCCATCCGGTTAAGAGGTGGACTCACATCACTTCCGTACCCTTTCCGTTTTCCATCGCACTGAGCAAATACAAGTACTTTCTATCAGGCTTGGATGTTACGATGATTCATCACAGTCTCCCTCCCTCCCCCGTCCTACCCTTCCCTAGTATTTTTTCAGATTTCTCAGACAGAGGCATTGTGAGTGCATAAGAACAGCTGGGGGGAAGGATCCTGGGGTGTCCGTGCCCCCCCCCCCCACCCCCTTTTTTTTCTAAGTAAAACACGGCATGGAGGTTGATATGACAATCTGGTGAGTACCCTTTGTTTGACACAGTGTGACCCCCTTACGCCCCTGGAGCAAGGTGAGGGTGTCTTGTTTCAGAACATACAAATAGACTTGGTTGAGGTTTGTATCCGTAGTCCACTGCGCTAATCATAAAGCAATTGAGAGTAGAGAGTGCCTGGTTTTGATGGATTAGATTAGGTTACATGTTTATGAGCTTTCACAAAGGAGAGAGTCATGCAATTTTAGGCACACAAACGCAAAGGATAGAGCCCAGGCCGTTGAATGTAAATTTAGCCAATTTCAATTGGTTAACATGAAATTAGATTTAATTGGCCTAAGCGCGGTATTTTCTTTAAAAAATGATTTGTTTAATTAATTTCTTGTAGATTTTGTCGGAGAGATAACACTTACTCCAGAATCAGGTAAGTTTTTAATGCTCTAATTCTCATTAAACTCTTGCTCAACAGGGTGCATTCCCGTTAAAACCTGAATTTTCTGCTTTTCAGTCTTAATCATGCCATCCCTTTTATTTTACTTCAAAGGTTAAACTCACATGATTTGAGTATTTCTTATCATTAGCAGGTTATAATAAACTATTTACTCCATTCATAGCTGAATAAAAAATAGCTGTTGATAACAACACGCACAATGGTTGTAATTATCTTTTTTTTCACAGATTCTGCTTCGGAGAGGAGATCATTACTGATCTGCACTGATCCGTCTAAGTGTATTATATTACGTAATTCGAAGCCCCAGGAGTCCACATGAATTTCAAACTCAGTTTCAGTTCAAAAATTGTACTAGGTCCATAAGTTGTTTTTTTCCCCACAGGTTGTTATTTTTCTCCCATTTCTTTTATGATCTTAGTCGCTTGGCTTTGCCCCTTGAAGGCGTTGAACCTTAAGCTACTTGCTGCATGATTTTTTAAGCATAATTTGTGGTTTTACAAAGCGAAAAATTTCTGCGGTTTTCGAACTGACTTACTGTTTTGCACGAAACATGCAGAAAACAGAAAAATGCGTTGTGATTAATAGCTCCAAACGAAAAGCTGTCTTATAAAATAATGACCTACTGGGTCTAATTATCAATTAGCTCTACAGGAGTGCTTTTTTCGTATGAAAACTATTTCGATCAACCGGCAAAACTTGGTTTGGTGCCTTTCTATTATCTCGTGCTTTTTTTGTACATTCATGAATGCTTTGATAAATTATTGTAGATATTAGGTAGAATTTTTAATTTTTTAAAATATCTTTTTATACTTAAATTATGAAAATCCTATATTCTTAGTTCAGAAAGCTAAAAGATGAATGATTACCGAAGAGAATATGTAATAATATCTTTGAAAAGTAAATTTGTGTAAAATGACGTGCCCTTCGATTATAAACCCTTCCTCTAGTCGTTTACGGTCAGTTTACTATCATTACCCGGGCCGAGGCACAAAGGACGCATGTACCACGCGATGGGATGGAAATGGATGAGGAATGTCGTTCAACTGCTGCGCTGTCAACAAAATAGAAACATGACGATTTTAGATATATGAAAATTCACATATTTGCACTGCGGTGGAAAGATGAAATTAGAAGATCCTCGCAGCTAAGAACACTACTGAAACGAGTAGTTGTAAAATAGAAACATATTAAATTAAAAGATTGGACCGTCGTAAAAATTATCTCCGTAAGAAAAGATCGAACTTGAAGAATAAATACAATCAAATAAAAGATATTCCAAAGCTGTTTTATCAGAGTAAGTTATTTTTTTGGGGCTTTTAAACTCGAGGGATATGGTTTCCAGCGAGAAAATGTTCACGTACCGGCAGAGTTGCTCGGAGTTTTTAATGGAGAATGACTAGGTGCTGCAATGGTTGTCAGCTGGACAACTGACGTAATGCACCGATCAATTCGAAGCTTCAACATCTCTCTAAGGGCATTTGATTGTCGTCCGTGCTCAGGGGGGTGAGTAGTTTGAACCTTACTTAGGTGTGGTGGGGAATTTGGATCGGAAGTGTCAAGTCTTTCCATCGGAAAACGCTCTTGTTTTATCTTTTCATATGAGAGTTCACATTCGCGAGCGGATGGCTCAGAAGAAAAGACCAACAAGGTCTAAGATTTGAAGCTTGGCGAGACAAATAAATTGACGATCAAGAAGTAGAAACGGTCGCTGGTAATGCCTTTTACCAAAAAATGACCATGAAATCCAGGGGACGGAAAATTTTGACGTACCAATCTTCAGAAGTTTAAATGCTCCAGGTTGGAGGATGTTGAAGCCTCAAATTGATCGACACATAAGATTGGTTTTCTCTAGATCCTTTGAAGATCGTCGAAGAGAGGGGTGGTCTTAAAACCCGGGATTTTTAACCCGGGATTAAGGCCGATTTGGGAGGGTTTAGTCCCTTGATTTTATTCTCTTGGCACAATGAATAAAGTGACTTCTCGGTATCATGAGCTACAAAAAAAGAGGATCATTACAAGAGACGTTTGAAATGATACTGTACGGTCTAACCTCTCCACGACAGAAAGAGGAGTAGAGTAAAAAGGCCGTTGAGTATGGCGTGACGGTGACGGCCGCCCATAGTTGAAGCGGGTGCGAATAGTTACTGCTTTCTTTTCAAAGGGCAAAGACATTTATCATGCTTACTGCAGGATGTAAATTCATAACAGTCGCGTAACATTTACACACGACCTGGACGTAATCACATGGCGTTATGGTCCATTTTTTAAATCCTTTATCATGATGTAAACTCGTAACAGGCGCCTAACATTTACACACAAACTGGAACGTAATCTCATGGTGTTGTCCAATTTTTTTTCAGCTTCACGGACTATCATCTTTTCTTAAATATGGAGCTGCGCTGGCGCACGCCTTGTTTGCAACAAGCCCATCAGTATTTAAAGACCTGCACGGGGAGTTTCAGTTATCAAAGTTCTTTTTTTTTTTCACTCCCAAAGCCTTTGCTCTAAATCCTTTTTGAATGTTCTTTTAAGCCTTAAGTTTGTAACCCCCCCCCCCCCCATAAAAAAAATTTAAAAATTAATAAAATTTCAGCTTGAGAACGTTTATTGCTCATAGCTCAATATGATCACCATGGATAGTGAAGTCAGATTGCAGGGTCAAACACTCATTCAAACAGCTGGAGAAAAACAGTCAATACTTGGAATCCTTTTATAAGATCCTGTAGAAATTTCAAATGAAAAGTAAGGAAACTTGGCTCCTGGTATTGAATTTATTGTTTGGGCTACACACCTTTTCATGCAAGAAATTTATTTGAAGACAAAATGACATTACACTAAAAAAATTAAAGTGTGGATCAAATACTATGTACAAATATTTAACACAACAAAACGAGCCTTTCTGATTATACAATATGTAAATTTTCGCATTGTCTTATAAATTACATGTATATCTCAACAATACCCTGAATACCTCAAATACTTTGTTTACTGTAGAGGACCAATAAAAAAATATGATCAGAACATATGAACAAACCAAAAAAATCATGACCCAACTTGCCAAACCAAAGCTGCTTAGTCTAGATTTGTTTTCTCTTCCAAACTCAAGATAATTGCAGTTTTCTCAGTTTGGCAAAACAATTCCATTACTTGTGGCAGTGACAGGAAGCAGATTTGGTGATGTTCACCAATTTTAAATCAGTATATTAGTGGGGGGGTAATGAAACTATATTACAATGGAAGGCACTTACTCAAAAAACTGTCAGAAGTATGAAATTTAGAATATTTCTTTTATGGGGGATAGATCTTCAACAACCTCGGACCCCATAGTAGTTTAAGAAAATTGTACCAAGCTAGAGAGTGACTTTCCAACTGCAGTTTCTGGAATTTCTAACAAACTTTCCCAGGCCACGATTATTGCTCGTGGCATGGTCAGTACATGAAGAGAGATATTTGCTTGTATCACAAAAAATATCCTTGTTGCAGATGAAGGAACAAGGTCTTTTTCAAGATCCATACAACTATACAGAGTCTCATATCATAACCACCATTATTAAGTAAAAAATAAAGCATGCATTTTTTGACCTCTAACATGTCCTCACATTGAATCATCTTCATTGTTGTCATTGCAATATAAACAATTAAAGTTACTTTGCAAGTCATTTCACATCTTCATATTAAATAGTTTTTTTTTGTTGTTGTATGCATAGTGAAGACAAATGGCTAAAAGTCATCATCAACGTCCTGTTTCCAGTTGACACTGTCCCTTTTATTGTCTGTGTTGACATGTGATCCATTACTTGGGGTAAACGGACCAAGCCCCATTGACCTGAGATGGGCATCATGCATTTTCTTTGCACGCCGTGTCCTTGCAGACATTTCCCTGTTTGCGATTTGAGGCGCTGCAATTAAAGGAACACTTCTGTATTAATTGAGTAACTGATAAGTCCTACAAAAGGTGAATTTTTCAGTTGTGTATTCATACACTTGCCAAGCCTTTGAACAAGAGTAAGACAGAGGTTCACTTTGCCATGCAACTTCAAAGTTAACTGCTTTACACTTGTAAATCACTGTTGTTATCATGTAAACTTTTCTTTCTTTTTTTTATGATCACAAGATCAAGCTTGACCTCACTCCTGTTCAAAGGCCTGGCAGCTATGCCCAAAATTGTGAATGGATTTCTACCCTCCTACGAGACATCACACCTGGGTTTGAACTTCATATGACCAATTTTTCCAGAAGAAAAAGATGACAGTTCACAAACCAGTACATACACATGATTTGTTACAAGTCATTAATCATAGCATACCTCCAGCCATCCGCAGTTTGCTGTTCAAGAGATTTTTCTTCTGTACCATATCAAATTCATCCAGTTTAGGAGTGTGTCTTGTGTCTAGGATGTCATCAGGTTGGTCAACAGTCGAGGTGCCATGATTACCTTGAATGACCTTGGGGTGATCTGAGTATGAGAAGTTTCCTCGACTCGCAATACTCCATGATTTATGATCTGAATAAGTAGAAGAGGTAATCAGGTCACTACATGTAGAGTATAACACAACATGTAGATATCCTTCATAACAGGAGCTTGGAAAATTCTTATAACTTTTCAGATACAGATACAGCTGCCTTGATTACAATCTTCTTGTTACTCTGAAGCAACATTTGGTTTACAAAAGTCTAATTTGACAATCTGTGGTCTGTGGACATGTTTCCTTGTTTGATTCTCTGATATTGGAACAAATTCAAAATTTTACAAAATTTGAGGGTACCATAATTTATAGTTGAATGCTCACACTTGTATGGATCTGTCACTTTAACCCTTTCATTTTAAATCTTCCAGTAAAATGACAGTTACTTGTAAAAGCTTCTATTTGTCAAAGGTTTATGTTCACAATTTATTTACCTTTGATAATACTGGTGTTTGGGTACAAAATTACCAAATTCCACAAAGTAACATGTAATTTTGGGTGAATGACAAACCACAAGTAAATATGCTGTAATTTCTACAACTATCAAAAATAACTTCAAGACTTTAGTAGTGCAAATTTACCTATGTGTTGCAACTATCTAGTTACAAATTTAATGTTTCAACTTTTTTAATGAAGAATTTTCTCCTTTATTGATGAGAATTTATAAAAATTTGTTATCTTAATAAAATTGTGATTGCCTGATAGAGAGCCCTGACACATGTAGAGAGATATACCATATACCAATAAAGCAGTTTTGAAAAACAAATTTTCACTTTATATCATTGCCATATTCCTCATTTATAACTTGGTTGATTGACAGAAGAATTTCAACACTGAATTTTATAACTCAACATCAGAGAATTAAAATCAATGAATTGGGCTCAAGGTATTTCAATTCATACCAGCAATGATCGCAAAATTCCATAATACATGAAAAAAGTGTATTTACTGAAAAATTAAGATGTGATCTACACCATACAAAATCACCACGTTATCAGAATCCAAAGCTGGAAATTGAAAAAAATTCAAACAAGTCAAATAATGCCAAAAGCTAAGCCCTAATCATATTGTATTTGTATGCTTTCTTAAATTAAAATACATCTTTACATTCCTCAGTTTCCAACGTAAACAGAGTAGTTACAAGACCAAATAGCATCAATAAACATGAAGTAAATTTGCCCAAATCTACCTATGAACGGGACTGGTGAATTTATGTTTACCACAGACACCTGACGTTAACATAAAATCGACTTTGGCACAGTCGGTGTTGAAGTGGTTTCTTACGCCGAGAAAACTGAATACTTTTAGTAGACATCTAGTGGCTAGCAACTGGGTGAAGAACGTAATATAAAATCATCATCAAATTAAAAATGTAAACTTTATTGCTCCTACCGTTACTATGGCTATGAAAGTCTTCGTTAGTGTCATGGCCCTTGTTCAACATTGAACTATTCGCTTCGCCCGTTCCTTGAAAATAAAATTACACCAAAAGTTAGTAAGAAACAAGAAATGGTGTCTTGCACAACTCTACCGGTATGTCCTGGAGTAACCTTCGGCTTAAGTACAATTAGGGCTCTGCCAACTAACAAAAACACCGTAACATCTTTTCTCAAGAGACGCGAAAAATTCCGTTCCGCGATTACTTAGGAGGTCATTACGAACAATAATCTTTCAAAAGGAATGCACGATTAAACTTACCACTCAAACCTCCGTGCCTGGAATAATACGACGTTGAAGATTTGCTTGTGTTTAATATGGTTCCTTTCTTTCCCGCCTGGCTGACTTGAACATTTTTGCGAATACTCCACACATCATCTAGTTCGCAACCTGCGAAAACGTTAAGAAAGAAATACATTGCGAAAGCATTAAGCGATGAAAGATCTTGTTAATAGAACAGTAGTATAAACAGACACGAAAATCATCAACAATCACTTTACCGCGAATATATTCTTACCTGGCGAGCTACGGGTATCTTTGGTTTTTAGAAACTTATTCTTAGGTTGTAAAGCCCGCTCTATGCTATCTTCATGATCATTGTCGGTGCTGCTGCTCCAAGGATCAACTTTCTTGTTTTTTCCAGAGTACAGAAATTTATTTGGTCGACCACCTGGTAGAAAACAGCGCAAATTATCATAAATTTCGAGATAAATCTGGCCTCTTATCCAGTGAGGCCCTACTGAAAAAATTATTCAGCTCTTACCGTCAAAGTTTTGGTCGCCTGACTGACCAAATCCCCGTCCTGTCGAGGACATAATTTCTCCTCATCGTGTTTTCGCTGATTGTAGTGAAGGAGGCATGAAGGTGAAGAGCGTTCGCAAATTAAAACTCATGTTTCGTTTCCAGGCCCTTCGCTATGTAAACATAGATAACCTGACCCATTCTAATTGCATGTTGTACGTTACGTTGCGTTGCAGGACCCTCACTAAGGCAGTTGTTCCTAATTCTTTTTCTACATCAACTCCTTTATTAAAATTGTAAGCTATTGAGATTCATATGGATTTGAACATAGAAAGAATTGCTATTATTGTTTTTATCGGCCCAGCCAGCCAGATGGTCTCCGTTATTACAAATACTTCCCGTCTAGGGTAGGTTTAGGAACTAGCATTTACCTTGACAACTCCAGGACGCCGACTGAAAATGTGCGCGCTTTTCATAAACAATCTTGAAAGCCGTTAGAATTTTGTTGTTTCCTTTAAGGCTCAACAACACCGTATCATTATTCAGCGATGTCAGGAACAACTCCGAGAACTACACGACCATCTTCAGAAAATTTAAAGAAAACACGTAAAACGCAGGCTTTCTCATCGGAGAACGAACTTGTAGGCGCCCGAGGAGGCACGAAACCGCGAATTGCACCCTCCGTGATAGATCATGGATTTCACACAGATAAATACAAAACTTACTATAGTGCTTGGACGCCGGTTTTAAATAGTGCATCAAACAGTAAGGTAAAGTAGCTTGGCCAAGTGTTAAAGAGTAATTGAAATTTTACGGTTGTTTAGATAATGGTGTGTTTAAACAACCAATTTGAGTTCCACTGTTATGGAAATTACACAGTGTGAGTTTGAAAGCATACTTGTGATGATTACAAGTTTAACATTGTTTCCTTCACTCGGTTTGTTTTAGATTTTCGTAGAGCGCTTGGATTTGATCGGACACTGGGTAAGGAAGGAATAGAATTAAAATTTTAGGACGAAATGTTTAGACGAAACAAAAATGTTACATTGTTAAAGTGTTTCGTTTATTTCAATCAGTAACCACTTGGAACTTCGAGCCAATGTCTTATTTATGAAACTTACTGTCTGTAATTATTTGCGGTTGAAGAGTCTCAGTTTGAAGCAGTTTTTCAGGAGTAATGTGGGTTTACTGAAAAATTAAACCCAAAGCTAAAAATGTTTAGATTTTACTCAAATTTGCAGTCTTTTCGCTACATCATTGGCCCGGGGTGGTGTCGGGGGGGGGGGGGGAGGGGTGGGGATGAGGGATGAGGTTTACGTTGGGAAACTTATAGAATGGCGGCTTTCTTTTCAACCAATATGATGTGATTCAACTTATTTTGTGTCATGTGACACAAAGGGATGACTACTTACATATATACATGATTACAGAAAAAGAAGTAACTGAAAATTTTGTGTTTTGGTTAGACATCAAGAGTTTTTTAAATGCCTTTTACTCTGTGAAATAACTGTTACAAAATTATCTGATTGGTACTCAATGGTTTTGATAAATCTTCCTGAACTTTAGGGTTGTCGTTCTTGGTATTCATGCCATAGTCCCTACCTTTGATGTGTAAGAAGCCTAAACAACTACTGCATAGGAGACTGGTGATTTTACTCCACTGAGTTATGTTTATCAAGGGAGGAATGAGACTTATCACTTAGGTGGTGGCTTAATGTAAAGAGGGTGCATTAATAAGGGCAGGGTGCTGTAAGACCCCCACCTCTTGGCTGAGAGCGCTCCCCCCCTTCCCCCCCCCCCTCCATTCCCACTTCCTTCTGCTAAGTGAGTTGGTGGATGTGCTGGGATAGGCCTACAAGCATTAGGGTTGTCCTAATCAATGACCATTTATCTCTCTTTTCTCAAGTCCATTGTAGTTTATATTCTTAGGGAATAACTTTATTAGCCCCAGGCCTCCATTCTGTGCCCGGCTAGCTGTTGACTGACATTTGGTTGTCATATGATCACTTGGTTTGTCAAGTAAATTGTTCTAGTTGTTTCTTTACCCTCTCACCTCCCTCCCTGGAGACCTTTTCTTGATTCCTCAGGGACTCCTCGTTCCATCAGTAAAGATGTCCAATTAGATTCTGTCTTATATGTTGGCTATGTTGTACAAGAGGGGTGTGGCTGGGAATAATCATGAGAATTCAATATGGTATTCTATTAAATTAATTTTTATCTTAAATTCTCATTACCTATGTGATTGGGACTTGTATTATGATTCTTCATGAAAAAAATATTGCATAGTCACCTCATACCATTTGCCATGCATGAGAGTTGAAAAGTTCAGTGCCACGGAGATTTTACCACAGATTCTCATGTTTTTCTTTATGATGTATCTGTCTGATTTCAAAACAATCCATGATGAAATTCACCTTCTGCCAATTTTTTTTTTTTTGGCAGTTTTCTATGTGGACAGATGCACAACGGAAGAAATTTCTTACATTTATTCTAAAGAGATGCACCAAGTCACAGTTAAGATTTGTGAATGAAGGATGGTTCAAAAAACAACTTCCAATTCTCCATTTAGACTTCACAACTGTTTTGCCGCAGTTCATATCCACATATATTTTTTCATTTTTGGACCCAAGAAGTCTTTGTCGTGCTGCACAAGTGTCATGGCACTGGAAGTTTGTATGTGAACAAGATGTCATCTGGATGCCAAAATGTTTGCGGTATGGTTGGTATTTGCCTTACACACCAAGCAGTAGAGAATTTGGATGCTGGAAACACCATTACATCATGTGCACTAGCTCCCTTGATATGGAAGCTCCATCTAGGATGGTAAGTTTTTTTCTTATCTGATATGTTACAAATAACTGATATGTGAGGCAGTGTGCATGACACATTTATGCTCACCTGTATATACACTGTAGGCCACTGAAGGTGTGTTCATTTCATTTTCGTAGGCAGAGAATTATGGTCAATTTGCTGACAACAGCCTTCGAGTTACTCAAGGAAAGATCAAACAAAAAGCAAATGAAAAGAGGAAGATCAGAGAAGCAAAGTATTACAGAGAAGGTATACAGGGACATAAACTGTAATCTGACCTTGTAAGCTAAAATAACAAATTTTAACAAATAAGACAAGAACTCTCTCTCTCTCTCTCTATAAGGCTACATTAGGTATCTTTCTTTGCTTCAAAGAAGACTTTTTTTGTCCACAGTAGCTTGTTTTTCACCTTTTATTATTGCTGTCTCTATTTTATAGAAGTTGATGAGCCATTTTTACCTAATCCTTAAATTTACTTTTATCACACAAAACCTCCTTCATCGTAGTACAACTACTGTTATTTACCTTTAAATGAGCCAGAAATGTTAATTAACTATGTTTTCGCCTAAATTACAGAAAAGTATATTATGTAAGAGCAGTGCATTATCTTATATGGACTTGATTGAAACCATGTAGCCAACTGAAAAATAAGCTTTGTAATAAAATTCTGCCCCAGACTGCTGATAATCTACATCTTTCTGTGTCCTCTCTTTTCTTTCATTAGAGACTCGCCGTCCACCTTGGTTGGACACTGATCCCCAACCCAGGGACTTGGAGAATTCAAGGAAGGCTATGCTTTATGAACATAATCCAAATCAACCATATTCTCCCAACCAGCTGAGAACTGAGAGACTGGGACTGAGTACCAGACCTTTGCACAGGAGGTCAGCGACTGCTCCAGCACACATGGCAATAGAGAAGGTTATGAAGGTAATTACTTAGTGTTAAATACTATAAAATGAGCCAGCACATTAGTTAAACCTCATGCAATCTTAAAATAAGCATCAAATAAAATAGATATAATTCATTCATTCAATGACAATGGAATGCAATTTTGCCAAAATGTTATCATTTTACCCCACCCCAACCCAAGATAACAGAAACCAGCACCCTAAGTTTGCTTTTTGTCCACTTTAGTTTGCATTGAATGGAAGAGTGCAAAATTTTGTTGGCTTGTTTGGGAAAATATTCAGACAGAATCTATAATAAAGGTTTCCTTGTATAGAAGGAAGACAGGGGAAGGGGGGGTGGGGGTAGTGGAAATAAAATGTAAAGGGTTAGACCTCGATCCAGTCCGTACTATCCACCTTACTGAAATAGGAGTTACTTCATCCCTTAATTAGTAATGTGTCACTTTTCTTTTATTTGGGACTAAGTGGAGTTTTGCAATTTCATTTTTGTCTTAGATCAGCGAAACTGTCGACGTCAACGGCAATGTTATTGAAGAAGGAAAAGAACCAGTACCCTCTTCAAAGTTGACACTCACAGAAGCTCTTGCCGCCGAGTCTGGAGGTACACCTCACTTGTGCTATTACTTCACTGAGCCGGTTTATACACATGTTAATTATCTTTGTCTCGACATCATCTCTCAGGGATGGAACACCTGAGAGTGACTGGTTGAGTACGTTGTTTTAGATTTTAGATTCAAGCATTAATGCTTATTGGTATTAGTACTCTAGACAAGATTAATAACTCAGAAATGCACCTCAGCATTCCAGCTACAAAATCGTTATTCGTGGTGTTTGTCAACTCACTCTTGCTTTTAATGAATCTGTAGTGGATCAGACGTGGCCTCAACCAGTTCCTTCTTCACCAGTGCGACGGTAGGTTGTTATGTCATAATATTAAGTCCATCTTATTTCTGCCACTCTGTCTTTCATAGATCAAACCCATCACTCACTTACCAACTCTCTCATGCTTCTAAATCCCAATTGGTTTATCTTACGACGCAATGTAGTTGGCCTAGAAAAATCACCCCCACTCTCTGATCGCTTGCTTTTTCTCGCATTTTTAAAGGCTGATTACGCACGACAACTGTAATTTACAGCAATTTTGAATTGAGTGTGGAAAGTAATCTGGGATTGCTTTGGTTATACTTAACTCTGTGATTGGATACTTAGCTCTGTGGTTGGTCCAAAAAACTCGTGCCATCCTCTTAAACAATCAAATGCAAAACTATAAACAATCGCGACTTGGTAATTCGTTTTTTTCCGCGCTTCCAGCAGTAAGTTTTCACTTTGAGTTCTCATTGGCTAATGTAATGCTAACCTTTGTTCTGATTGGTTGCTGGGATTAATTTGGTTTTGGTTTTTCGACGTTGACGGGTTGACGTTGTGACTTTAACCTATGACATTTGAAGATTTCGTATTCAGCAAGAACCTTGAACTTTAATGTAAGTCAACGTACGTTTTTACTTCTCTTTGGAACAAGCAGTTTGTGCATAAATCCGACAGAAACTTGGACACAATTTTTATTTTCTTTATTTTCGCAGACAAGATCTTACGTGTGGAATTCATCCTAGTTTGCATGACTCCATGCTAATAAAAAGAAGTTCTCAGGTATCTGATATTTTTGTGTTCCGTGTGTTTTATCCGCTATGTTTTTCTGAACCTAACTCGCGTAGTTTTGCAATTTACTTTGAAACCTTTTAAAATGCACGGACATATTCAGTCTATGAAACAGCTATGATAACTTAAGGTGTCCTCACACGTTTTCGTCCTTCCTTAGTAATGTTTCTTTTTTTCCATGAGAAATGCCACAATGCTTACAGCCTTATCTAAAAAATGATTTACAATTCTAGGACCTTTCAAGCTCCGTTAATCCTGCCGTTATATTTATTTCATCGGAAATCCCAGCATCTGAGGTAGGTTAACCTTCTCGTGAAGCCGCAAAAAAAGATTGCATTTCCCTCTTCCCGCTTATCGTTAGAATCCTTCAGTTACTTATGGAGGTGAAAGTCTTTAAGGTTTAGATACTCTTTTACAAGAATATGGAGGGTGGGAAAAGTTCAGTGAGTCACTGATTAATGTAGTAGTATGTACGTTAGAGAGGTTTTGATTGCTTTAAGGTTTGCATCTGTTTGGTCGGGAGGCTTCAAGACCAATCACTGTGCTTGTGTGCACTGAAGAAAAGAAATGTAATGCAATCCTGGGTGCAACACTGTGAGTTCGGGAAAGCGCTTTTCACTTCAATGTGGTCCCTTTAGGCAACTCTTGTTTCTTTTCTCTTATACTTTCTTACTTGCGTTTAGCCTCGATATTGCATTTTTTCGTGTAATACCTCATTGGGCTTTGGCTTTTCTCTCTTCTGGTTAGTTATTGTTAGAAGCTGTTAAGTTTGGAGTCATTGCAATCCCGTACGAGTATGAAGGCACAACCTTAGACGCCTTGATGGAAAAGTTAAGGCTCGCTCTGCAGGGAAGACAAGCCAAGTGAGAATTTTCTGATGGTTGTTATCTATCAGCACATGTTAATCCATCAAATGTTTTTGCTGGAGCGTGATTGGTCGTATCTTGTGACGTTACTAAATATGCTCCAGTTAAAACTTGGGAATACCCAGTATTATTAAATTTTCAACTTCGAATATTGCATATCTATTGTTCCGATTGGTTCACTCAACTTCGGTTATTAGCACATATTCCGAGTTTTGTTGGATGCGAGATTTGTTATGGTTAACGCGGCGCTACGTGACTTGTGGACTATTTATCATCTCGTGTCCAGCTTTCGCTCGTTAAAATGATTGTTTAACATTCCCTTATTTTCAAATCTACCTCAGTTACCTTGAAAGCCTTCGCTTCAAACTTAATTTATGATGGGAAGGTTCTCTACTGTTGTTACACAAGAAGAGATGTTTATGACGCGAAGCTGTTCGAGAGAATTTTGTGCTGCGTACTACAAAACGTTTTCAAAGAATAAAAAAAGAACAGTCGCCTTTATTTGGCGTGGTATTTGTGTGTGTTTTTCGTCAGACGTCTAAGTTTATGGTTTTAGTTTTCCTCGAAGCTCGAGGAAAGCCGTCCTCTTCTCGGAAGCTACTTGTGAAGTTCTCGAAGTAAGACATCGTGCCTGAGATTGGTATGTTTGAACGTCAACCAGGGAAACAGAGTCGGTTACATGAGGCCGGAACTTGCTTGAAAACTTGTTTTATGTTCTTGACTTCGTTACGAAGCAAGAACTTAGTCGATATCCAGTGTTCTTGACTTCTAGCTTAATTTAACTCAACGGTCTGGTGTTTCTGAAGTTTTGTTCTCTTTGTATCGTCTTTCACAGCTGCATTGGTTTGTTTGCTTGGGGTGACTGTGGCACTATACGTCTTGTGAAAGGTCAGTGACCATGTGAAGCTAACTTAGAGTTTTCTTTTTCGTTCCTTTTTTTTAAGGATCTGAATCTAACTTTCCAAGTCAAGGAATTTTCAATTTTAACTTCTGCTTTAATATCTTTATGATGGCATTTTTGCAATATATGTGATTAATCAGAGAAATCTTTCTGTAACTCGTTGCGAATTCACATTAAAAGCGGCTTTTGTGCTGATATTGGGCGTCGTGTGCTGTTGAAACTAAAACAGTGTTATGTGCACAGGTAAGATATTATCAGAAGAGACTGTAAATGAACCAAACATGCGACACTTCTGGGAAACAGTAACGACAAGTGTTATGGCGCGAGAATCTGGAGGTCACATGGACATATTTATACCGCTGGTTGAAACAGGTGAGGAGTCTCTTATTTGTTCACAAAGAAAAAAAAGCTATGGGTTAATTCGTTAATTGGTTTACCATCGTGCTTTACTGAGGCTGCAGAAATCATAGAATCCTTTACACGCTGGCTAAGTTAGGCGTTTGAAACGTCGCTAGGGAGCACGCAAATAATTTACCTCGCACACTGCACTTTCAGGAGTTCAATAGAAGCTGGTGTCCAGTCTACCGCCACCCATAAGACCTCAGCTATTACTGTCGTCCGTTGATCCTGTCAGCAAGCTCTCTTTCACGTTTGAGTTTCACCTTACAGCCCCTTTTTTGGGTACAACTGCCCGTTACTCCATCAGCATTTGAAACCCCTGCCCTTTCCAGACTAAGTACCATGTACTAGTTTTTTGACAAAAATGTTTTTCATCTCCGTTCAGAGAAAGGAATGGACCTGTTGGTGCAGTTGGGTCTCTTAACCGACATGCAGTTTTCTTGTCCTACTGGAATGACAGGATCCTTTGCAAGAGGTGTGGTTGGTAACTAAAAACTTTACATGTTTATTTTCATTCAATATCTTTCGAGTATGAGCGCCTGTTTCGAGGGAGATACTTAGGCTTAGTTGTAATTGTGTTGAAGTTCTGATTGAATGGTCCTGAGCTTCAGTAAGGGTCAAGGATGTGGTGTTCCTGCAAAATGCCTCTCTCGGTTCAAGGTTTAAACGGGAACTTGTCTGGGAAACGTAACGAAATTTTCAAAAGAAGACCTGGGAGGGACGAGTATCCCACCCAAGGATTGAGAGAGAAGTTAGAAAAGTCTTTACTTGAGCCACTTGGCGAATCCATCCCCCTTCTCCCCGTTGAATGGGATGCTAGTCCATCGCCACGTTTCATCAGGCTCCCCGGACAATTTACCGGTACCTATTTATACTCCTTGTTGGAGAGAAGCGCTGTGAGAGTAAAACGTATTGCCCCAAGAAAACAACACAATAACCTGGTCAGGCCCAGACTCCAGCGTAGCTTTAACCATTAGGCCGCCATTTCTCCAACGCTGTAAGAGAAGGGGGAGGGAGAGGGGGAGGAGGAGGTAGGAAGCAATACTAGGGCCACAATAATCACGTGAGCTGTCATTCTTATTGATCTCTTCTCGAGTCTTTATCTTTAACTCGTGGTATATTTTCTATATATTTTCTATGGTATAAAATCTTGTCTTAACCGATTCCACAGTGGAAAGCGAATGGCTGTTTGTCCCCAACTCTAGTTCTCCGCCATCTTTGTATTTTAATGCGACAAAATTTGGTTCTTGGTCAAACACTGTGGATTATATCGAGGTTTGTTATTTTGACACTCAACAATTTATTTCATGTTTCAGTTGAAAGAGAGGGAATTTTTATCAAGTTACGATATAAGCGTCTTTTTTTGTCTCATCTGTAGGAATGCGTTGATGTTGTAAAGAAAAATCTCGACTGTTTCTTTACTGAAGAACAGAGAGATCTGGCTAAGCGTCTTGTTGGTAAGTTAACGCCAAAGAATGCCTTGAGGAACTGATTTAACGTGACAACCGGCAACGATTGGGAATCAGCTGTACTTCCCAAAAACGTTTGATGAAAATATAGAATAATAAAGAAGAGGAAAATGACATGGAAGGATAACGTACACTGATGGATGTGCAGTCGTAAGATTTTAAAAAGTTTAACTTCAAAATTAAAGTTGTATTTGCAAATGCTTTGCCATTTCCTGGTCACTGATTTGCCCTTATTTTAGAGCTAAAATTTAAGTTAGCGGACAAAACAACTGCTCGAGGAAAAACTTGGTGTTGTTAATATGTCTTTTCTAGAAGCTGAGTTGTGTGACGTTTTTGTTTCAGGACAAGTCACTTTCGAAGCCCTAGGGATGTACGAGTTGCACAACGTTTCTGAGATTGCGACTGTTCTTGTTGATGCAGTCGCCTCTCTTGGAAGGAACAACGCATCCAAGAATTGGGTATGCGTAGAAGATTGTGTAGTTACCGCTAGTTGCGATGATTTAAAAAACTCCCCTGAAAATAGTTACTTACGTCCGTGCATAACACATAAGTTATCTCATAACTCCTTGACCCCTGAGAGTGACTAGCATCTAATTTCTCCTTACAACATCACCCCCAAATCATACATTAAGGTAATGAGAATAAAGGAAATGATCAACATTGAACTGAAGAAAGCTCTTGATTATTAAACAAATTCTCCTTTTCAGCACCTTAGGAAGGTATCCGGTTAGATCGCACCATGGTTAGATCGCTCCCAGTTAGATCGCTCCAACCAAAAGTTAGATCGCTCCACTCGAAAGTTAGATCGCTCCATCAAATAAGTTACTTCGCTACCAACGTAAGGTACTTCGTTTCATGTTGTTCTAACTTTCGAGTGGAGCGATCTAACCTTTGATTGGAGCGATCTAACTGGGAGCGATCTAACCATGGTGCGATCTAACCGTAATTCCTTAGGAAATGTACAGAGAACAGTATGGAGAAGATGCATACTAATTGTAAGGTTGTAAAGTGTTTGCAAACGTTTCGACTACCTATAGATGCGCAAATAACTTATTTTTCGACTCTTAATTGCGTGATACCGAATGGTTAAACCTATCTATAACGCGCTCTTGTTAAATATTACATCTAAAGTCATTTTTTTGTTTTTGCAACGTTTTTCGTTTCTTTTTACTTGTGTTTCATTAGAGTGACCCAGTGCAGGGCCTTATCGATTATCTTCAGAAGCACGGACATAAAGATAAGAAATTCAAAAAAGTTCGTAAAACAACGGTAAGTCAACTATTTATCCCCCGCATTACTTTGGGAAGGGTGTGGATTTTGCTCACCGTAATTACTCGATTGAATACCGCCCTCGATTAAACGCTGAAGATGGAAGTAAGATTGCCATTTAACACCACCCTCTAATAAAGGAAGGAAACTTAATCAGGAGAAAGCAGCGCGCATTTGAGGATATAGAATATCACGATTATTCACATCTGCAATATTTACAATATACCAAACTCAGCATAATTGTCTTGAACTCCTTCCTAAAAGATCTGTTCATGATCGTGTACAACACAGGGTTGATTAAACTACTAATGTTGCAGGCGTATGGTACTAGCAATGAGATATCCCGCGGTATTCTTCCCAGACTGGCGCGGGTCGTAATGATTAGTACAAGTACTGGAATCCATAGCATTACGAAGGCCAGCACTATGGCGTACATAATTTTCGTGATGTTCACTTCTCTCATTCGCATCACCATTATTGTCTCTCCCTTTTGTAAACCTTGTCCGACCTGTGTGCCATCACCATCTTCATTTTTCGGCGCCTGCCGTGGTTGAATGCGTTTTATCGTTCGAGAAACTCTGCAGTAGCTGAAAAAAACTGTTAGGAGGGAGAGTGTGATGAAGACGCCAAAGGATGCCATAGTGTAGACCTTGTGTTTGGACGAAGGAACACACACAGCGTAATTAGCATTAAAGGCGAACCCATCCTCGAATGCAATTGGTAGCGGCGTCAATGCAAAGAAGAACCAGACGATGATCATTGCCGTAAGGGACTTTCTTGGGGTGAAGATTTTTTTGAACAGCTCGGGCCTTGTGACCCGAACATATCTGTTGATGGCCGTGAAAGACATGGTGCCGACAGTGACGTGTGTCATGAAAAGAACAGAAAAGCCGCAAACGGAGCAGCCCACCCGCCCAAACTGCCACTGACCACTGACCAGAGTCACTCCCACAAACACACCGTTGGTAAGGAAGTTGAGAATGTCGCTGATCGCTAAGGCGTTGACATATATGGGCGTATACCTCCGTAAGATCGGATTTCGTGCCAAGGCAGCGAACACCAGAATGTTTCCCAAGAAACCAGTCAGAGCCAAAATTGTCCAAGAAATAGACTCCAGATAAACTCTAAGGAAGCTGCGCGCAGAAAGCTCAATTGATGACATTGTTTACTTTTCTGTTCTCTTCTTTATTCCTGAATCTGCAAATGAAATTGTAATGTATTAGTTAGTTGCTGATTTGAGCAGTTTTGTCAACTGAAAACAAAATTACCTTGTCAATTTTCTATAGATTTTTAGCCTTGATTTATGACTCTCGATTTCTTAATGGTTTTTTTTTCTCGCGGCGTTTTTTGCGAAATCGGTCGGTTTCATGACTTCGTCTCACACATCTCCGGTGAAAAAAGGGCAACCGGAAAATAATTCCACTTGAAGGCAATGTCAGGGTCTTTCCTGAGCACTAAAAGAAGCGATATTAGCGAGTTTGAAACGCAGAATTATCAGCGTAAATGAATCTCCAGTTCATCTGTTTTAGGGAAAGAAGAAACAAATTTGTGCCGCAGAATAACTTGTTTAAAGCTGTTTCAATATAGAGGACACAAAAGGTGTTATTTTTGTAGACTTATTACAGTTTTGGTTTATGGTAATTTGTGATGCAAAACCATTTGTAATTAAAATAGAATGGAACCTTTTGATAAAAAAATATTACATAACTAATTCGCTTGTTGTTTGGTCATGGAAGCGTTTAAAAACATTTTCGATAAATAGTTTTGCGGGAACCTATTTTCGGTGAAGATCAGACGTTAATTGTGGTAAATGGACACTTAATGTTTCTCTATTTGTTATGTAAAAACGTTCGGGGGTGTTCCTAAAGAAGTGAATCGCAACGAGCCACTCTATAGTACGCATGCAATTTGCAGTTCCTCGGTCCCTTCACAATATTGTGAAAGCTAAGCTGATATTTTTTAACTGAATTGAGTAATAAAAAGTGGAGTCCAATATTAAGGCGCTCAAATTGTTAATGAAAATGATATTTCCCTCCAGCAATAAAATCCGTGAAGGAAGTCGAATTGGTGAGGATTATGATAGAAGTTTGAGCTTAATGACAGGTCTGTGATGAGGTTTCACCTGCTAGAAAATTTAACTTACTTTTGTTTGTTTAGGCGCAACAAGATGATTTTGCTTCAGTAGTGGAAAATGATGATGCTGATTCCGAGGACGAATTAAACACAAGCCATTTGGTAGGTTATGAAAGCAGTAACATGATTATGATCATGTAAAATCGTAGACGGGTGTTTGAAAGTGATGGCGGAGAAACTCACTGGAGTTTCACCTCACTAAAATCTGCCATCAAAAATTCCTTAGCTTCGTCTTCTGGCTGTGATTCGTTTTTAGAAACTTCACGTTCGGTTTTAGTGAGTGTCACTTTTACAGCTTGCCTGAAGCGTGGAAGGGCTTCCGTTGAGGAGGAAATTAATCTACAGAATATGCTGTGCGGAATTTTAACAAAAGAAAAATTAATCCCATCCAGATTTCCATGTGATGTGTGATAAACATTTTCTTCTCATCATTGAGCTGCACTCAATTTGGGTCCGTCAAAATATATTCTTCCGATTACACGCAGTGTTTTATTTCCCCTTGCTTTCAAAGTGCATAACGCCTTCAAGTTCATCTCATATTTTCGAGAATCTCTTGTGTTAGTTTATTCAGTTCTGAATGTCTCAACTGGCAACAACTCTAATCGGTGCTCATATCGGGGAATGACTAGTCATTGGGATTTAAATCCCCTATAAAATGGCGCTTGTGATAGAAGCTCAAACTTCTGTCATAATCCTAACAAATTCGACTTCCTTCACGGATTTTACTGCTGGCTGAAAGAATCATTTTCACTAACGATTTAAGCGCCCTAATATTAGACTCCACTTTTTCTCAATTCAAAAAAAATCTAATTTAAAGTTCCCTTTCCGAAGGCACTCCAATCTGAGGCCAGGACCGGCACGTCGGTTGGTGAAAAGAGGGCACAAGTAGCTCATGAAATACTCTCAACAGAGGTGGAATACATGAGATGTCTGTCTATTATTCAAGATGTTTTTAAGAAGCCTTTGCAAGCATCCCTTGCCTCAAACAGGTTTGTATTATGGAAGATATCACATTGACTGACTCACTCTAGCGATAACGAAGCTTTATAAAGTGAACCCTTTTTTCTCGTGGAGCTAACGTTTAAGATGTTAGTTGTGATTAGAATTAGGACGAGTAAAGTGTTGAAGAGACAACAGAAATTTCAGTTTGACTGCACTTTAGCCGATTTAACTAAAGAAAAAAGAAAGATAAAGCATTAATTGCAAAAAGAAAACAGTTAAAAGGGGCATTTTTATCATAAATAATGTCTCTTTCGGGTTATGCATGGTAATTTGTTACCTAACGCGAAACTGATGTATGAAAGGAAGGAAACTTTCCGCCTCTCTGCATCGCTCTCTTTCTCTTTCTGTTTTGTTTAGCTTTCCTTTGTGTTTTTGTTTCGCTTTCTGCATTAATAGCAGGCTCCAATTCCGTGGAACGAAGTTCTGATAAGAGAGGCTCACCGTATTTTAACGTAGAAATTCACAACAGCTGGAGTGAATTAAACTGTTCTTGCTTTTTTCGCGGCGCATCCAAATTGAGAATTTATTGGTTTGGAACGAGAAAGGGAAAACAAAACAGAAAAAGTAGAACTATCGGGGCAAGAACAAAAACTTCAACCTACTGTGTCAGTTGTATAGGTTTTGAAAAATTATCTCCGTGTTGGATAGTTGTTGTCTTTTTCCACGTAACAAGTTTTTTAATTTTTAGGGCCATAATCAGCTCCGCGAATATTCAGAGTTTGTTTGCTGACAGTGAGACGCTACTGGCCCTTAGCAGGTATAAAAGATAAGAAGGGATACAGATGGATAAAGATCGAGGAGATCGACGAATTGCAAATAACGAATGCGAGAAGCCCACTTTGACTTGCTTGATTGATAGTCTGCATACTAATTTCCAGGAGTAACACAACACTGTGGATTTTTCTTATATTAGCTATCTAAAAAAAAAACACACTGTTGGACCTTATCCCTTGTTTAACAACCTAAATCGACAAGAAGAATTAGCTACCCTGGCATTTTACTAGATATTCCTGACAGTTCGCGGGCGCCCCTCCTTACATTTAGCCGCGCGAGGAGAAGCTCTGTAAGAGTTAAGTGTCTTTCCCAGGGAAACAATACAATGTCTCAATCAGAGCTCGTACCCAGATCTTAGACATCTGGTATTTTGCGTGCAAACAATTGATCCCAGATAATAACAGTTTTTCGTTTGAATCTGTTTCAGTCTTCTGGTAAATGACTTGTCAAGCCGGTTAGACGAATGGAATTCGCATCAAGTAAGTTCACGGGGACCAAGCATGTCTCCCGTCTCTGAAACAAATTACACTTGCGACATTTCTCGCTCAAAAGTAACTGAATCTGGTTCAAACAAAGTAATCAAATAATGTATTTGCACTCAAGAGCTACAGCTTTCAACTTCAGTTACGCTTTGCTCAGATAATAGATTCTTGAATTGATTTTGTTAGAAACAAGAGGGATTTCCCTTCAACTTCTCTTCGCAGATAAGAATCTTAGGACCAGTTCCTTGTTGATATTAAAAAGAGCTATTTTCGATCAACGACGGTTACATTGCAGCCATCTCATCCCCAATGAAGGGTAACATGAGAGTAACAAAACTTGTCAGCCAAAGGTTTCATTGTAATATAACATGAGATTCTCTCAACTGCTCAACAAGCAAATGTGTAGCTGCTAAAAAGGAGAATTACAGATCGGATTTTTGGAGTTAAGGGGTCAAAGAAGTCAGCATAAGCTAATATAACATAAAAGTATTGAGTAAGCTGCCATTTATTACTACTGAAATGTTACTATGCTTAATATTTTTCAGATTCTGGGAGACATTTTCCTCAAGTTCACAAATCAGCTGCGGGCCTACACGAACTTCCTGAACAATTATCCTGTCACTCTACAAACACTTGAGAGGGTAAGAAACCGCAAGTGACCTTAAACTTTTTGCGGTCTTTGTCCTCCTAGAGGAAAAGATATTAACCTATTTCTCGCACAAAACTTATCTCAAGAAATGGAACTAGTTCAGGATAAGTTTTCAGTTATATTGGATTAATTAAGGTTAGCGGTGAAAGCTTAATTTCATAGAGCAGTTTTCAAATCAGTGCCGAAAGTACCTCAAGATCGCTTTGGTCGTGCTTTATTTTGCTCTGTGATAAGTCTATAAAACTCGTTCCACTCTCTCAACCATGCAATCAGATTCAAAACTCACATAATAAAGGGGGTAAGTTTCTAAAGAAACTGTGGTGGTGTTGTGTCGATGGGAGAGTACACCAAGATAATCTAGTATTATCAACTAAGTTGATAACGTAAATTGGCCACCGTAAATAATTTAAAAGCTGAAGTTTCGAGCGTTAGCACCTCGTCAGAGCGATCGCGAGTTGACAATACTAAATTACCGTGCTAAACTAATCACGACTTGGACACCCACGTTTTCCCGCGCTTTAGGCAGTATGGCTGGTTTTTCTTTGAGTTCCCATTGGCTCTTAAAAGTACCTTCATTCTTCTGATTGGCTCTTGTGATTACTCTGGTTTTGAAAATACGATACTCAATCGACAAGTGCTATAATATTGCATTTTAAACCGTCCGATTACATCCATCCATTAGTATGCAAGGGATCGTTGGTTCGCACAAAATCTCATATTTTCTTTCGGTGTTGAAGGTGGAAAAGCGAAAGGTTCCCTGATTGAGTTATGACTGCATCGTCTGTTTCGTTTATTTGTAACAGTGTAGAGAACAGAATCCTCAGTTTCGTTCATTTCTCGGCCGTCATGAAAAGCAGCCAAGCACAAAAATGATGAGGTAGGTTGTAGAAACAAACTGATCAACGGACAGACGAACAGAGTGAACCTTTGAGACTTTGATAGATTGCTCATGTTTGCTGAAAGGTCCACACGTTAAATCTTTCACCCCCAGTTCCATCATAGTTCGCATTTATTGAAGAATGAACTAACTCTTATTGTCACATTTCATTTTCAGTTTACCAGAATTCCTTTTTCTTCCGGGAAGAAGAGTGAAAAGGTTGGTAAAATGAAGAGTTACCAAACTTTTTTTCCTTTTGAAAAGTAACCTTCTAGCCCAGAAATAGGAAAAAAAATTGAAACATGCTTTTAAGGCCCAACATTACCAAATTTTTAAAATTGTCATCGATTTCGAAACGTGAACAGAGCTTATTTCTTTTTCTTTGTCTTTAGTTACGTAGAACTGTTGGAGGCTTTCTTGAAGTACACGCCCCCAGATCACGTGGATAGGAAAACCCTCCCTCAGGCCATCGAGAAGTTCAAAGATCTCGACTGTTTATTCAGAGAGGTGAATGCAGCAGAGGAGAGCTTTGTTTAGTTTAGGCAAACTGTTACTTTAGTCTCTCGTCAAAACGAACCCTATCGCGACCGTCATTTGGTGTATGAAATGACCAAAGCGTATACTGAAATCTCGAAGCGATGAAAATGTAACTAATTGATGTAGTAAACATTGAACACGATCGTGGGTTATAGATAGAGCGCATTTAGGAAGAGGTTCGTAAAACAAGACCAAAGTGGAATGTTAAGTTTCAGTCTTTTTGTCCAGTTGGCGTATACTTAATGAAATGCTCTTCTTAACAGTACAAGAACCGGTTAGAAAGAGAGAAATTTCTCCAAGAATTGCAGAAGAGAATAGTTAACTGTCCGGTGAGTCGTTTGTTTTCGTCTATACATTTGGATTCTAAAAACTTAAAAGCGTACACCTTAGAAAATTCTAGAAGGGTTCGTGCAGGTAATATGGGGGACATAGAGGCCCATGGTAATTGCGCTGGGCTCCGGGTCTAGAGGTCTGGGTTCGAAACTGACTGAGTCAATGTGTTGTGTTCTTGGGCGAAATAATTTATTCTCACAGTGCGTTGCTCTCCCACTAAATGGGTACCGGCGAATTATCAGGAAGCCTGATGAAATGCTGGGGCGTAATCTTACGATCGACTAACATCCCTTCCAGGAAGGACTTATAATACTCCTAGTCGCTTCATGCCAAGGTAACCGGGATAAGGTCTGGCTTGGAGGGCCACTGGGCTCGAGTACAGACTTAACTTTCCTCCATATATCTAATAACTGACTTTCTTATACAGGTGCTCGCTGAGAAGGGTCGCCATTTCATTCGTGAAGAGAATGTTATTCTGCTCTCCACTCCAAGCACTGGAAAAGAAGTAAAACCAGAATTTAGGTAAACAGAATTAAACCAGATGTGATTAGAGATTAGTAAATAGTCCGTAGTCATGCGTGCTTATATCAAATTATGAAACACCTCCTTTATTCCATTTCTTCCATATTTAATAGCTGGCGAATACCTAAGAACACAATTGGAAAAATAAATCAATCAGTTAAGAGATAAATGAGAAGAGACTGGACCTCGAATACAGAATCAAAATGTGGGAATACAAAAAGAATACAAAGGGGGAGAAGAAGAGAAAAATTGTTTCTTGAAATTTGAAAACGAAAGAGATTTTCTACACCTTAGACCAATACGGTCACTTCAGAATATGATTGTATCCGATAAATCATTCTGTTAATTTTTTCGTTGCCTTAATTTATGCCAGGATTTACCAACAAGTTGGAGACCTTGGTTTCTTCTTGTTTAATGATGCTCTGGTGATCACGACCCTAACCTACAAGTTTGTACCTTTCCAAAGACTAGTTCAACGAAACTATAAGTAAGTAAAAGCAATATAATTACAAATTTCTATTCTTAAGTGATTAGAGGTCGTTTTCGTATCTAATTTTGCTATTTTAAGCTATGTCACGCCATTCTTGCTCCAGTTTTTGCGTTTCCAGTTGAATAGAACTGTCCCTTAAGTGTATTTGTAAGTGTATTTCAATCACTTCTTGCTTCTCAAGGTTCCAAGCATGCCTCACCTTGAAGAAACTGAAAGTGGAAAATCTAGCTGATTCAAAATGTAAGTTTGTTAATTGTTAGTCAATATATATCCCGCAAAAAATTATAAATCTGATAAAAATTTAAATTCAAATTTATGTCGAGCCACCTGATCATTAATCAGCCACTACCAGTCGTATTGAGGGCAACGAAAGTGAAGGGTATGTAAAAAATAAGTGTCTGTGGAGTAGGAAATGGAGTATGACCTCAGCGAATAAAAAACAGCTTTGAATGTCTCCAAATCCTCGGAAGGTGCTAATGCGAACTCCCTTCCACTTCCTCTTTACTGTAAAATCCTCCCATAACAACGTTTTCATTTTCATTTTAGATATAAAAAATGCATTTACCATTGTGTCACCAAAGAGATTATGGTTCTGCCAGTCACACTCATGGGATCAGAAATTTCAGTGGATTTCCGTTCTAGAGAGTGCCATTACCTCAGCATTAGAGAAATGCTAACGCATCCAGCGCCGAAAAAATCTCCTTTCCAGCCGTTGTTTGGTAATGTCACGATGTAAAATTCAGTTTCTCCGTCGAAGAGCACGTCGCGTTACAGAACTAAACAAGGGCTGCTAAGAAGACAGTTACCCCATTATACCAAATACCGTATTCTTGCCATTACCTTTTGGTGAGAGTTTAACGGATTATTCCACTAGTTAAGGAAATTCTTGTGTGATGTTCGTTCGCCTCTTGACACGAATTTGTTTTGTTTTATTTTAATTTTGTTCTGAATGCAAATTAAGCAAATACTCTTGTAAATAAGTCAATTTGTATTTCACCTTTGTAAAAGAGAGCAAAATTGTTATATGAATGACCAGAGCTATTTTGAGGAATTTAGATACATGACCTGCGTGGATTTTTTCAATAAAAAAAGGAGAGTGTAACAACATTTGAATCCTTGTAATTTGATCGAGTTTGAAAACCTCTTTTTGGTCTTCAATATCACTAAAAACAAAATATTAGGACACCACCATTTGAATCCTTACAGCCAAGTTCGCTACCGCAAACGTTTTAAGTACCACCGTGATACGGCCTCCAACCGACGTTGGAAAGGTCTATGATTGGTTTTAAAACTTGCAACAATCGACCACTTGCAACACTGAAAAACAAATCGCGACTTTGTGGCGAGGGTTTTCCGCCAGCAAAGCCTACCGAAACTTCATATTTGTTACGTAAGTATCCTACATTTGTATGATTTCTCATTGTGATTACTTCCGTTTCGTTTCCAAAAAGCTGACTGAAGAGTGAAGATAGCAGCCGTAAGATATGAATCATGTGCTCGGTTTTTAGAATTTCTCACGAGTTTTCATTGATTCATTTCTTCACGTGTGGGATGCGGCGAAGTGTAAGAACACAACTTACACACAGTCTACGCCTAGCCAGGAACAGACCGCTGTTTAAGTCTTGCGTCGGCAGCAAAGATCATATCACCATAGTGACGATAACCTTATGCAGCTGCCTATCATAGGGGGTTAAAGAGGTGGGGAGGGGGGGGTACTCTGGTAAAATGAGTACTGACGCCGGAAAAACGAGAACGGTGTTAGAATATCACTAAAAAATACAAAATTGTGATCCACAAATTAGCAGGTTCTATGCTCAAAAGAAGTTTTATTCTTCTTGACTGCATATATTATTTCAGGTAAAATAACCTCAAGAGAGTTCCAGGTGGCCAATATATACAAATACCTGCTTTGTTTGATACATCGCTTTTTACCGTCAAAGAAAGAAGCCGGGCGACTGAAGTCTCTTTTCAAAGTTAAAGATAATGGACAGGTGTATGAATTTATAGGAATCGCCATAACACGGCGATTTTAAAATGTGTTAGTGAATGTACATTTTGCGTTACGTTTTTTGTGTTAAATTCAGAAAATTCCCTACCGAGAATATTTAACCACGAAAAAGTCACTACTAAATTTCTCAGCAAAAATGTGCTCCACCAGTCGCAAATTTGGTAGCTCACCGGTGAATTTTCTAAGAAAGTATTCCTCTCCCCCCGCCTCCTCCCGGCCGGTGCAATTCAAATCGAAATGTTAGCGGCAGTGTGTAATTAACAAGACTACGTGATCTTAGTGTTTTCAAAGGCTAAACTTTTGATTATTTATCTTTTGAAGTTCACTCTTCAGTTTCCTAGAGACCTAAATATCACCTTTCTGGCGCTAAGAATATCATTTTCTTCCTTGCGGCGATGAAACTGAAAGCGAACTCGAGATGGAACAAATTGTTGACTTATTTCCTAGGGGATGAAATAATTTTTAGGGAAATATTCCTTACGACTTAATCATTTTACGTTGCGCAACCATTATCAGCTGTTTTTTGTCCTGAAACGTGTTTTTCAATATTCATTACTCCTGATATTGTAGCTCGGTTTTTAACCACGTAAATTTTAAGTGATTTTGAGTTATAGAATATTTTACTTGAGCAGGTTTAGTGGAAGTAACTTAACCTCTGTGCCAAGATACGGTTAATGTATACGTCACGAGCATTTTCCATTTTTTTTTTTTTTTTTTAATACAGTCGAAATATAAAATAATATTGGTAATTTTGGATAAAACTGCATCAAATGAGTCAATATCTGGGGTCAAATGTTTTCTTGAGGTAAAAAGCGTGGTCAAGCCGGTACTATATTTGCTCCTTTTTATTAGTTATAACGAGGCCTAACGTTTCCTAGCGTAAACAAACAACCAAACACAACGAATACGTTCTGCTAGCTTCTCCATTTACAGTATTGCTCTTTTTGAGCAAATTTTTAAATCCGCGCGTGAATTTTATAAAAAGAAACATCAGAACACCGAGTCAAATTGGTAACAAAGTCTTGAGAGGCTCTTAAACACGGCTCCGAAATGTTGGCTCTCATCGATACAGACAGGTGTTTCAAACTGGCTAAACAACTTCCATATGCAAATTTACCAGCTCTTGTCACCGAGTAATCCAGTCCGCCACAGCAAGCTTTATAATCGGCGCAGCATTTATTTTTGATGAAAACAGCAGTCATCCAGGCGACCATACGATGTTGTGCGCGATCTTCTCAGATTCGTCTCTGATCCTTGACCAAGACTCAGCCTTTTAAGTTCATATGAAGCGCTGTAAGCGATAGAAAAGCATGAATTCATCATCGCTTTCGTTGGACGAACTGCGTGTTTCCTTTCCCAGACAAGGATCGAATGTGCAAAAGCGAAACGTTGATGGGGAAGATAGCTATAATGGCGTTGACAACGCGAAAATGAACCGTCTAGCAGTCGACAGAGAACTAAGAAAAAGGGACACTTTACTTTCGGGAGATTATTTCTTCACGGACGGAAACAGAGAAGATGGAGATGTGCGTAGACTACCAATTATTAACCCAGCATCCAGGAAGCAGAAAAGCAATTCGCAGCAAGCACGAAAGGAGGTTGAAAGAGGAGATTTTAGCAGCCCGGGTATGGAAGACTTATCGACTTGGGGTAGACCAGCCACGGTAAATACAAGAAGAAGAGAAGTCAAACTTGAAGGAAACACAAACGTAAGGAATAAATCTAGATCTCCAAGGCCACGTAACTGTGAGGAAAAGGCAAAAAATTATGATATGGAAGATATCGGCTCTTTAGAAAATTCCCTTGGGCGTTTTGGCGATACACGCTTTCGCCAGTCCCTCGACCATTGCACCGAATTACACAGGCAAAACAGAAAGCTGAAATTATTTCACCCACCATCTAGTCCAAAACCGGACCTTGATTTCGAGGGAAAAGTCACCGAATTTAAAGAAATGGAGTTCTCGATAATCAAAGGCCAGAATACAAATTTAGCAGGAAGACGTAAGCACCGTGCTTTGCTAGAATCTCCACGAGCCCATGAAACGGAAATATTTCACGCCGAGTCACTTGATGCAAGAAAGACGCCGAATACTTCGATGACAAATTTAGGAAAGCCTGCTATAATGGGCCTAAAAGCAAACACTGAGGAAGGCCAAAGCCACTATGATGAAAGCACTAAACGATCTGATCTGCGATCCCCGAGACCCCGAAATTGCCAAGATTTTGGCCGAAAGTTCGAAAGTGATTCCATCGCCGAATCATGTGTTGTTGATAAGAAAGGTTCAAAAGGTCCTCCAAATTCCCACAAATTACCTCCCAAGCTTAATTTAAATGGGACAGCAAATTCTTTACAGTTGGAACAAAAGGGATTTTTGGCATCGTCACCAAAAGATAGTTCTCCTAGGCTATCTCCAAAGGAATCTGAAAGTAACGACCAGCCTTTATTTGGTCTTTCGTCAAAAAGCCGTCAAGTGCAAGAACTCCCTTTAGATCTTCCAGAAAAAGTCACCAGGTTCATAGAGATGGAGTTCTCTATCATGAAAGGAGAGACTGCGAGACTGAGTCACAAACAGAAGTACGTCGTTTCCACCGATGCGGAGTGTCCTCGGGAAAAAGCCATGATTTTTCCCAATCGTTTGAACTCGCGAAAATCGGAACAAACTCTCTCGCTTTTACAAAGACGTGGTCGAATGAAAAAGAGCTCGTCCTTAAACCTGAAATAGTTTCACCTGTTTGATAGATAGATTACTTTTTGCACTGTGTTCACAATGACGTCAAACGTGGGTGTAGTTGGCGTTCTTTATTCCTGCATACTGGAGACTTTTTGACTGAAGACAGACATAACCGAGAGCATTTTTGATATGAACGCAGAAATGAACTTTTTTAACGAAAGAGGGAATAGCATGATTTTCAAGAGAACAGAGGGGGAAATCAGTCCTAATTGACAGGCACTAAGGGAGGGGGGACATGAAAAAAGGCGGAAAATGCTCGAAGCAGTGGGATCAATTTATTACCTTTTTAATGATCTTGTATTTTTTTTAGCTTTGTTTGTTGTTCAGACACGATCAGACACTGACCCTTAAGCAATATCCTCCAATAATGTTGGAATTTCCTCCTCTGTTAACTCTTGGATAGCCTCCTCGTTCGATTCCTCAGCAGAGTGCTCGTCCGAGCTTGACTCTTCAGTTCTTTATCCGTTTAAACTGGCTTCTATTACAGGCACAAAGGGGGGGGGGGATGGGGGGGAGGAGGGGGGGCATGAAAAAGGGAGAAAATGCTTGAAGCAGTGGGATCAATTTATTACCTTTTTAATGATCTTGTATTTTTTTTTTCGCTTTGTTTATTGTTCAGACACGATCTAATGTAATGAAAAAAACAATTGTTGTGCTTGTATGTATTAAACGTGAAGCTTGAAAATGCGGTTGCGGTTTAAGTTCTATAGTGTAAATGTCCATAAAGTTCCATGTTTCCAATTCTTTAGAGTCATTGAGTGACATCAGTCCCCGCATTGGGAGCGTTCGATAAACATGGCGGTACATTATCCTTACAAACAATAACAACAGAATTAAGAAATATATCAATATACATACATTTTGACAGGTGTTTAGTTTAGAGTGACTGCTTCGTCCCCCAATTCTCCGTTTAACTCAGCATTAATGGTTGCGATGCTTATAAGACTATTGATATCTTTGATTGCATCAAACACCTCTCCAGTTAACTCTCTCGAGGTGAGAAGCAAGTATACCCTCTGTTAATTGCATTCGCTTCTCCTTTAATCTTTTCACATTTCCTTTTTTCCCTTTTTTTCTACGCGATTGCCGACCTTTTCCAATGCGAGATGGAAACTTCCTTTTTAGTTTTATAGGAGCTGTTCAGTTGTCAGCTTATTTGAGACTTTTTGAAATTCTTCGCGGAGCATCTTTAGCTCATCACTTGCAAAGGGTTTTGGAGTATGGTCTTCTCTATACTCTATAAAGGACTTTCCGCTTTCTGTCGATAAGAGATTATAAACTGTTTGTAATCTTTTGTCTGTTGCTGATTTCAAGGTGTCATTTACGGTGGCCAAGTAGGACTCACACTTGACGTACAACATCATTATTACTCTTGAATTTTATGATGTTTTGATATACTCCCCACTTCTTTTTCTCAGAAGATTGTTTTCCCTTAGTCTGAAAAATCTTTACATTTTGTGTTTTGACTGGCAGCACATTTGCTGTTGTTCAAGGTGATACCGTTTGAATCCGCCCTGTTTATTAAAATCAGCAGATTAACAAATCTGCTTAACAACGTTTACGTAAAACTTAAACCCTATCGGTGTGTGGGTTAGCAAGCAGAAATTGTTTCCATAATTCCTTTTCTGACGATGCCGAGTCCTTCCTCAGGACTAGTTGCTGTCCAGAGCGTCCAATCGATATAATTACCTGTTTTCTCCTCTAGGGAGTATTAGACGACTTAATGCCAGTCAATTACATTGTTGTGGTTGTCTGTACTCGGCGGGAACCACTGATCTGATCAAAACAATAACCAATCAGAATGCAGTCGGAAAAACGCAGACACTGATTCTTGCTGTTTTCCACTGAACAGTACGTTTTCATCAATGGATGATTTTAATACAAGACAGAGTAGTTCTAAGGGTAATTTAGTGTTATCAACTGAGTTGATAACGTAAATTGGCTACCGTAAAGAGATACAAAGCCGACTTTTCGAGCGTTAGCCCTTCGTCAATCGCTCTGACGAAGGGCTAACGTTCGAAACGTCAGCTTTGTATCTCTTTACGGTGGCCAATTTACGCTATCGAGTCAGTTGATGATACTAAATTACCCTATACTCTCCCACCGACGCAGCAACGCAGTTTCTTTAGAAACTTACCCTCTTTATTCAGAGTGCTTCTTAGTTGTTTTCTGTTCCTCAGCTTCCTTCTTTGATGAAACGCACAGTCAAAATCCTACCAATTTTTTATCAGGCTCTGCAGCTTATGCTCTTTTGTTATTCCATGTTAGAGGTGATTTCCTCTAAAATAACACGAGTATGAAATTTTTTTTGTGAACGGTGACACTCGACCGTGAAAGTAATGTCTAACCTAAACTATTACAACAATGGAACGTCGACTGGTACCTACGTGTCACCCTGAAAAAGACCAAATTTATTGTCCCACGCTGCCACCTCTTCATGCATAAATTATGTGTTTGGAATTAATATTTCAGCTACATGCACGTTTAACCCACTTTTAAGTCGCCTGAGGCTAAGGATTCAACTGAGGGCAGGTAACAACAAAATCGAAAACGGTAAAGTACAAACTTAATTGTGTTTTCCCCAAGTTGTAATTTTCTTCCCAGAGTAATAAAGCTCAAATTTAATGGGATTTTAACAACGGTTTATAAAAGTTAGGTTAACGGTAAATACTATTTTCTCAATTGGACAGTCAAATATGTCAACAGACAAGGTGCACACCGACAACATTAGTTAAAAAAGAATTTTCAGGTAACTAAGAATTAGTAACATTTAAATGTTGTCAAAATTTCCCACATGTGGGGGGTCAGGTCATTAATGTAACATTTGCTTTCTCTCTGTTTCTTGACTTTTCGTGATGTTCGAAGCCTTCTAGTGCAACTAATTTTATGTTAAGACACAGAGTAAAATCGCAGCAGTCTCGTCATATTCCTCATTTTCAGAACTTGTTCTTTCACTCGACAGGTTAAAGGGGTACTAACAACTTCCTGCACCCGAATTTTTCCGAAACTTACCTTCGCTTACACTTGAGTCGTTGAAGAAAAAAAAAGAAAAGAACAAAAAGGAAAACAAAAAATAAAAGGGAAATTTGATCATATTGTACCTACGCATCACCTGCTCTCAGTTTTAAATTTTAAGTTTCATCAAAAATTTCATCTATCTGTCTTCTCTCGTGGGTTTAGTTTCTAAAGAAACTGTGGTGCTGCGTCGATGGGGGAGTATAAAAAGATAATTTGGTTTTATCAACTAAGTTAATAACGTGAATTGAACACCGTAAAAAAGTTTCTAAGCTGGCGTTTCGAGCGTTAGCCCTTTCGCTCTGACGCGTGACGGCACTTCCTGACCTACGTTCGGTTTAAATCGTATCTCCCCATGTTCGCTTCAAACAAAAATTTTGAAAATAATATTCTGTGATCCTGATCTTTGCATCTAAAGAATTTCTACCTTCTTCTTCAGATGTTACTGCAGATTGTAATTTTTGGCTGGTTATTCTTCATAGCAAGTGAGTCACCGAACGTATCATAACATCAACCCCATCAGCGACACCCTCGTGCATGCTAGTCTAGCTTTGACGGAAAAGTTTCCAGCAGATTTGTTTTCAGTTTTAGCCCAGTTTCAGTTTTAGTTTTTTTATTTATCGTTTTTACTTGTTTCTTTGTTTGACGCAAGTGAGTCATCTGGCACACTCGTCAGCGGTACCAACTTAAGGTATATCTAGCTCATGCGCAGAGCCATATAATACACGCAAAGCCAGTCATGACCAGCTGTTGCGTCCTTGTCAGGACTCATGTTTATAGCAAAACCGTCAGTATTTGCCCATTACTACTGCGACGGTTGCGAAGCTCTCAAATTGCACCAGTTCCGTCCAAACAATGCAGGTGGTTTCTGTGTGTTGGGTAGCTGTCACTACCGTCATATAGTGCAGGATGAGTAACTAATAGGGGCGGGGGAGAGGGAGGGTAATCCTCGCATTTTCATGATCCAACCTTTATGAAATGGTTTATTCAAGTCAACAACGAGAGAATATCAGGTGGGGAAAAAGCGCGAATCCGAAGAATTCACAACTCGGCGCTCAACAACAAAATTTCTTATTTGATGTAACATTGCAGGAATATTGACATGAAATTCAGATTGGTTCCCTGGGTGTAACCCGTTGAAACCTTACCCCACCCCTTTGAAGAATCCCTGCCACGCCCCTGCCCTTGCTATGCCTCTCCAGTGACTGGAATCAGTTTACAGCACTAACTTAGCTTTGTTCTACGGCTGACAACTAAAAGAGAATATAACAACAATTTTGATCCATAGGAGCAGAATTTAAATGCCACGAGAAAATAGACATGGTTATTCTGCTTGATAGCTCTGGAAGTGTGTCAGAAGAAGTATTTGGAAAGACCAAGAAATTCGCAAGAGATCTTGTTAAACTCTTTGATATTTCAAAAGAAAAGACAAACGTGGCCATCTTAACGTACAGCCAATACGTTCGAGTATTGAGGAGATTCGACGATGAAGTTTCAATAGAATCCGTCTTGAGAGCTATAGATAGAGCCAGATATGAAGCGTCGTTCTCTAGACTGGATTCTGCACTTGAAAATGTCCGGTATAAAATCTTCAAGAAGGAGCAGGGAGCAAGGTCCTCTTCAAAAGGTATGAGAAGGACGCCTCGGTGTTTGTAAACCTTGTGCTGTGTCAACCAATTTGCAAACTATAATCGGGTGGTGTATGATAGATATAAAGATAAGACGCTGGTGAGGGCGCTTGCTTTGCACCGACATAGTACACGCATGATCAATTTGATCCAGTCTGAAGTTTAAAAACGATCTTCCACACCATTCACCAGTTTGGATTTCAAAATCTGGATCAATGTCAGTATCTTAACAACTGTACACCACCCCTAACCCAACAACAAGCAACTCATAACAAGATAGGTTTAATGTGAGGGGAGGGGAGGGGTAGGTGTGCAATTGCTCACGTACTGACATTGATACCAAAATCTTTTGTCGAATTGTGGGGATCACTCAGGACATTACCACATCTTAAAATGGAAAAATGTCGGTCCTCGTAGTGTCATGTTAATAAACTTTAAACCTCACAGGAGTTACGTAACCCAGAACTATCAAGGAATCTATTAATATTCGTTTCCGTTCAAAACCGCGTGTGTTGGAATTTTCTTGTCAGTTACAGTTTATTCGTTGTGTATTAAAGGTCTTTTCTTAAAGTGGAGTCGTTTCGCGTTTGAAGAACACAACAGTGGGGCCTGAAATAAAACAATCTGACTGGTTGATTGTAGATTATCACTGACTATTATCACTCTTTAAACTCCTCAATCCTTTGTTGGCTTTACAGGTGTTAAGAAAGTTCTCGTGGATGTGACAGACGGTTTTAGTTCACTGGGAGTCGAATTCACAAAGAAGTTAGCCGGCTCTCTCAAGAGAACTGGCCTCGAGTTATTCTCGGTAGGAACCTCTGATCTCCAGTACAAAAGTGAAATTGAAGTACTAGTTAGTAAGCCGAGCAAATCTCATGAACTCTTCAGAGACCTTAGGAAGAGTTATTTTAAGAAAGATGAAATAGAGCAGTTTGCGAGAGACATTTGTAAAAAGCAATGAAAAGAAGTACTTTTGAACAAACATATAACTTGACAAGAAATAAATGATTGATCAGTGTTCAAATGTGTCAGTGCCTCGCCAGGATGGTTTCAGGACTTTTGTGTTCTAGTTCTGATCGGGTACCCTTGCGTACAACATTTGATTATCTCAGTGTCCCCCCAGAACTGACGATTTTTTCTTGTGAAAAAGTTTCTTGAAGTCATAATAGTTGGCCTTTGGCCACGAAATAAATTCTTTACTGACCAACTTCTTTCAGTTTACTAAAGATGGCTGAGTCAAGTTGACGCTTTCCTTTCGGTATGCCTAAGACTTCCAAGTTATTACATTTAAAAAAAAACTCAAAAAATAAGAAGTATGTAGACATACCCATAAAACAAAGTGAAACAGAAGTGCAATTAAGCTTATAAATCCACTCTACCCAATGAATTATATCATTACGTGATGGGCTCCTGATTATATGCATTTCAGCAAAATTCATTGCTGCTATTGTGCTTTCTCCAGGGGCGAGACTCGTTCAGGCCGTGTTGACACCTGGGAATGCATGCGGAAGTTGTTTAGATTTACTGATGAAATGGATTTCAATTTTTTCAGAACGACAGAAACATAACATTTATTTCTGTCAAATATTCTTTCAGCGTTTTGCATATGTTTCCATGGTAACAAATGCTATATGCGCGGATACTAAGCGCCAGAAATACATATAATATACCCATAATGCCTTTCGGTGATGTCTTGAGAGAACTCCCCCGTCTATCACTACACCGGGTAAAATTCCTTCAACCGAAAATAGAAATTGTACCCATAATTCTCCAAATGTAGACTACATTTTCGCTAGTATTTTAAAATCTTCTGGCTTTCCTTTTATTTTGGAATCACCATGAGTAAGTAGCACTTTTCTCGAGGCCTTACATCTCGCTCAATCTTTTTGTTGCTGTTGGGGACTAAATATGATCTCATTTGTCTGAAGGTCGGAAAGCACGCGTTACTTTTAGCTACAAGCCCGAACAGGAAGATGAACTAACCTTGGAAGTTGGAGACATCATTACTAATATAACTGATGTGGACGTTGGTTGGTGTGAGGGAGAATTGAACGGAAAGAGGGGAATGTTTCCAGATAATTTCGTCGAGGAGTTCAGCACGCCTGGCGAGGAAGTAGCAAATGCTGCACCACTTCCGAGCTCCAATTCTAAAACAGGTCAGGTGAAACATGAACTAAGAGTAAGAGAACGTTTCCTTATAGATTATCGAATCTTTTTATTGGAAAAAAAAAAACGTAATTCGGGTTTGGCGGGATTTATTTCATGACAAGCTGTTTCGCATAGTTCTCAAATATCGATTTCATTTAATTCGTATTTGCATATGACTGCAAGTTATATTTGAAGTTGAATAATCTTTCTTGCTAAATTTTCGTGAGTTCAGTAGCCCTGAGTTTTTCAGTTTTAGTTAGAGCTATGTTATACTGAATTAACAAATGGCTTTTAATTTTGCTTATAAATGTCCCCATAACAAAAATCTCGCGTTCTTCCTGTTTGAGATCTACGAAATACTACAGTTTCGATTTATTATTCTCTCTTGAAGCTTGTTTACCTCATTTGTGAAAATTGAATAGCGTTTTCAATTTGGACCTATCTGTTTGCTCTTTAATGTATACTTTGAACTTTCCACTTCGGCTGACATGCATGAATATTACAAGGATATTTTTGTGTGGTATTCGAAACTCTTCCTTAACTGATGTCTACTTTCAATTTATGAGGTTTTCTGATCGCTTTCGAAAGGAGGTTTCTATGTTAATTAGACATTTTCCTCTAACGGTTAACCCTTCCAAAGTGAAACTATCAATTTAACAAAGAGATGAACTGATCAGTGGCAACTTTGGAATTTGAAGTAAGAGAACAGAGCAGTGGCATGAAGGGAAGATAATGTGTCTGTAATGAACCTGCCATAATTCAGTATGTTCTGTTATCAGTTACCAGTTTTCTCTGGAAAAGATTAGATGGTTCCAATAAGATTGGCTTTTATTTGTCCAAGATACAATTTGCTGTGAAATAAATTCCATTTGAACTGCTGATTGAAAGCTATGATCTTAGCAGGTGGGCTGCAGTTTCAGTATCTGCAGTAAAGATGGGATTTGAAATCAAGCTTCTCAGATACCAGCAGTCAAGATTGAGGAGCCAGGCTTGTTTCTTTCAACATCATACCACCTGTAGAGACCTGGGGCAAATGATTGGGTGTGAGGAAAATGGAGGTTCTGATTCCAAGAAAAAGTTCACTTGATTGCCAGTCAAGAAAACTTTCTCTTTTAGACTCTTTTCTTTTCCTTTGGTCTGATTATTTGCCCCTGGGTTTTTTCTTTGTGAATTTTACTTTACTAAAGTATGTTTTGTTAAAAATTTTCTTGAAATTGCTTATTGTAGGAAAGAAGGCCAAAGTAGCATTTGATTATGAGGCACAAGATGCTGATGAATTGACATTACATATGGGAGATGTTGTGGATTTTATGGAGGAAGTAGAAGAAGGCTGGTGGAAAGGCAAATTGCATGGAAAAGTTGGTGTCTTTCCATCTAATTTTGTTGAAATGATTGAGGAAGAGGACACCAATCCAAACCAAGACAAGCCAGCACAGATAAAAAGTAATTCACGATTATTTGACATATTACATGTGCATGTATACTCTGGACAGCCAGTTGTTGTATTGTATCAAAATATTACTTAATTTTTGCACCTGAAACTAAATTAGTTTTATACAGGTGTGTATACTAATTTTTGCATTTATCTGCTCAAAAATGCCTGAATTCAATTACAGTCCACTCCCTGGGTTAAATGTGTTAAAAAATCCCTAATGTTTTTTTCCCGAGGCTCTCAATAAATAGAAAAACATCTCTCTTTATGTCATGACCAAGTTTGAAATTTTACCTTTTTTCTTATTCCATTCACTCAAGTGAAGCATGCAATTTTTACCAATCCTGACAGTATGTGGAATGAGTATCATACATGAATCTGTTAATTGCTTAGTTTATCATAGGATTTCTGTGGCTCTGCCTTAGAGCCTCAAAGCAAGAAACCTGAGGGTCTGAGATTTGATTCCTAGTGAGGGCTCAGAATTTTTTCTTTGTTTCATGCTTATGACAAAATGAAAAAACTTCTTCCTCTAGGTCCTCCAGTAATTTCATACAAGTACAGTACACTTGTTGATTGATCTACTGATTTTAAAACTAGAGTGTGTACAAAACCATGCCATCCTCAATAACAGCAATGTCATAACTTGTGAAGAGAACTTGAGTTGGTGGCTTGATAGTGTCCACACAATACATTTCCTTTAAAACTATTGGGTAATTTTTATTGATTTTCATTCATTTCAGCTGAAAAAGAGCCAACTGTCAGTCATGGTCGAATAGGAGTTGCAGTACTCGAGGATCATGATGCTGGTATCAATAAAAGACATTCTGGTGTAGAAAAGGCTAAGCAGTTGCCTGGAGGGGGTATGGGATTTGGTAACCTCGTTAACCCCGACATGCTTGCTAAGAAACTCAAGAAAGTCCATCATGACGAAAAGAAGGAGAAAAAAGACAAACTTGAAGATAAAAATGTTCCTGCTGAACCAAGCAAGACTGCTGCCACTGCAAAGGCACCTTTGGTATGACTTTATAAATTTTCTCTCTAAGTCTCTAGGCCTTTATCTTCCGAATGCCAGGAAGAAACAAATTTATAGACCTTGGTCATGTATTATGTTTCTTATGAGAGTCAAAAATTATATTGATGATATTTGGCCAATGGATGATGAAAGGCACAATTAATGTTTACTTGCAGATTTACTAAGGTTAAAGTGATATTTACCTCTCATGGTTAGAAAAATTTAGCAAAACTGGTGGGAAAAAAACCAGATATTTTTGAGGACATAAAGATCACTTCATGACATTGTTTTGTCCTCAAGTGCAAAATCATTTGCACCGACTAGAATCATAAATTTGCATGACTGTATACCTTGAATGTGTTGCAAGGAGAAATTCTATAAACAGGATTCGGTGTGATGTCAGCACAGAATTTACAGTTTTTGTCCATTTAGAATCAAGACTTCAAAATTTGTTTAAGTGTTGATACTTGACTGGACTTATTGTAACTTACAGGGGTTTTAGTTTTAGGTAAGCAATAAACAACACTATTCAGCATAAAATCCAGTGATATAATCTTTTACAGGGTGCCAAATCAAGGCCTGCACCCCCTGTTCCATCCACTCCTCCAATTGTTCAACCAGGTATATTTTTTGCATTGTTCACCCTTTATACCCTTATATCAGTATGCATATTCTCCATACTGTTCTCTATGCATTTCATATGGTACCTACATGGAGAATTTGTCTTGAACAGTTAAGAGCTTCTTTGGTAGGTTGTCTTTCCTTTGTTCTCATGACCTTTATTAATTAATGTTTCATCAGATATGATACTGTAAGCATAAATTAAATGCTGGTCACTCGTAGGGGCTAAAGCTCAAGAGCTATGTTAACCATTTACGCCATGATATGGCAAGAAAGAGCTAGTTTTAATACTGCTGTTTCATTTACCATCTAGTAGATCTGGTTCATGCAAGTGTGTTTGTGCTAATCTTACGTATTTTATTTTTAGCCAAGAAACTGACTGAACGTGCAAAAGTCATGTTTGATTATGAGCCTGAAAATCCTGATGAACTTAAATTAAGAGAAGGAGATATTGTCGTTGTTACGAACCAAAACATTCCTGACACAGAGGGCTGGTGGGAAGGAGAGCTAAATGGAATAGCTGGTGTCTTCCCTTCTAACTTTGTTGAACTGCTACCAGTAGGTGCAGAAGAAGTTTTATCAAAGGTATTGGGTTTTTTTTTTCTTAGCACCTGATTTTATTGTGCTCTAAGATTAAATTGTGCTTCAATCCTTCACCAAAATCTTGGCAAAGTTCAGACAAAAGATTTGAAAATGAACACATGTAGCCAACAGTACCCTGCAACCCTTTTGCAATGTTGGTTAGCACCCTGGAAACAGAGAGAAAATTGTAGCTGGTTTAAAAGTCACTAATACAGTGTAGAAGTGGGGTGCATCCATCTTGGAATTCTTCTATAAGAAATAGGATTTTCACAACAGATAAGCACATTTTGCCAGATTTGGGCATAGTGGTGTGGGTGTTCCAATGGTGTTTAACCAGGATCATACAGCTGTACACTTTAAGAAGGTTTCAGTCCACCAATTACTCTAGTTTCTTGTGCCTATGGTTGCATGAAATTGCACAAAGTTTATTGAAATTTAAATTTAGTTATGTTTTGTCTTTTGGTGACTTGGTGCACTCAATATTTCTCTAGTTTCAAATATCCTTCTCTCCTCAAAAGTGTGAAACTCATGATAATAATAATGAATACAATACTGTTTAATATTGTTGAGCACTCCTATCATTAGCTGATAATATTAGTTGAACTTTACTTAGTTTTTACTTCCTCCAGAGTGACTGAGCTGCCATTAGAAAAGTTGCTGGCTGGAATTTTACAAAAGGGATCTCAATGTTTGCATGTCAGAGAGAAAAAAAAGGGTTTATCTGGAGGTTCTACTGTGTTGTACATATGAACACTGACACTGCTATTGCCTTATTACCAGGCTCCTGCTCCTGCTCCTGCTCCTGCTCCTGCTCCTGCTCCTGCTCCTGCTCCTGCCCCACCTCAGACTCACAAGAAAAGTGTTCCAGTTTTGCCTATGAAAGATGAACTGAAAAAATCTCCAAGTAAGTATTGTGGCCTCTGTTGCACTCCTTTTTGTAATAAATTGGGATACTTTGACAAAGGCAGCAACTCAACATCATTTTGGCCCTCCTGCTCTTTCAATGTTTTTTTTCTCTCGGCACATTTGCACCCCTTGTGTTGTAAATCCATGTGGAAAGGATTAGAGGAATTTAATTTGTTCACACACCTGTAGTATAAATTATGTAACAGTACTGTCTTTGTACTTGTATCAAAGTTGCCTGCAGATACAGGTAGTGATTTAAGCCTTTGGGACCACTATTTTTGGATCTCTGCATCTGCAGATATTTGCTAAAGCCAACTTTATACGCTTGAAACCTGTTTGAGGAGGTAGCTTAGCCAAGTGGTTTGAGGAGATCAATCCATAGGCTGCACTCCTTAAATAGCCAATGTTCTGCCTTGGGCAGGATAACATTTTTAACCATTTTGCGGTTATTTATACATACATTTTAAATATTGTTCATTTATGTTGGCCCCAAATTGCCCCATGGAAGCTTGGGAATAATTGATTCAAATATGTGTTGCACAACCCTTGAGCTGTTAATAATAGATTTGTTAGCTCATTCACTTCTCTGTTTTTGATAGTGTACCTGTATCTCTCTGCTCAAATCCACTCAGATGTGGTAGACTATCAGTTTAGTGCACTATGACCCCAATTGCTTCTCTGTGCAACTTTTGTGTGATGAATTACAAATCAAATCCTGACAAATTTCCTTCCTTTGGTTTAACTTTTTGTTAACCCTTCACTCCCAAGATATCATTATTTGTTCTCCTTACTGTCTGCCATATCATTCTCACTGTGTTTGTTCAGAGAATTTGGTAGTGGATCAACTGAATCATGCCCTCATGATATTTTTCTCTATTCTCATCACTTGTCTGCTTGATATTAAATTGATATAATTATAAGGAGAAATTCTGTCTTGGTCACTCATGGGAATTTAAGGGTTAACTTTTGGATTGTGCAGTTATGACTTGCGCCATGTTTATTTCATTTTGTTAAGAACTATCAAGGAAACATTCCCCTCCTGTCTCTCCTAAAGAAGAATCAAATGCTGATGCTATCCCAGAAGTCAAGAAACCTGTCAAAGATACAAGTGGGGAGCCCCCAGCTCCAGTGCCAGCCAAACCAAAGCCACCGGTGGCAGGTCAGAAGCCTGTTTTACCACTCAAGAAACCTTTACCAATCCATAAGAAACCTGCCACTAAAGGTATACCAAAGAAGCCTGAGAAGAAAGCTGAGATTGAAAATAGTAGTGTTGCTAAGAGTACTGAGGAAATGAAGGATCTTGTTGATGGCCTTTCGGCAGAGAAGCAACTATCACAGGAAGAAGGGATCAGTAAACCTCCTGAGATCAAGATGGAAAATGTAGAAGGTGACCTCCTTGTTTTGATGATAGCTTAAGTTAATTTAGCCTACATGAAGTGTTCCTAAGTGAAGGGACTACCCTAAGTAAGTACATGTACACATATATGGCAGTGTAGTTTATGCCATGTACACAAAAAGCAGTCCAACCATTGAGTAGTTAACTATGAAGTTTTTTTTTTGTAAGATTTAAAGTGAGTGTTTTTTTGCTGAAAAGGTGGTATTGTTAAGTATTAGTTTTGATTGTTGTAGCTTATCTTCTTGTATACATCTTAAGTTGATGACAGAAGCTGATGGCAAACACTGCAAAATACTGTAATGTGTGAAGTTTGCTTTTTGCATACTATGAGATGCAACCCTTTTAAAGACAAATTTCTACCAAATAGCAGTTCGATCAAAATAACAGTACTATAAGATATGAGTTGCAAGCATTGCTGCATATAAATGTAAACCTGTATGCATTTATTCATTACTGTTCTTTGCAATTTCAAGACCTTGCAGCTGTATGTTAAACATTTCTACTTTTATGCAGCCAAATCACTGGTATATCCAGCGACTGCTCAGAGGCATCAGTCTTTTAACAGGTGTTGAATTAGCAAAAAGTTGAATTGGTGGCTTTTAAGAGTGGTAACATAATGATGGCCAATTAAACCTTGTTGGGTACAACGTCATGAGGAAATTTTGGTTGTTCAAAATAACTCTTTGTTTCATTGCAGAAGGAGTGTCCTTAGATGACATCCCAGCCACAGAGACATTAAATCACCTGACTGCCAACCGAGCAAAGAATCTGCAGAAGAGGCCACCATCCAAGGTTTAGCAAGTCCTTGTTTGTTGAAATAATATTATTTTGATTATCAGTTTTTTGCTGGAAGTACTTGTACTGTAGCAAAGCCAAGTGGTTAAATTTGTGACCTGCAAATTGTTAATTCGAGCTCTGAACCAGCTACAGTATAGCCAACTAAATTACTTTTTGCCTATATGGATCTTGTTGATCTTCTTAATCGTGAAAGCCTTTGCACAATGATTAACATTACTGTTAGTAAACATTGGAATGTTTTTCAATAATTAATGCCTGGGGCTGAGCAAACTGTTGTGATCTTTCACTTGCGAACTCACTGAGAATGGCTCTCTCCTCAGCACTTATTTATTAAGACATTTGCCAAGAACTTAGTCAAATAAGTTTTCTTTAGCGTTGTTTATCTTGCTGACTTCTCCTCCTGCTTTTTAGTTGGGAGCAGTTACTTATCACTCTCCTAGGCTCTTTGGATTTTGTTAATTATGTGTATACTACCAGCAGTTTTGATATAGATCTGATGAAAACGTTTAAACTACAGTGTACTTTTGTTGTAGGAAGGACGAACGGACTCAGCTCGCTTAAGTGGAGGCTTACTAGAAGAGCAAATAGCGGTAGGTTGTTATGTTTATTCCTGTTGGGGGGAGGGGGCGGGGGGTTAGATTTGTGAAACGAAATTAAGCAATCACGGAAGCCAGACGGAAGAAAGGTTAACATTGTAAGAAGCCAGTAAAAATTTGAACGATTTTGTTTCCTAGGAAACTAACAAACAGCCTCCAGAGCGTCCTAAAGAACCGCCTAGAGAACCTTCCTGGAAAAAAGAAGTTAGGGAAGCTCGGGAAAAGAAACAGGTTGCAGAAGAAAAGGTAAGGGTAATCGGTAAAAAATTTTGTTAGACTTCTGTTTCAGTTATCGTAGTTGTTGCTTTTGTTGTGTGAGGCTCAAAATGGCGAAAGTTTAGCAGTAACCGAAAATCAAACAAAAAGGAAGGCACTCGCAAAAAGCTTTTGATAAAGTAAACAGCTGTCTATTTTTTATTTTAAGCCACCTCCTTTGCGGTCGTCCAAAACGGAGGCACTAGAGAAACGAAAATCTCTAAAAGAAGAAGTGCCCGTACCACCAGTCCAAAAAGTTGAGCCTTTTACAACAGCGTCAGGTGAGGTGGAGAAGCTGCGAAAGGAGATTGTGGAGCTACGAGAGATGATGGCTAATATGGATAAGAAACATGACGATGCTATCAAGAGAATGGAGGAAAAGTTTACCCTGGAAATAGAAGGACTCACAAATGACTTTGATGAAGAAAGGAAACGCAATGCAGCGCTCAAGGTGGAAATAGACAGAATTAAAAGGCGTAATGCTCGCCATGATACTGGAACCTCAGCTTGACTGAAGAGAACACAGGATCTTTTTTTTTTTTTTTTTTTTTTTCCGCTGCAAAGGTAAATTGATACTAGTGTAGATGCGAGGAAAAAGATAGAGGAAAAAGGTGGTAGGACATATAACTCATAAATTTATTGAACAGAAATAACCAATGCAAGTCACTAACAGAACAGTAAATCGCCACATATTCCACAGGAGAAGCTGTGATGATACTACCGACACTTGGTGGTACATACTTACATACATGTGATAACCACGGTTTCGAGTCAGGAGTTAGTTCAGTCACACACGACTGCAATTCGATTTAACAATGATAATTATTTTTAACAGCCATGCATACTTACCTTTCAGTCAATAACACTTTGGCAAGGTACAAAAATCATGAAATACGACAATAAACAGGAGAGGAAATTGGAAAGAATTGCAAAAGAAAAACATGAATGATAAAAGCTTGATTTTGCGTTATACGTTTTCCCCATGTCATCGGTCACCTGAAGTCACCACTCTGTGTCTTTATAACAACTGAAAACTAAAAAAAACCCTACTAAGAGAGGAGAAGTATCAGAGCCGTAGAAAAAAATGATTTGATCACATATCATTATTTTTTTTTACAATTGATATGGAGTGCAAATCGTTAAGCTTCATTTGTTTTCAATATGTACAGATTTGCTGAGTCAGGTGCTTTTGTTATTGCCTGTCTTCAAACTTTGTAACCTGTACAGCTTTTTTTGAAAAGAGATCAGAGGTTCAACAGTAACATTTTCTTTCTCTCTTTTTTTTTTTAATCAAATCAATGTACAAGCATTGTTAACATATATCCTATTAATGTTTCTTGGGATAACTATTTTTGTCCGATGGTGTTTTACGACAGTGTCTTCAATAACTAATAGAGGAAAAAGGTGGAAGGACATAAAACTCATAAATTTATTGATCAGAAATAAGACGTTCTTGTCATTAACTGGAATGATCATGTGTGAATAGGTTAATTTGTAGCTTTTAACACCTATGTATCTCCTAATGATTTCTTCTTCACCTAAATCATGGCTGCATCTATGAAGGGTATTTAAAGGACTATTGGATCTGGAAAGCAGTAACACGTTTGCTTCAACGAAGTTTTGGGGTACTAATTAAGGGAAGGGGGTAAAAAATGTTCACAAAAAAATAATTAAGTTCGTTTTTCTTTATTCAGGGTTATATCAGAGTAAAGAATGGTCTAAAAAACAGGAAAACATTATGAACAGTTAGAGTAGATTGTCGTTCTCCAAGTACGATTTGTTTGGTTACTCTCAATAGGAAACAGTACTTCATAAAATAACAAAATATGTGAAAAGGATTTCCTTTTTATTTTTTTGAATAATAGCAAATTGCAAACTCCTGTCATATAAAATTATACAGGCAACATCATAACAAGGGTGGGAAGGGTCCAAGTGCAAGGAAAACAAAACTTTTCCACCCATTGGATCATGATGATAGCTTTCGAATTTGAAGTTTGAACATATTTTCTAGGTTAGTGTTAAACTCATTTGGGGCTATTAAAGGTTTCAAAGTTTAAACCTATTTGGGGTTATCAGAGGTTTCACATTTAGCCTCTCAAGTGAGTTTGGCTCTTTCCCTCCATTGTGAGCTTGACCACTGTTTAAAAATTCACGGCTTAGCTGTTGGTGTGTGGACTGCTTCGTAACATTTAGTTGGTAGAATTTCATTTATAGGTGCAAAGTCAAAGTGAAAAAAAAAACAAACAAACAAAACGTGAGAATTATGAGGGGATTAGCTTCTGGTTCTTTGGTTTGTTCGCGGGTTCGTTGACAGTGAACAATTACCTCTTTTTACGTATCTTTTTTTTTGTTGTTGTTTTAGTTTTTTTCTATAGGGTTATTTCAATACAGGTAAAAAAAGTAAGACTAGGCCCCAAAAATAGTTCGTGACACAGATAGCTATTCCTGATGCGGAGTCTAAGGTCTTCGAAAAAGGCATAGAATGAATTTTTTTAAAGTAGAAATTTTCTAATAGTTGTAACCCCGTAAATCAGTTGTCAATTTTACAGGAGGGATAGTGTCGAAAGGTCATATGCATAACTTTTCTAGATGAAATTTAGAATTGCGTTTAGAATTCACACGCTTATTTGACTTCAAGTCCACTTTAACAACCACAGAATCGTTGCAGAATTTCGTCAAATAATTGATAGTTTTGATAGAATAGTAGGAACTTTTATAATTAGTTAGAATAAAATGAGAGTGTAAAACATGTCCCTGGTCTTGATTAAAAATTGCGACATTCAGTTTTTTTTTTTTCGGTCTTGTTGTTTTTGGTTTGGCTCTTTAGTAGCGCCATGCAACAGAGTAAAGGCCGTCGAAAACTAGTGGGTATTCTCTGGTTTTTGATTAGGGCCACGATCACTTTCCCACTGACGAAGGACTAACGCTCGAAGCATCAGCTTTGGGAACTCTTTACGGTGGCCAATCTACGATATCAACTCAGTTGATAAAACCAAATTAACTTGTCACCAAACAGTAGCCACAGAACTAAATCTTCGCTTTACCCTTGTGCTCTGTGTGTTTTCTGTTGCGGCGTTACGAACATGCATGCCACGAAGCGAGCGCACAGCGTAATGTGAAGTTTACGGGAACGTTTACGCTAAGAATTTCGCCGAAGACAACCAGCTGTAGACGTATTGTAAAAGACGTTGGCATGGACTCACGGGCCTTGGTTGGCAAGACCTTACCGCTTTTGTTGTGGTGTTCGTTTATTTACAAAATCAACTATCGACTTTTCGTGCGAAATGAATTTTTTTTTAATGATGGGTCTTTTCTCTCAAGAAAGGAGATAGGTTTTATCATTCAAAATCGTGCAGTCACGATCTTTCATGGATCAATCTGCAAACAGGATTTCGCTTTACGAAACGTCGTTCCTTTGGTCTCATTTCTTCCTGTCCTGAGAACGAGGTTGGATCTTGCGTGACCTCTGTTTCCGTGAGAAGACTCAGGATCCCTGTGGCCATTTAAATATGTCACGCAAAAATCTGCAGCCACAAGTTCGGCATATTGGCGCCACATGCAAAGCTACAGCATGCTGAAAATCTGAAATCTGGAGATGTTTTATTAGATTTGACCAAGTTCTGTTATCGTGCTGAAGCGCTTTATGCTGATGTATATCCTAAATTGCACAAAAGCAATGTTGGAGAAAACTAAACGCAAAACGACACCAACAGTAACACTGAAGGGACGAATCAAGTGATAGGTGGTTGAAGAATTCACATGATATACATCCCATCTTTAAAGGCAGACGTAGCAAACTATACGAGTGATCGAGGTACCCTCCAATTGTAAATCAAAATGAAAAGGATTGGAAGGTCAAACTGACCGATCAGGGGTCCCCTGAGCGTAAGCGTTCTCGTTCTTTTAGGGCGCGAATACATGGCCTGCTGCCAGTGGATCAAAGTCCGTTGATGTTGTTGTTGTTTTCATTATTCCTTGTTCTTCCGTTCTGTTTGATTTCCCACCGGAGTTACCAGGTTTTAAGAACCCTGGGGCATCTTTCTCGGGAGACCATTGAATGCAAATAATGTAACCATTAGTTTGAAATTCAACCTCTTTCCCATGGTCTTTCCTCACTCGCTCTTATAAAAGAAAGAGATGGGATCCTGGGAACAAGGTTGTCTGAGAACTTGGACAATGTCGGACGAAAGTAAAGCAAACGAAGGGCAATTGACCCTGATACGTCCAGTAGTCGACAAGGATGAGGCAGTTCGTCTAGCTTGTACACTGTATGGCCTAAAATTATCAGATATCTGTCATGTCAAGGAATTTGAAGGTTATGATGATCGAAATTTTTACTTGAAAGGAACGCTTCCACATCACGTAGATTTTGCACATGACCGGCTTAGACAGAATGGAGATGAATTCGTTTTGAAGATTCTAAACCACGTGGATTCCCAAGACATTGTTTATGTGCAAGGGCAGAACGAAGCTTTATTATTCCTAAAAGAAATGGGATTTAACTGCCCTGCTCCGATTAAAGCTTTAAATGGTGAATATGCTGTCACTTGCGCAATTAAGTGCGGGAATGCAGAGACAAGCGATGGCAACAAACAGCTTGAGCGAATTCATGTCGTTCGACTTCTTAGTTTCGTTCCAGGGAAGCTTCTCGTGGATGTTCCTTACAAGGCTGAACTTCTCTTCTCTCTGGGTTGCTATACCGCCAAGATGGATAAAGTACTACAGGTATTTGATTCACCTTAAACTCGTTAAAAGACCACGTGGCGTTTATTAAATTTACTCAAGAGTATTATTAGTAGTAAGGGGGTGATTAATTTTTGGGAAGATATGCATAATTTTGTCCATGGTACCCAAGCCTATGACAGAAGTACTATTGTAGACATTTGCTGCTTTATTAGAATGAAACATTTAATACCTTCATTATGAAATTACTGCTGATCCTTGCAATCTGATTGGCTCTCATTGGTGTGACTCATCAACAAATCACACCATTTTTTGCTCTTAAACACATTTTTTCTTAGCCAATGAGAAAGCTTCACTAAAAATAAACAATCAGATTTCAAGCCAGAGTAACCAATCGCATTGCAGGAAATGAAAGATAAGACTTGCAATTCACAAACCAGCATAGTACTTAATTAATAAAATATTTGTAGGGAATAAATAATCATGTCTTTTAACAATTTAATTTGCAATTTCAAAGATTAGTGTCTTTACTAATATACCCCTTGAGGAGTGTATTGACTTAGCGGTCAATTACATTTCCAAGGGCAATTCCATCAGTAAGTTAAGCAAATCTGAACTTGGAAGCCTCTTCACTACAGCTACCACCCAGACTCATTTCATATTTTATTCTTTCTATGATCAAATAGATGGCATAGCCATGAGGTCTCCCCTTGCTCCTGCCTTAGCTAATCTTTTTATGGGACATCATGAAAAACTTTGGCTGAAAAATTTCAATGGCTCTACAATTTTATTTTATTGCTGGTATGTTGATGATACTTTTTGCTTATTTCACTCAGAGCACAATACCACTAAATTTTTTGACTATATCAATTCTAGGCACCTCAACATCAGGTTCACTATGGAAAAGCAGGTTAATCACAAATTACCCTTTTTAGATGTCCTGATTGACAACAATGACCCCAATTCTTTTCTAACCAGTGTTTACCACAAGAAAACTTTCACTAGGTTATTAACAAATTATTTCAGCTTCATCTTGTACTCTTACAAAGTGGGTCTCATTAAGACTCTCGTTGATAGGGCCTACAAGGTTAATAACACCTGGTTAGGGTGTCATGAGGACATTAACAAGCTTACTGATATTCTAAAAAAGAATCTTTTCCCTGCCCATTTAATTGAAAAGATTATTAACCATTACATCTCTGAGACCCAAAGCAATCATTATCCTGGGCTTCCCTTCCCTTTACTTTAAGCTACCCTACATAGGCCACTTTCCTGCTATCACTCCAAAAAAGATTTGCCATTTTATAAAGCGCTACTGCAATGACTTGGATATTAAGCTGGTTTTCTCTTCCTTCAAGATTGGCAACTTGTTTGGTGTGAAAGACCCTGTCCCTGATGGGCTCCATTCACATGTGGTTTATAAGTTTGTATGTGCCGGCTGTAATGCCTGTTATGTCAGTGAAACGTGCTGACATTTTTCCACACATGTCAGAGAGCACTCAGTCAGTGACAGCACCTCTCACATTTTCACACCTCTACTGGTTTTCAACTTAGGATAAAAGAGGTTATTCATATTCAAAGGGAACAACCATCCTTGAATCAATAATTACACCATGTAAATCTAAAACTATCCTTTTAATTCTTACACTTTCATGCTTTACCTCTTTTCTTGTTGTCACCATTTATCATAATTAGCATTGTTCTACTTGCTATATAATTCAACTTCCAATGCTTTGTACATTAATTCACTACAGATGACAGAAGTTTCTGACAAAATATGTTACAGACTTAAAAAGTTTTGTCACTTTATTTACTAGATTAAAGAAAGTGGTAATTGAACTTCATGCAATTTTGATCTGAAATCATATTTGTAATTTTAAATAATACTTGTGCTGCACGCTTGTTGAATTTTGAAATCACACATAATTTCAGACCATATTGCGCTCCACTCAGTGTAAGTACCACTATTAACTACATATGATCGTTGCATGAACTGCAATGCTGTAATAGTTCAACACAGTTTCAAACAGTGGCATAAATAACAACAGGAATTATGAATTTACTTGATAAAAAAATTAGTTTAGTTTGATGGGAGCATAGTTTTTTCCTAACTGTGTTATATTTTCACACAATGTGAACAATTTCTGGCATGAGCCACATGAACCAAACAAGTGAAAAACTTTCTACCACTCCCCCCCCCCCCCCCCTCTGTTGCTAAGGAGTCACAATATGAACAATATTGAAATTAAGTTATCGTTATGCTAACAGCATTTACCTTTCTGGTAACAGGAGGAAAACTTTATGTCATCCATGTCATCTTCCTTTGAATACTACCTTCATCTCTGATTTTTACTTGCAACATTACAACTCTCCATATATCAGGACATGTTTTTAATCTGGACTTGCCTTTTTTTTCTAGGAATTTAACCATCCTGGTGTCAGTTCTTTAGCCAAGAAGGAGTGGGATTTGTCCCAGATACACACTATTAAAAGTTACATTCCTAGCGTAACTCAAGATGACAGAGAACAAAAAATGTTAACTCTCATTTATATCAAGTTTACAAATGATGTTCTTCCACAGCTCAAGAATTTCTCAAAACAAGTAATCCATGGTGATCTTAATTTTGAGAACATACTCGTTGAGCCAAATCAGGGTGGGGAGGAGTATGAAGTAGTCAGCGTCATAGATTTTGGAGACATGAGTGTCTCTTATAGGTTGTTTGATGTTGCTATCAGTATGATGTACGTAATTCTGCTTGGAGTACGACAAGGGCACCCGCACAATGAGGCTATACAGATGGCTGGTCATGTTCTCTGTGGCTATCAAAGTATTTGGAGCTTGACTCAGTCAGAGCTTGGGCTTTTGTACTGGTCAGTGGCTGCCAGATTCTTCCAATCCTTTATAAATGGAGTGTACAAACAGTCCTTGGAACCTGAGAATCCCCATTTGTCAGATGATTGTGAGTTAATAATGGGTATTCTTCAATCTTATACAACCTTGACAGGAGAAGAGGTTTTGAATTTGTGGTTATCACTTGCCTAAACATGCAAATTCAAGCCCTGACTTGAAAATGCCAGAAAGAAACAAACATACGCAGCTAGGTGTTATTTGCACAGCGCCTCATATATCTACTGTGGGTAATCAATTGGTAAAAGATCCTTCTACTTTCACTATCTCTCAGATAATCTAAGTGAAATGTAAGGTTTATATTTGTATAGTTTTCTGCAGTATGGGATAAGTTTGGTGTTGTTCGGTAAAGTTCGCTGTAGTTTGGTGCACTATCTTTTGCACTCATTCTGAAACAACAAAATGCTCTGTAGCTGGCTGAACACTGCATTTAAGTATGAGTGGGTCATTAACAGTGTTATTAAGCAAGTCAATGCTTGACAATCTCAAACTTCATGAAGGAAGCCATGCCAAATCATGCATTTTTCACATAGCATGGACTGGGAGATTTGCTGTGAACATAAGTCTTCAATGTTCTCTTCTCTCTGAAATCTTATCCTGCAACTTATTGAGTCACTATGTAGAAGAGTATTTGCAGAGCAAACATAAACATCCTTGCATCGTTACAATGTTTTTACCTGCTGGTAGCAGCACTTAAAAGTTATCAAGGCACCCCTTTAGATTGACATAGTCAATATCTATATATATTTTTTTATCATCATTTTCATCATTAGTATTATTATCAAACCATCATTTAGCCTTCCACTAGAAGACAGCTTAGGTATCACTTCATTGGTTTTTAGGGGTGTCACTTCATCTTTAAAGTAGTTGGGTTTTGCTAAGACCATTTTTGCATAGGCTGGTTGTGGGAAAGGAAAGCTGCAGGCCTTTACAGGAATACCCAAACACGCTTAGTGACATTAGAAGCTAGAATAAGTTGCTTGACCAACAGGACGAGGGGTTTACATTTTTAAGGCTTATGGAAGCACGTGCATGGCAAGCACAAGGTGCTTAGGTCCTCGGAATACCTTCCGACGGAAGGTGTTCCGAGGGGAAGAAATGAGAAAAACTCCAGCAGAACGGAACAAATATTGAACATTCGCTTCAAGGTATTCTTTTGTCTGAGGGCCTACCGAGGTGCGCTACGCGTGATGGTTTAACAGGAATTAAATCACAACTGCACGTGCCTGACTGTACAAAGATTGTCGCTCACCACGATTATCAAGAGGAAACGGTAAAGACTTCCTGTTCTTGCTTTTATCTCACAAATAAAAATTTAATATTATACTTGAAAGATCCATGACGATGAGTTGTTTCTAAATTTTTTTTGCAGTTCATTTCAGACATAAAACACTATCTCCTTCTGAGGTCACGATTTGTAATTTTAACACAATTTTACTCACGTCTATTTTCTTAAGGCAGGAAGTACTTTTATAGCAGAGGATCTTTGTTTTGTTTTGAAAGATCCATGACGATGAGTTGTTTCTAAATTTTTTTTGCAGTTCATTTCAGACATAAAACACTATCTCCTTCTGAGGTCACGATTTGTAATTTTAACACAATTTTACTCACGTCTATTTTCTTAAGGCAGGAAGTACTTTTATAGCAGAGGATCTTTTGTTACGTAAGATTTTATCCTCGTGTAGCAACAATGACTTGTTTCAAGAATTTTCTTTCCTTGTTTGATTTTTCCAAAAAAAAAAACGAGAAAACTTTCTTTTTCGATATGGAAAACAATATTAGTCATTTGTGCCCTGAGGCAAATCTCAGAACTTTTTTCATTAACCTTACCGGATAGGAGCGATTATTTCTGTCCTTTGAATCACAGTTAAAATTTAGGAAAGCACGCATCCGGGAAAAACAAGAGAATTACAACGGCACAATGGCGCAAAAATGTGTGTTTTGGAATTTCAGTCATGCATGTAAATAAGGATATTTAGAGGATAAAAGAGAGGAACGCGGACACTCTAAATGATCAAGGTCAAGTCCTTTGTCTTGAGTATCAGGAGCTTTATTTAGCTTTCGCTGACGTGTTGTTTATGCGATCAATTGTATTATTATTAAAATTTGGAAACGGCGGGACACACAAATAGCGGTCACGTAGTTCTAGAAGATTTTATTCAGCTGTTAGATCTTCAAAATTTACGATATTTACAAGACTATATTTTAAATAAAATTCTCAGACCTTGTCTATATTTACACTTAAATATCACTCTGATAAAAATTACTTAATCTCTGATGAAAATATATCTATCTTTTGGGTACACACAACACGCTTCTCAGTAATAATTTCACAATAATTCGAATATCTGAATGAATTTGTTCTCTCTGTTCGTGTTGGTAAGTTCTGTAGTTTCCAGGCATCTAATCTTTAGTACTAATGCCCATCCAAGACCAGCCCACGGAGGTCCCCTAACCTCACAATCGAGTCAGGTCTCGTAAACAGCTAAAGCCTAGTTGTTTGCTGTATCTGGAGAATAATTTTTGCACACACGTTTAGTTCATCGAGGTACCGTTCATTAAACGAATTAACTATGAGTCTGTACAAGGAATGCACACTGGAGTCTCAGTAGATGAGGCAATTCTTTCCTCAGCAGATCATGGCAGCCGCCTCCCTTGTTCTTAATACCCAAAGTTTGTGAAGCAAGGGTCAGAATGATAAGGTAGTTTAAACACACTCCCAGGATGGCTAGCTAAGGTTGTGCTCTCTAATCCACAATGTCGCTGGCTTGTTCCATACACATACAGCGCAGCTTGCTCGTATCTTTTCCTAAACATGTTCTCTTGTTGAATTTCCTTAGCGCAAAGATCCAGAACTTCGGGCGTTAGAACTTTGGAGTTTGTCCTCTTGATGGCACGAGGTCTGATTTCTTTACTCTCCATAACGGCTAGTGTTCGTTATTTTCCGCTATCTTTGTCTTTATGAGGAGGATATCTCTGCGGCGGAGGTCAATGTCACCGCTGCTTCAACGTCTCCGTATCACTATGTTTTTCTAAGATCTGACGGCTTTTATCTGCGCTTAGATATTTTGACGTCGACAGCGTGTCTAGAGATAGATTAGTGCAGCTTTTTGTTTATGCAGAAGAAACCCCTGCTAGGCTGCCTAAATTTGGTATTCACGTGTGACCTCTGATGCCACCTGGCGTATGGAATAATATTTTCACCAATAAATTGCCTCTTCAGAGTTGCTGAAATGGGATAAGTCGAATGTTCGCTGTGGGCCAAGTTAGAAAGTATTCACGAGATAACGCCACTACCTGCCAAGATTCCGATCTCTGCCCTTACTCAACCTCGGCAATTTAATGATCATGCATTCTAGGAAAAGAACATGAAAGCGTTAATCTTGAGTGACAGGTCTGAGTCCCGGAAACCCATCAACAGTTATATCGCGCGTGGGCACCAATTAAGCAGTTTTCATTTTCTTCCGCTCTGATACGCTCGTTTCAAAATTGCGGTTTTGTTCTAAAATTGATGATCGTGTTTTTCCTGTTTGACAGAGCGACTGGATTAATTCTTTTTGTGTCTCTTTGTTGCGTGCTTTGGTACTTTTATCGAGTTGATCTTAAAAGTCGTTTAACAAGACATCTATTGCAGATTAGCTGGCGTTTATTCAAAATAACGATTTAACGATGTAAAGTTTAATATGACGTCGTCTTAAGAAAAACAAGAACGTGCTAAGTATACTGTACCTCGAGAACTGATGATGTTAGCACTCTGTTTTCTTTTTATTTTTCACTTTCCTTTATTCCCGAAAAATAAAAATAACAAAACATAAGCGTCATTTTTATTTTCTTCATATTGTTGCGTGGATATTTATTTTTAAAGTGGTATAATACTAAATCCATATCGAGTAATACAACGATATTTACACTTTTGCAACACGAGTTAAAAAAAAAAAACCGAAGACATCATTTCATTTTTCCCACCGTTTTCTCCTACGTTTAAAATTTCTTTAGTATACCTCCTCGTTCCTCACCACAAAAAGGCGGATATTATTTTTTCGGTTTCAAATACCAGTCTGAAACGTGTAGTTATATATTGTTGTGACAAATTGCTTTGAACGAAAATAGCAAAAAAAAATTTATCTGATTTTTGTTGTTAAATATAGGCCGTTTTATAAACTGAGCTCACGGTAAATCATTTTACGCTATTTTAGGTCTTCAACTTTTCACGTCAGGAATTTTAAATAGTCGTTTCAGGAACGCAGCACTGAAACGGACTTTCACTTGATTGCATTTAAGGAGTTTCAGGTCATAACAAGATTTTACACAGAACTATTCATAGCCTACTCTTGAATGACGCATCAAAAAACTATAACAGAGAACCGAACTTTTCCGCCGATCTGTCTCTAGACCTGATGGGACGAGAAGTTGTTCCAACTGGACCTTTCATGATAACTCTGTTGCCTTTCTTACATAAACTTCAAAATTAAAATGAACGTCTCTAGAAATAGAAAGAGAAAATCCAGTTTCGCGGATTACCAAAAATACCCAACCACCTTTTTAGGTGTAGGACTAATTTAATCCTTAATAAACCCCTAAGATCTGGTTAGCAAATTCAACCTTAAATATTTCCTCACAAAAAAGCCAATAAAATACATGGTTATATAAAAATAACACATTCTAACTGATGGACTGATATTCTCGTCGTCTTTTCGGTAGATCATGTATTGATAATGCAGAGGAGGAACTTAGTAAAGGAATTAAAGGTTTAATTATGGTTCTCTAAACATGACGATCATTGCAAATAACACCTTTATCCTTAAATTGGTCGTTTCTATTTCTGGTGCTAGGAGAGAATGCTAAGAGTCTTACAATCATCCTTTTTTTCGGCAGGAAGAGCTTCTGCTATGGTTACAGAAAAATTTGTCGATGACGCCTGATCTAAAGCACGCGTCTTATGTATGAGTAGTTTTGCTTGACCACAGAAACGTATATATATGATCACAATAATGTAATGGAGCTAAAAACTTTGTATTTTTATGGAAACAAATGAGTAAAACGCCACGAATTATGCCTTAAAGAAATGTCAACAATTTTAAGACTCTTCCAAACCTCAGAATTACAAGTTGATCCGGAGCGGATTTATTTTAGTCACGCGGAAACTAGGCAACCCGTTTTGGTTCGATCTGAACGGATTCCCAAAATGGCAATCTGTTTTCTTTATTTCGGTATTCAGTAGCTTTCTTTAGAGGTAACACCAAAGCGGAAAACATTGGACTGATCCGCCTGCTTCATTCACGCTTTTTTTCTTTTTATCAACGAGCTGTAAAGGCACCAGTCTTCACTTTGCCTACAGAACAAAGGGACAAACGATCGGAATTACAGCGAAATTTGAAAAGAGGAAGCTTAGAGTTTTCTAACTTTTTAGTTTGGTACATGGCGGAACACTGAATTATCGTATTAAATTCTCACAAAGCCATTCACCCTTTGGTTAAAGGGTGCACATCAGTGGCCATTTAGGCTTTAGTGGTTACCTTAATCACTTTCTCACTTCCGTAAACAAGAACAAGTCGTTTGCTCTTATGAATGCTGAAATCGTTTTTACAACCAAAAATGGAAACTTCTCTTGAAATTCTCCCAACGCCCTCAAAAGAATATTTTGTTTTCGTTTTAGACAAAACATCAGTCTAAAACGTTTCTTAGTCATTGTTTCAATGGATGCACTTCAACGATTTTTTGTCGTAAACAACTTGAAATATGTCGTGTCCTTCCCGTGCGCCCTTTTCCGAGATTATCAAGATAATTATTTTAATTCTTAAATGTCTAAAAACAACATAATGCACTTATAGACTAAAGATGGTTAACCATGCATCAAGTCAGGAACAACATTTGACAATGTCAGCAATGACTTCCCCATTTCCAAACTTTATTTTCTTGATTGTTTCATCAACACGATGGTTGAAAGGACCCCTTCGAGTGACTTGCATCAAAATTCGTGTAAATCACTTATTAAGGTCACGAGAATAAAGGAAATGATCACCAACTAATGAAGCTCCTGATTTTTAAACGAATTCCCCTTGTCAGCACCCTTGGAAATGTATGGATTACTGTATGGAGAATATGGCAACTGATGTAAAGGTGTACGGGGTTGAGACCGTAAACTGAGCCAAACTTTGGACTGTTTTCAATATAAAAGTGAAATATCATTACTTTTTTTTTTTTTCTCTCTTCTTTTTGCCAAAGAATTTTGGTTCCTGTAGTATTTTCTTAGAGAGTAACCGGAAAAGGACAGTAAAATTTTCTGACGGGGTGGGGTTGGTGAAAGGAGGAGGATTGTTCAAAAGCTGAAATACAACAAAAATAAATTTCTACACTATTGTAGGACTCTGAAATATCTCTACAGCTATGTCTACGTGTTATTTTTTTTTCTTCGGAAAATAAATTCTTGCCTGGGTTCATGATAGAAATAGCTTCCGCCCGCCACAATAATAATATCAATCAGTATTAACGAAGACAAAATCTCGCTATGTTTAAATTTCATTGGCACATATGAGAAAGATAATCGAGCTTGATCAGTATCTGAATCATCCAAAACTAAGTCAACCAATGGAAAGCTGACTTCTTTGTTTCCTGTTCCTCTCACGTTATCTTCTTGATCCGTCGCAATCATGACTCAGGGCTGACACGATCTTCCGCTTTTCATATCGCGACAGTTGCGGAAGGAAACCTTTATCTGTCATTTCCGGCATCACCGCTGAATCACTGATAGCGTACTCAATCATGTGCCGACCACTCATCGCTTCCTTTTTCCCGCCTTAAACATTAATGCAGCCTATCTGGGATGAGGTTATTTCTTAAAGAGACTTGGCGAGGAATTGAAAAAAAAAAGAAAAGAAAAGAAAATTATGTAAAACGTTAACTCTAAGAACGACGAGGTTGTTAGATCATTTTGAGCCCTTTGGTTGGCTACAGGCGAACCACCTTGGGGGTGTGTTGATCGGTAAGAAACACCATTGAAATATAAGGAATTTCGTGGTGATCAATAACTAAAGAATTTGTTTTAAATCTTTAAATGATCGAAATTCCAACGATTGAGAGTTACTCAGTAGAAAAGCCCAAGGAGGCAGACAATCACTACACTTTGGTGCGTCAACAATTATTTTGACTTGGTTGAGACTTTTAGATCGCATTGGGTCGAAAATCAGTATTATTGAGTGCTCTATTTATGAACGCCATACATTTCTTTATATATATCTATAGTAAGTCCTAAATGTCACCACACTCACAGGGTGGTCTGCTTGTGGCATATATTGATTAAAAATGACTTGGTTTTAAGTCCACGCTCTTAGATGCGGCGTAATTTTTGAGCGAGATACAAAGAAAATATCGGTTATCTGATATTTTAAATAGTGGAACTTTCACTATATACAGCTTGCCTTTACCATAATGGCTCGTGTTCATTCGCTCGGTAGCGCAATTGTTAGGCTTGCACAACTGCTTACGAAGCGATGGTGTACTGAATGGCATCATTACAAAATAAATCGCCTTTGATTGATCCTCTACCAGAAATTTGAAGCAACGAATTTCTTTCTTTCTTTTTCCTTGTCTTATTTGAAGGAGGTGGGAAGGGGAGGGAAGGAAACCCGGGTGGAGTAGCTTTGCTGCCCGGTATTTAAATATCACGCAGAGTTTGTCTGCATATCCCACGCATTTAAGACAGATTTTTTATCTGTGTCTTTAAGTTTAAATTGCTAAAGTAAGGGTTTTCCAGTTGATGTCAAAGCGCACCTAAATTAGTTACATTGTTCTTCCGGTGGCTGTTCGCTGTTTGTTCATAAAAGCGTCTATTAGGTTCCTTGCTGTCTTCGCTTCTGTGCTATCCTCGAACTCAAATTTCTCTGTAGACAAGTTTTAGCTGCATATTTTCCCGTGAGCCAGTCATGATCAAAGAAGTTCGCTTGAATCAAAATAAATTAATGTACAACATATACTTTGACCAATATGGCTGGTAGGGTAGCTTGTATCGACGAATTAAAAAATCTATTTTCAGTGATTTCGAAGGTCATATCGCAGCAGGTAAAGAAATGATAGTAAATATAGAATATTGTTTTAGAGTCTGAATATACTTGGATAACTGGGTGGATCACATAAAAAAAAAAACAGTGTCTAAATTTAGTTCAATAGTGTTTCAAGAGATACAAACATTGATAAAGAATCTTTGCAATGTGAAATGAATTCAACATCAGTCAAGAATCCAAAATAAACTATATCGTTTGAGCTGGGGATAGGATATCGTCCCAGTTTATTGCGAGCTGCAAATCAAACACTTATAGATATTAAGCCATTAGGCGGAAAGCACGAATTTTCAGCGACCATTGATCTAAAAGACGACTCACCCAAAAATTTCATAATCAACTTCACAACGTGAAAATCACGGGAAGGGCATGTTTAATGACAGCTACTTCGAGGAAATTGCAAGCTGAGTTCGGTGGGCGTGTTTCACCATGCACATTAAAATCACGTGGCGAGCGGATGTCTGAATGAATTTCTGGGTATCTATATTGGTGAAGTATAGAAGAGGTATCAAAGATGGAGTTATGTTATCAATGCTATTGCCATACTGTGGTCATTAAACCGAATTTAATTTTATCGTTATCGATCTATAATCGCCAGACTTTACTGTGCTTGTCATGGATTCAGTACCACTCCAAATGTAGTTCATATCCGCTTTGTTTGCCTCTTCAATTTCACCATTTCTGTCTATTGCACGCAATGTGCCTATCTTTCATTAGATCTCAGACTAGCGACCTCGTAAATCTACATTACTAAACTGATATATGTCTTGAACGTTTAGTAGAAGGAAAACAAAATTAAATCAATTTATTGTTTATAAAACAATGAATACCAATCGTTGGTGGGCAGCCGACCGGTAGTTTGTTTCCACAAAGAAGACTTCTGAAGTCAAACAGAAAAATCAAACCATGCAGTGATTATCAAAACAATTTCTACAGTGAGTCCAGGTCAAGAGAAGGGACGATTGTTTTGTAGCAAAATGATCATACCAGTTCCCAGACAAGATATCGTGGCACTGAAAATTTCCCTAATAGCATCCTATATTTAGTTCTATGAATTAAAATACTCACTGCTATATTTGCTCAAGTTTCGAAAACGATCTTTGATGACGCACAGCCGAACAGCCGAACAGCCAAGAAAATCATGAATAGTAGAAGTAACAGATCTATACATAACATTTACGGTCAATTGCTTTGTTCACTAGGTTACAGTCGTGTTCAGTTAAGACTAAAATTTCAAGGGTGATATTTATATCTCTTTCCTGTTTATATTTATAAATTTCTTTGAACCCTGACTGATATAAACAGAGAGGACACTGATACTGGTGTCAGTCACATTTTGAAAAAATGGATTTACCTCCATCGATGGTTTCTTCACCCTTTATACAACCTAACATCGGTGTGCATATTCTCTACACTGTTCCCTAAATATTTCCTATGATGTTGACAAGTAGAATTTGTTTAACAGTCTTCTTTAGTTTGCAAACATTTCTATAATTGTCATGACCTTAATGTTTAATTACACCATTTCCTTATTAATGAACAATATGCAGGAACTCAATATGAGAATGCGTTCGTGAATAGACGAACATATTCGGGAGGTAACTTAGGGAAAGCAACAGAGCATTTTGCGATAAGGATTTTGAAACGGAATCGACACAAGCTCACATTTTAGTTCAATTTGCGATTGTATTTTGGGATTTTAGTGCCACAACCAAAGAAAAATAAGAAATATGTAAACAGCCAACGAGAACACAAATCTATGCTGTCTCCACGAAGAAAAGATAAGGAACAAAAAAAAAACTCGTGCGCAGGAAAACGACCGGCTGGTTGAGCGCAAACCGGCCAATCACAACTTGAGAAAATACTAAAGGAAGCCGATGAGGACTCTAAGTAAATACAAACAAACTTCCCGAGGCGAAGGTAAACGTGAAAAAACAAGTCGTGATTGTTTTAGATTTGCATCTGATTGGCTAAGGATAAAGCGATTTTACCGGACTCGAAGCAAACCTAAACCATTACAATCCTGGCTTGCTTTCGACCTTCATTTCAGAGTTGCTCAAACAATAGGTGCTTAATGTAACACTGAAAGATTCTAGAAAAGAAAACCTCCAACAAGCAAGCTGACAAAGTAAGTTTGGCAGTCTTTAATATTAATACCTTTCACACCTATAAATGTCACACTGTCATAACTGCCATTGCATTACACAGTATACGTCACGCTATTGTTTTCACGCTTTCCTTATTCCCAGTTGTGATGAAATTCTATTGTTACGTATACTGTGTCTTCAACAGCAAGTAAGAGCTCATTGTTGACTGAATGATTTGTGCACAAAAGGAGCAAATACGAACAACAATCACACAAAACAACGATTTCTGTAGCGTATGAAAAGGATGAATTTTTAAATCATTTATGGTCGGTTTGTCTGTGTGGGTACACGTGGATTAGACTTCGGGAAGTCCCTCCTTTCTGCGAGGTAAAAGGCGCAACTCCAAAAGAATCAGCGAAAAAAAAAAGTTAGCTTGCGCGCCGCGCGGAATCCTTTTCGCGAACCTTACTCCCAGAGTTTTGCAGGGCACGCTAGCAACAACTTTTTTCATTGATTATTTTTTGGATTTGCACGATGGACTTCGTAGATTAAAACTCATTTGTCATGTCCGCTTCCTCCACACTTCGTAGAAAGTCCAGCTGGCAAAAGGTCAAGGATAAACGGAAAAGGGAAGAGGTCTCTCAATTAGCAGACAGATCAAACTTAACTAAACCATACATTTCATGAGATTTATGGACAATTCTCTCCCCCCCCCCCCCCTGTTAGAAAAGGGAGTCCTTGAGAGGTCGAAAAACAATTAGAAACACACAAACGATACACCACAACACGTTAACTACAAAACAAGTGAGGAACGACGTAAGCTAATATTTCAACATGCGCGGAATTTTTAAATGGACGGCTCATCATCAAGTCCTACCTTAAAAGTTAGGTCACTGAAAAGCCAACCGGAGAATTTTCAAAAGGTACTCGAAGAGACTAGAAACGAATTTACTAGCCGCACTTCTGTGTAACCACCTCCTAAAGGATTGGAAGTGAGACTCCCAAAGCATCTTGATGACCCTGTGTTTATCCAAACTGGTCACACCGAATCAGTGCACAGACTTTTTCTTATACTTGTAAATTTTCTGGATTTATTGTGGTGGTATCGTGATGCCATTTAGCGGTCTCATCTTTTAAAAAGCAGTCAGATTCTCTTAAATCTGATCAAAATCTATTAAAAAACCCGAGGTGAGAGTAGATACGAAGCAACGGATGTTGAAAGTGAGAAAATCTATTTGTTGGGATTAAGACCATAGCAAAGGATACCTTTCTTCAAATGAAGGAACGAACGCAAATTCTCTCCTAAACTCAACTGGATAACAGAGATTCATCAACTGCTGTTCATACTGCTCTATTTGCTTCTTGCATGTTGCACCATTTGTACCCTAAAATAAACAAAAGATGGCTCAAATTATGATCAAACGACCACACAATCAAGATTACAATGTTTAAGTATCTTTACCTGGGCGAAGAATTTTCCCTCGGGTTTGAGCACTTGCAGTGTCAGATTCAAAATTTCGCGCACAAAATCCCAGTGAGAATCTACAAAATAAATAACAAAATAAATAACAAAAAAAGCAAATGAAAAATAATAACAGAAAAACAATCCTCCACTTTTTAGGTCATAGTCTTTTCCACTACAGTTCATAACTCATATGTTATAAATAAAACAGTTGGTACGAGGAAAATAATCATCATAATATGACGTGAACTCATCGCACAAACGGTAAATTTCCACTCTTACAAGCAGCAGCTCATATAAGATTTGAAATCACTTACTCTAAAAGGCATTGCAGCCTGTTCGCGACTTACGTAAGACGAAAACTCACACTGCGCAAACGCACTTTTTTCCCGCGCTTTTGGTGGTGCTTAGCGGGCTTCCTGGAAAAACCGGATCAAGGATCAAGGATGAGTTGAAAATGAATCAAATAAATTAATACGCATGATTGAATGCTTTCCTATGTGACTCAGTCAAGATCTCTCGTATGCTCAAGCGAAAATAAGAGAAAATAAGCGAAGTTGGCACAAATATGATAAATATAAATATACTGTATTCTAAAAAAGCCATACCACTTAGAGGAAGTGTTAATTTTCGCCTACCGACTATTGGGACAGCTATTGAAGACTGACAGCTACAGAGCGGGTTCACTTGTGTATATACCATATTCACATGAAATTTCCAAATTTCTGAAAAAGTCATAAAGAGAACGGAACGCGTATTGTTATATGGATCCCCCAGTATGTCAAGCAGCGACACCCTCATTACGACGCGTCATTTGTCCGTGTTGATCACGAAATCAAGCGCAAGTAAACAAAAGTTCATTTTGACTATTGATCCTTGATCCTTGATTCGGTGATCCGTTCATCCTTGATCCTGTTTTTCCAGGAAACTACGGGCCTATTGATCGATGAAATGTTGGCAGTTTATCTATCAAACGAGACTGTATCAAAACTAAAATGCGAACCATTTATAAATACGAGCACCTCGCGGGTTAAATATCGTATAAATGGTCCAGTCGCGTCTTATGCAAGCAGCGGCTTGTGTAAGCCGTCGATTATTTTCCCCGTATTAAAAGCCCTATTGTCTTCAAATCATAATTAAGGATTCCTCGTCGACAAAATCTACAGAAAACACTAGACATATCTAAGAAATAAGGTGTGAGAAAGACAACCCTAAAGTTGGTGCAGACCTTAATGAATCCAAACAAAAAAGTTACTCACTTTAGCTTACAGTTACCATCTTTACCCATATATGATAACACAAACATGATACCGGCCAGGAACTTTAAACTTGATCAGAGAACTAGAAGTAGACTTTCCAGTAATTTAGGTAACCCTTTAACTCCCAGGACTGACAAAGACAGAATTTCTCCTTACAATATCAATACAGTATCAACCAGATGAGTGATGAGAATAAAGAAAATATCAATTTGGGGATAATTGGGTTGATCCAATACTAAATTCTCTGAACTAACATTATAAGAAATGTATGGTTGACAGTAAGGAGAATTACAAATTTGATCTGGGAGTTAAAGAGTTAACATAGTGTATAAGTAAAGCTTACGATGCAAGGAGACAGATACTGGTATATCTGTAAGGTCATTAATAACATAATCAAAAGTCTTTCCACTTTTCACATATTCCTTCATTGCCTTGACACAGTCATCAATTCGAATCTGTAACAGAACACAACAACCAGTAAAACAGATTTAGGGGACTTAAACCACAACTTAAAACACAATAAAAAAGCTGGAATGCCACTCCCAGGGAACATAGTGGTGGGTAAGTGAGCACCATGTGGTCACCAACTTTACTAGATGAATAAGCAAGGGTAGACCCTTTCTAAACTAGTAGCTGAAAATTATGATTGTTAAAAATCAAAGTAGATACACTTGGAAACTTTTATCAGTCCCCAGATGAGCAACCTTGATTAGGTTTAAAGTTAAACTTAAAGGCTACCTTTTATTTTAGTCAAGAAAATGCAAATATGAGTTTTGAAAAAATACATATATATATATAAACAGTTGTGTAAGTAGTATGTTCTATGTTCATTATTGTTTGTATAAAACAAAAGGTCCCCCCCCTTTGGATACTTTGGGGCAGCATTACATAAAATAAAAATTAGAAATGAATAAATAAATGACATCTAAAAAAGGGCTGCAAACAAGACTAACCAAACATTACTCACAGCTACCTCAAAATTATGTCCTTTGTATGAATCCATTGAGCTGCCACAAATTCCACGTAAATGACTAATTGATGCATCAACAACAACTTTGTCTATGTTTTAATTGTTAAGTAACAACAAATGCTTGAAACATATTGGACTGGATCCACATGTTATATTAGCTTAGTAAACTGGCATCCACTATTAAGTCTAGAATTTTTGTTTCTCTCAAAACTGAATTACTACGTACAAAGGATATTTCAACCATAGTGACAAACTTTGGAGACTCCTTAAGAAGCTCATTTAAAACTCCACCATCTCCTCCTCCTAGAATGAGGACATCTTTGTCTTTGTAGCTCTCTCTACCATTCCCTAACAATGCTTTTGTGTAATCAATGTCACTCTCAGCTAACACTGAGGGGTATAAGAAATGAAGGAAAGTAATAATTTAGTTTGCAAAATAATATAATGCAGTTAATTTATGTAAAATCTCTCTGTGGCTGATAATGGTTGTACAATTAAGTGGGAGTTAAAAAACAGACTGAAAAGTTTTGGGCACAAATGGAAATATTTGGTTATATAGGGTATGTGATTTCATTTCAAGTAGAGAAACACAACAGTTCCACCTTGTTTTATCTTGTTAATGTTCAATTTACTCTTTTTAATGAGTATCATATGCAACAAAACCCTGGTTCAACACCTTTATTGACCCAAGAGACAACTGCAACTTTTTTATTTCCAAAGGCCACTACTCTCAAAATTATATAAATTAGTGCTTATTTTTGTGTACAGGACTTGAGATAAAAATTAATTTAAGCAATAAATTAGTAACTTACTCTCTTCCAGATCTAAAAACAACATATTTCCATAGCGTGAGGAATGAGCAATCCATACATCTTGGTAATCAGACTTTTGCTTAAACACTTCCCTAGGACACAAATCACAAACAATGGTTGTTTTTCTAACTTATCCTTAAGTTTTCTATTTGAATGTAAAGATGCAATAATACTTTAGTGGGCAGAAAAATCTCCCACTGATATGCCTTTCAACTAAAATTGACAGGAAATCTGATACACTAATTAATGACACTCATTCAAAATACATATTCATCAATCAAGAATCTGCTATTCGCATACTTGTCAAAGTCATATTCCTTCATTCTTCCATCTGATGTATCATGGTAACGCAAAATTTCTCTTCCTCTATGAATGGTAGGGATGAAATGTGCCTTTGAACAAGACAATGCCTCATCTACTTTATCGCGGAGATCAATGTAGTCCTAGAAAATGAAAATACATGATTTGAAACCAAACATATCCAAGCTTGAGAAGGGACAGCACAGTATTTGGTGTGGTTATTTGTAACAAATTATTGCAGTTTTTATATCCTTTTTCTTAAAGGTACTCATTTAGAAATTTTAAATTATCATTTTAAAATCATAATTACAATAATAATTATTGATTACGACAAAACACAAGTATTTTTTTTTGTATTGCTCATAGTTATGGTTATTCTTTGTTTATTTTTACATTCCCATAAAACTTTGACATGTTAACCCTTTAACTCCCAAAAGTGATTATCATGTAACTTCTCCCTATAATATCTAAACATTATCCAGCAAACAGGTCATGAGAATACTCAAACTTATCTGGTAGAAGTATGTTGTTATCTCGATCTGACACCAAATTTTTGTAACTTATTTACAAGAAAATGTGTAGCAGCTAGAGGAGAGAATTAACAAACAGATCTTGGGAGTTAAGGGGTTAATCCAGTATATTTAGAATCCATTCTATATGTAATAAAAACTGATGCAAAGCACTCACACTTCTTTTAAGGATTTGCTCACTGGAAATATTATTGATGTATTGCACAACATCTAGGGTGACAAGACCATCAGGAAAGAGCTGTACTGTACACTGACTGTGAAAACAGCAAAACTTCACCTTGATTAGTAATCATTTCTAGTTCCCAACAAATACTGGAGTTTCATGGTACCCATCAGAAAGTCATACAGTTGATATTCTCGATATGATCAACAATGACATCATTATAGCTAGACAGAGAACAAGTTCTCTGTGACCATAAAAGACTAAAAATATTGAGGCCATCTTGACTGAAAAAGTTATTCACTGAAGGATTTATTTATTCTCAATACTGACCAACCATGAGGTCATTATAGCTAGACAGAGAACAAGTTCTCAGTGACCATAAAAGACTAAAAATATTGAGGCCATCTTGACTAAAAAAGTTATTCACTGAAGGATTTATTTGATGATTAAAACACCAGCTGCGAGTGATTTCATCAGCAAGTGCAAAGTGGACAAGCCTATTATTCCCACTCAGAAGGCCAATCAAGATCATAGGTTCCGCTTCATCTCACACTCTAACAGAGCCTGCTAAATACTGCTAATGCTAATCATTAATGTTCTCTTTTCACCAACAATTTCTTTGAACCATTACCATCTTTAAATTGAGTAATTCTTTTCTATTCGTATAGCAGTGGAGACTGTATAATAAAGAATTGAACAATAGTTTCAAAATGAACAATAGTTTTAAAATTAACAATGCACTTACATTCCCTTTTGACCAGCAAATAGCATGGTGGTAGGGCTGCTAAACTCTGGCTTTTCAATTTTAAAAGATTCTTCAATAATTCTTCCCATTTTCTCACTTACTGATACCATCCAGTTTCCAGATGGATCTGGTGTCACACGAAAGTCAAGTAGTGTATGATTCACTGACATCTCAGGGCTAGGATAAACTGCAAGAAGACAACCGGACCCAAGATCAGTTATAGTTACCATGAAAATCCCATTCTGTTACCTGGCTACCAGTTGGAACAGCCTAACATTAGCATACACAAGCCTTTTCAATAATCCTATTATATCATTATATTGAAATAATTCTTATGAATTACTTCACTGCACTGCATACCATATAATTAGATATACAATACAGGGGAGGAGCACACTACAAGCCAAAATAAAATAAATTTGTCTGGTGCACATTATAAGGAATAGTATGGGGAAAAAATATATTCGATTTACAACGATAAATATTTCGAAAAATGAATATGTTATGAATAACAGCGATGGTAAAGCAAGCTTAAAACGGCAGAAATCGCTAGAAACTACGACGGACACAGGATGTGAGCAAGTTTTATTGATTTCACGCGTAAAATGTCCATATCTCGAAATATTTATTGTTGTAAATCGACCACATTTCGTTCCCCATACTATTCCTTATAACGTATTCAAATTTTCAACAGTTCCCTCGTTACTTAACACCGAGTCACACAACGCGGTCTTGAACTGACCTTCTAAAGTTTTTTCGAGTCAAATCACTTGTTATTATAATCAATCGTTGGCTTTTTCTCGAGACGTGAGCTTGGGCCGCCTGTGGTCTTTCTGTGAACAACATTTACCTCAAATCAGTAATTTTCTGATACAATTTACGGCAAGTATGACGGCTGAATAAATCAGTTAAGGTGAGCATAAGTAGGTGTAATTTGTTTAAATGAAGCTGACCGCGACTAATTGCTAATGCCCGTCACTCAAGATGTCCTCTGAGCTAATAAAATCACTTGCTAACATTCCAACAGAGTAATTTTCAGTCCGTACTGAAATAATCGTAAGTTTAAATAAAAAACCTCGTATCATGCGATAATTTATCGATAAACACCTCAGGCGCTTGGGAGCAGCTGGCTAAATTATCTAAAAGTTGACCCACGCGCTTTCCGTGCATTTTACGCCTGATTCTGTGGACGATGGGAATTTTGTAAACATCATCAATGCAAGCTTGCAACACAAATGACTTACTTTTCTAACGCTTGAGTTCGAGTCTTATTCTTCGAGGAAAAAATGATGGTGTTTAGTCGACCAGCAAATTGTCCATTATAGCTTCGCTTCCAGGGTCCTCTCCACTCATGGGAACGAGGTTACGATCGTTTGGAATTACCGGAATGGTCAATACCGTTTTTCACTCTGGAACACAGCCTACGGAGACCACATTTTCGGGCCTATGTTCTATCTTAACTTCTTAGACACGTACTGTAGGATGAACAACTTCCTTTACTGAAAATTCATTTGGATGATCGAAAGGCCAATGTGTTAATAAAGGTATGTTTTATTTATGAAAAACAACGTTCTGAGAAAAACTTTAAATCGATTGCATATGTTGGAGGCTGTTGCTTAAAAGGTACGAAAAACTACCCATTCCGCTTTTGTTGTTGTTTTTCCCTCGTGTTGTGTATCAGGGTTCATTATATACTGCTATAGAGTAAAGCGTGCACAGACCAAGTGCTCTACACGACTGCTTTATTAGAATGCCATGAATTTAATCACACACAATGATCTGTGAGCATAATTACGTGACTGCGGTCAAAGGTGTGCTAACCAATAGAATAAAGATTATATAATAGCTAAGGTATTTATCCAAATAGGAACAAACACTACATTCCCCCACACTTATTTCAAAGGCTTGGTAATCAGTTACACTAATCATTATGTATTAAATCCTAAACGCTGCGGTGCTTTACGCTGTCGAATTGGATAGCGTGTTTGAGGTTGAGGTTGCGCTGTCGCGGCTGCGTGCGTACCTTCATCGTTGTCATTTTCGCTACCTTTGGTTTCATTCGGTTTTGGCGTGGCTTTTTCTGCGGTTTCCGCTTGCGGAGGCGTTACCGGTTGGATATCAGTGGTATCGTTTGAATGTGTTACACTGATTTCTGGTTTACTATCTTTGTTGCTTAAATGCTTTTGGTGCATTTGGTCAACATGGCGCTTCCAAAGTTGTTCTCCGACTAAAACTTTATAGGAGACGGGACCGGTCTCGGCTCCGTAACGGTGCCATCAAGCCACTTCGGCTCACCACGGAAGTTTTGCACCAGAACTTCTTCACCAAGGGTGAATTCTTTTCCTTTACTGATCTTATCGTATCTGGCTTTCTGATCCGTCTGCCGGTCAAATACTTTCCGACCGAGGTCAGGACGCATCAAATCTAACCTCGTTCTTAATCGACGATTTAGGAACAACTCAGCTGGTGTTGGGCCTGTAGTACTATTTGGTGTCGTTCGGTAACTGAAAAGAAATCGCGTTAAACTTTGCATAATCGAGTCGCTCCCCTCCGCCTTAAAAAATTGCTTGAACGTTTGAACAAAACGCTCTGCTTAGCCGTTGGATCGAGGGTGATATGGAGCAACAAGTGCGTGCTTGATTCCGTTTGCTTTCATAAATTTACAGAATTCTTCAGAAGTGAACTGTGAGCCATTATCACTCACGAGTTGTTGTAAAATGCCATACCGAGAAAACATATCGCGAAGCTTTGCGATTGTCGCTTCACAAGTGATGCTGGGCATTATCTCTACTTCAAACCATTCTGAGTGGCTATCGACGACAATTAGAAACATTTTACCCATAAATAGGCCTGCAAAATCGATGTGCACTCTCTGCCACGGCATTTTGGGCCAATCCCACGGGTGTAAGGGTGCCGGTTGGGGCTTGTTACGTGACTTCTGACAGTTGTCGCATTTCCGTACAATCGTGGCTATATCTCGGTCAAGATTAGGCCGCCAAACGTGAAGTCGCGCAAATGACTTCATACGGACAATACCTGGGTGCCCAGTGCGTAATTCATATAGCACACGCTCGCGAAGCTGGCTGGGAATTATTACTCAAATTCCCCACAATAAACAGCCATCTTCGACTGTAATTTCGAGACGCTTGCTAAAATACAGTGTGATTTCCGCTGTAATTTGTTTATCTGGCCAACCTGTCATCACGTACTATAGTACTCTTGACAAAACCGGATCGATTCATGTCGCTCTGCGAACTCGATCGACATTCATTGGAAAAGACTCGATTTGCAATAAGTTGATGAGTCTGACCTCATCGACTTCTTCGTTTGCTTTGTCGCTGTGTATCGGCAAGCGGGATAAACAATCGGCGTTCGAACGATACTCGGTATCATACTGGTGTGCGGCGAGCAGTAATACCCATCTTTGTAATCGTGCGGCTGCCAGAGTTGGAATACCGCTCTTCGGTCCTTCAATGTGGTTAACGGTTTGTGGTCTGTAACTAAAAGAAATTTTCTTCCGTACAAATATTGGTGAAACTTCTTCACTCCGAAAATAATGCTGAGTGCTTCCTTTTCGATCTGCGCGTAATTACGCTCGCTTTTGGATAACGTACGCGAAGCATAGGCAATCGTTTCTCTTTTCCGGACGGTAATATGTGCAAGATTACTACGCCGATGCCATACTGTGAGGCGTCTGTGTCGAGTTTTAACGCTAATTTCTCGTTAAAACGTGTTAAAACGAGCGCGCTGGACAATTTGTCTTTGAAAAAGAATTTGTTGGTAAACCCTGGATAAATCTAGCTTACTGAATTTTTCTCCCCCACTTAATTCAACAAATAATTCTTCGGGGTTTGACAACAGGTGTTGGTCAACCTTCAAAACAGAATTGACGGTGACTTTATAATCCCCACAAACTCTAATTGAATTATCCGGTTTAACGACAGGAACTATCGGTGCCGCCCACTCTGAGTAGCGCACCTTTTCGATTACTCCCATATTTTCTAGGCGATCTAATTCTTGCTCGATGGCTCCGTTTAAAGCATATGGAACTTGGCGCGGTTTGAAAAACTTCGGTTTTGATTCGGGCTTGACGAATAGTTTAGCCTTAACGCCTTGCCTAGTACCTAACTCATCTTTGAATAAAGATTTATGTCTCGATAACATGCTATCTAAAACACAACTTATCTTCTTGATGGATCCCCAATTTAATTTAATGTTCTTTAGGCAGTTCCTTCCAAATAGGTTTGGTCCGTTCCCTTTTAGAATTTGGAGCGGTTTTCCTGGAATTCTCTGGCCGCAAGAGAAAGTATCTAAGAGAAGTTTCGAGGTGGATTTATACGTTTTAATAAACAAGGTTAAGAGTGCTAACAACACTTCGGTTTACGAAAATTATAAGAGGTGTGTTTCCGGACACGTTGTTATACTTCTGGGCCGGGTTGTTCAAAGCTGGGTTAAGATAACCCAGGGTTAGTGTGAAATCCGATTTCAGATCTAAAAGCTTTAAAAGAAAATTCAGTCGAATTCTTTTTGTCTAGAGTATGACTATTTGATGCTTTAAAAAGGACATTGAAAATTTTCCCAAAAAGGCTTTAGAGTAAAGGAATAAAGAAACCCAGATTAAAATCTAACCCTGGGTTAGCGCTAATCGGCCTTCGAACTACTGGGCCCTGTAGTCGAAGCTAAGATTACACGATTGCGTAATGTGAGTCCCAGTCCCCGACACGGTAACTTGGTGGTCTGATCTTGATAGGTTACTTCCACCAGTGCTTGTCTTATAATTTCGAGGGCTTCTCCTGTGTAAGTCTTCAACTTGATTTGGGACTCCTCTAACGGAACTTTCGGGAACCGTCTCCTACATGCCTCCTCGGACATGACTGAAACTGACGCACCAGTGTCCAACTCCATCGAAAAGCTTACACCATTCACCTTTACAGGAACCATGATGGATGGTTCAGGCTTTTCCTGATGAATGTGAAATAGTTTGAAGTCGTCGTTTGGCTCTTTTTGAAGGATGTCGTCCTCCACGTACCGAACTGGTTGTCTTCTCCCACCTTGATTTGAACGTAATCCATAGGCGTAACCACCTGAGGATGAAGGTGCTTTCTTCTTACAAACTTTGGCGATATGCCTTTTTGACTTACAATTCCGACATAATTCTTCTTTAAATCGGCACTTTTGCGAGATGTGGTCCTCGCCGCAACGGAAACACGGTCTCTTTGGCTTTGTCGCTTTTAGCGGATGCGGTGATCTCACATAATGCATGCCACTATCTGCGAGCGAATTCCTGAAGTTGTTGGTTTGCTTAACAGCAACTTCCATTGCCAACGCCATTTCTACTGCTGTCAGTTCCATGTGAGACTTTTTTCTGCCAAGAGTCTTCTCTGAATTTGTCTGCTTCTCACTAGACGAGTCGGTCTCTAAGGGCTTCCCTAGAGTCTAGAAATGCACTGAAGGCACAATGTTCTGAACACTTCTTTAGGGCTGCACTGTACGCCGCCACACCTTCCCCCTCGCGCTGTTCGCGCTTCTGGAAGTGAAAACGTTCAGCGATGACGATCGGCTTGGGCTCATAGTGATCTCGTTAAGTTGTGACCAAATCTGTAAGCTTTACGCTAGATGGCTTCATCGGGGCTAGTAAATCTCTCAAGACGTTGTAGGTCTTGCTGCCTATTGAGGTCAGGAACGTGGCCACGATCTTCTTTTCTTCTTTGATTTCGTTCACGATCACGTATTGATCGAAACGTTCGCAGTATGCGTTCCAGTCTTCTGAACTGGGGTTAAAGAACTCAATCGTTCCAAGAGTGCTCATCCTCGTCGCCAGTTGTTGTGTATTAGGGTTCGTTATATACTACTATAGAGTAAAGCGTGCACAGACCAAGTGCTCTACACAACTGCTTTATTAGAATGCCATGAATTTAATTACACACAATGATATATGAGCATAATCACGTGACTGCGGTCAAAGGTGTGCTAACCAATAGAATAAAGATTATATAATAGCTAAGGTATTTATCCAAATAGGAACAAACACTACACCTCGCAACTAACCTATAATGGATAGTTTGGTTTCATTATCTAAGTTGATAATGAGGTAATTTAGTATTATCAACTGAGTTGATAACGTAAATTGGCCACCGTAAAGAGTTTAAAAGCTGGTGTTTCGAGCGTTAGCCCTTCGTAAATTGCTCTAACGAAGGGCTAACGTTCGACACGTCAGCTTTTAAACTCTTTACGGTGGCCAATTTACGTTATCAACTCAGTTGCTAATGCTAAATTACCCTGTTATACTCTCCCACCGACGCAGTACCACAGTTTCCATAGAAACTTACGCCCTTTATT